ACCTCAGCTGCCTTGTGAGCTCTTCTCGGAACCTTGGACGTGGGTTCCGCATTCGATCTTCGTCGGCCGCCTGACGTGGTGGGACTGGTGTGCTCACTCACACCACCGGAGGATATTTGCGCTGACTTCCTTTTCGGTTTGGCGGTGCCGCATTCATCCGCCGAGCTGCGACCTCCGACGCATCGGTACCCCTTTTGAATTCCTTGTACCGCTGAATACTTGTTCGGGAATATCGGAAGGGAAACTGAGGAACCGTAATGGATTGACGTTCCCCCTTATTCCAGACAGCGCTTGTTACTGCGGAACCGCGTTGTATAGCAGACACAAGGGGTAGATTATTTTTCTGCATCGCGAGCAAGCGAGAAATTTCATCCTATGGCTAAACGCCGAGCTCGCGAGAGAGGTTCGGAAGGCTCCAGAGCTCTTCTTCGGTCTTCGAGGCATATTCCGTTCCGGAGCCTATCTGAGGCTGCTCGTACATTGCTGGTGTAGTCGTGTCGGTCAGCATCGGAATAATGGCTGATGGTGCCACAGGATGAGGGGTAGTCGAAGAGTTCGGTGGGGAATGGCATCATGTCGAAGGCGAAGGAGGGCCGCGGACGCGCTATGATAATTTTGCGGAGGTCGCCGTCATGCGAATTTCAGGGATGAAGACAGCCCACGGCACTGCCGCGGCAGAGGAGTGGCTCCGCGTTCGATCCTGCGAGCGTTGAATGAAAATCAGCAAACTTTCCGGCGGGCTTCCAGACTCCGGATTTGTACACGCTACGCTTACCTTAGGCTCCTCGAACCGTTCATGCGCAGAACCTCTGAGGGCGTTGGATGAGTTTGGAGTCTAGGAGCGTACGATACTAGCAACAGTGAGTGTAACATTCTGGGATCGGAAACCCTGGAGGTCTCCGTCAATTTGGACATCTGATCAGTTGAGGACCGGGAATTGATATCGGAAGGCGATTCCGCTCCTGGATGAGTCCAAGAGGGATGCTTTCAGCCGGAATGAAATAGTGATCCGGAGTCCTGTGAGGCAATACTTGCTTTTCGTGAATTTATCAGGACCTCCGGGTCACTCTGGGATCCCAATCGGGTCCGTTGCTCGCCAGTCCGGAACCCAGAAAAGCCAGAGCCGGAACACACCTGTTGGGAAGAGCGTCGCTTGGAAGACGCGACGCGATCCCGCCGTTCGGTTTCACGGGGAGCGAAAAGGTCTGATCGCGGAGATTCTCATAAAGCCAGATCCAAGCGGATCTTATCGGGAACCACTCCAGTGAAATCAGGAACGATGAACGAGCCCGGCTTTGAGATAGCTTTCGCCTTCCCGAATGGCAGCACAAAGCAAAATCCAATATGGATGTTTTCATGGGATCCGCGATATGAACACAGAGAGCCTTCATATTGCCTCTCGACGCGCCGATGTCATCCACTCTTTTGAGAGGACACGAACGGGAAAGTCGCTGAGCAGGATAGACGAACCTCTAGAGAAGTACAAAAGAATCTCTTCCCAATGCACAGCGGCTGTCAAGAACACCTGCAATTAAACACAGCCGCAAGCTTCGCCAGACGACGTCGACCTACAGAAAGAATCTCAGGTCGTATCGTCAGAGAGACGAACGAAGAAGCGACGTCGTTGTGTTCGCGGCTCAGATCAATTTCAGTCCATCGGATTGAGAGCGCTTCCTGTAGAAGCTGAATCCAGTAAAAAGATGGTCCGCCTGCTTAATCCAATGCCAGATATTTCATTCAGCTCGGGCCCCTCCCCAGATCCACAGCAGCGGTAGGTCGATGCCGAAGTTTCTATATCGGAGACCCGACAAAGGGGGAAGGCTCGGGACGGGAGGTTCCATGCCCATCAGCAACCAGGGCCACGTTCCCCATTCTCGAGATGACTCGCGAATCTCCGTAAGGAAACCGCTGCGCTGTGAGTACAGGTCGAGGTTGCTGCGACGTACCACTTCACAATTAAGTTACTATTGCTCCTTGCTAATAAACTGTTCCATCGCATTGCTCACGATCGCATCCGCGCGGAGAACGGAAAACTTCCCGAGACTCACAACGCTCGAGAGAAAATATCTGCGCAGCGCAATGCGACGCAAGTTGGCTCGGAGCTGGTTGCATGTACTCCAAGAAAGCAGGCCATCAATTTCGAGGAGTTAAGCCTCCCTCCGCACTGTCGAGTGGAACGAGCGCAAATCTAAACTGTGTATTATATTAGGTCAGTGCTACCCGCATCTTTGTAGCTCTTATTGTTGTTGTCGTCGTAGCTGCGTTGATGGTCGACGTCGTCGTCGTCGTCGTCGTGGACCTTTCTTTGAAGGGAACAGAATCTGCTCGCTGTTACGCGAGCGGGCTCGACGGCTACAGGCCGACGTCGTTTCCGTACTCGACCGGCGGCAACGACGAGAAGATGTCCTAAGCATCGAGCTCCTGGCTTCGCATCCAAATAGAAACATATGAGGCCATTTGGACTCGCGGGGAAAAGGGAGGAAACAATGACGCATAGCTGCTCGGTCGAAGCTCACTCCGTTCCGCAGTACAGTCGGTCGCTCAGTCAGTCATTCAGTTAGCGAGCTAGCGAAGCTACCAATGAGAAGTGCGTCCAGCAAGCCGAAAACAGCAGACGGATGCAATATCTCCTCGCATGCAACATCAGGAAAATTGTCGCTCTGCGAGTTCTACAGCATGCTCTTGTTGACGACAATGAATGTCGGTACCGGCTCCGTGATGCAGTCGAGCACGGAAAGGAGCCGGGAAAGGATAGTTTCTGCTCTAAACTTCTTAATAACGACCTCCCTCCGAGCCGACAATGAGACATCGTGTTCCAGCAGCACATCTCTCGGACGATGTGTCCCAGCACAATTCAAGGGGAGGGGGTCTTGCTCCCTAGTGTACGAGACTTCCGGAGGCATAATTCTCCGTCGGAAGCGTTCTATGAGCTCGAACGGGACGAATAATGGAGAACAGAAGATTAGACTTTCAAGTTCGCTGCGATCGTGTTCATCAGTCACTCCTTTCGGGGTCTACACTTCATATTCGTGTTATCACTCAGTTACGTTTCAGAGCCACTGAATTGTGCGGCGTCTTTCCGGAATGGAAGACGATCCGCGGAGAGGAACTCGTGAGAGAACTTCTCCTCTGCATCGCGCCCCTCCGGCCCCCCGCGTCACACCCTCCGTAAAATCCCACGATGAACACCCCGATACCCAGCAATTATTATTATCACGGTTAGCCCCGTTTCGTCGATATCGCGGTCAAAAGCACGGGGGATACCAGTTCGCTCGAATCTGGCTCCCCAAGGATAGATCACAGGTCTGAAGACATCACTGCCGATCCCCCTGACTTAAATTGATGCCTGCAGTGAAACGGTTAGATAGTCTCAGTCGGTCGCGAACAAGGCTCGGGAACAAATCGTTCGACCCGCCGAACGAGTGAGTTCGACTGAGCTCAGTGTATGGTTAGGGTGATTCATCTTTGTCTAGCTCTGCCGTTCTCTCGGTCGCTCGGTGGCTGCTTGCTCTTCTAGAGGCGAATTGGCGCTTTTTCTCTTAAGGAACAGAGAGTTTTCGGACGCGCACGGAGCCCGAGGCTCCTCACAGTCGGAGCCTCGAACGATTCTACGTAGGTGGGGGGTCACCGGCTCTTTCTTGCCGCCTTAGCGACGAGCCGACCTCCAGCAGTTTCGGATCTGCTCCGCTTACACGGCCTCAGCCAGTAAAATGGGCGAACGAGGAAGTCGTTTGTTGCGAGGCACGAAAATTTTCTAAATAGGGTTGATATTGGATTTTATGATTAGATCCAGCTTGATGACGGCGCCGGTATCTGCCCTGGGAAACCTTTGAGTTTTAGTAAACGTCGGCCGCGGGGATTCGAGGAAACTTGGCTTTAAAGTGACTCTCGCATCTAATCCTCTGGGTCATGAAATTAGTGCGGAACGGGCAGGTTTCAGGAGCCGCTGAGTCCATGAGCGTGCTCTTACTGACGCTAGCTTCGGGCTCCCGAATCTATCTTAATTAGGGAAGAACTAACGGCCGCCTTCTTAGTCTCCCACAAATTCGGACCGCCATAAAGTGGATACTTCATGTCGCTTCACGGGATAATGGACTCAGAGCGATCATCTTCCCGCAATCGTCGACATGACCGCATCGCGGTGAGTTTCCCGGGAATTCGGATCGGAGGGCTTGAACCCCGGTTAGTCGGCGGGAGGGAACTCTGTCTGAATGAATATATCAGAGATCGGAGAACTGCTGGAGTTCGAATGACGGGAGCTGAATTCGGCGGGAGTTTTTCCACGCAGTAGTTTCCGGAGATCATCGTCCGACTGGTCTTTGTGAAAGTCGGAGAACAGCATGAACAAACATGTTTTGTAGAATGCCGCTGTCGCACGCTCGGAAAAAATGGTAGGCTCGCCCAACTCGGAGGGATTCCGTGCCCTGTCCTTCTCTTCAGATGTACCGCTTCGCAGCCTCGATTCGGCGGCGAGTGCTCGCTGCTGTAGAGGTTTCGGCATGTCAAAGGCGAAAAACCAAGAATAAGGTCAACCCACGGCCATCGGTCTTCCCGATGGTGGGAGCATGGATGGATGGATATATTTTCGACAGGAACCCCCGGGTTTGTTCCCTCCCCGGAAGGAACTCCGAGAAAAGGAGTGACGCCCCTATCTGAGGCCAAACAAAACACGAAACTCCGTGAAGTGTCCCAATAAGCTGGGTCACGATAACTATCTAATATCGGAGGCGCGTTTATTGCCATGGAGCTCGCTCAGGGTTCTGGGAGCGACCCTGCCTTAGTGGAGATCACGCCGGTCTGTGGTGAGATTTCTCCGGGAGGCGATTTCTTTCGATTCGCACCATCGCGCCAATTCTATCGGCCTACCTATTGGGTCCCCGCGTTGACATTCCCCGCTATCACCGGGAGGCGACGACGCGAGTCGTTCTTGTGCTGAGCACGGGAGATATTGCACTGCACGATCGCTTGGCGAACATACATCAAGCGTCGAGAATGTGCGCGGATGTAATCGCGCCGAATCGTCGGCACGGGTCACAACATATCCTGGGAACATCTCACCAACGGACGGAAATGGCTCCTACGAACAGAACTTCGCTCCGGAATGCTTCCAAAGCTTTCAGAACAAGTGAGTTCTCATTCTACTTCCTCCCGCGTTCGAACTGTGCTTCGACTCGCGGAATCCGACCACTCGAAACAAGCGCTACGTGTTCGAATCCAAATTGACGACACCTGTCCGGGGTCGAAGGATCCAATGTTGTTCATCGATTAGGATTTTTGGATCTTCTTCAGTTATCGCCTCGCCGGCGAGCTTCATTCGAAAGAGACTGCGTCGCGATGTTCCGAAGCGTAACTTGAAGCTCGCGCTCAGCCCCCTATCGAACGCCGTGTGCTCACACAAACCAGTGGGCATCGGAAAGTTCGCGGAGGACGAAGCCGCTCGAGCTCTTTGCGACCTTTTCACCGAAGATGCAAGCTCTTACGCCGATTGGGTGAGTAAGCCGCGACTGTTGAGAGACTGCACTCGAAAGACGCCGGCAACGAAGTCGACGATCGGCATCCGACAGAGAGACCTACGGAGCTCATGAGATGATCCCCGCGATCGCTTCTCCACTACAGTTCTCGTTTCCAGCGATTGCTGGAAGTTTTGAAGCTGAACTTATCGCCCCAAGGCCGTAATCAGTGGCCAGCGAACATTTGACGGAGGGGGCTGCACGTGAATCTGAATAGAAACTCGCTCCGCCTCGGCTCGGATTTCTCAGCCGGATTCTATCGCTTCCCGAAAATGATATCGAGCCCCGCTTCTCTCGGAGCGCTGGCGGGCGATTCCGATGGAACGAACGTCGAGGCGGACGCGGGGCCAGCGTATGACACCCGATGAGATTTCTGTCCTTTTTTTGTTCGTTCCTCACAATTATTCTACCGCGTGACGAACCTTATCTGTGACATTCCCCATAAGAATCGTTCCCGCTCCCGTGTCGTCGGATTCGATTCAATTCGTTGAGCTTTTCCGATTCGATATCAGAAATCTTCAGAGCTTCTCGGTCGAGTCTCCAAGTGCAGGAGATCCTTAATGAAGTCTTGCGGCCTCGAGCTTTAATTTCCTCTCTAGGCCGGAATGTTCCTGGACGAATTAGGCGATCGACTAGCGGCGATGTCCCGAATGTGGGAGCCCGCGCTGGAAGTCATGAAAGCGGGAACGGGGTTCTCTCGGAGCGATCATAACACCTTGAGGAAGTTTCATTTCCAAACATTAGCGAATCTCTCTGAAATGGCGGAGTCAGTGACACGAAGCAATTGGTCGAAACCGAGGTGAGCGTTGTGGCAGGATCGAATCAGATGAGTCACATGGTCCTTTCTGGACTGGTGTAGCTAGATTCTGCCTTTGTCATTGGAATTTACTATTTCGATTTTTCCTTGTCCTTTCCCTCCCCATCGCAGAGTCAAGCTCTCGTGTCGATATCATCAAGACCTAGATGAAATCTATTTCCAAATTTGTCATTGCCACGAAGACATCCGGAGACTGGTGGGATTCATCGGCAGCTACATCGAGAAATGTGAAACACCCACGGTGCTGTACGGAGTCAAATGCCGCCTCGATGTAAGAATAAAACTTCGAGACGTCGACATCGAATTCGATCGGGCAAGTTTCTGACTTCGAATGATAAATAATAATCGGCGCTGTGTCTGTATTCCTCATGTTTCCTGCTATGGAGCTCAGGTTGAGTTTTCCGCTTCCAGGCCATCGATGCGCTCCAACAAACACGACGACGATTCGAGGATCAGCTCGAGCAGCTTTTCGAGGATTTGCGGAAAACCTCAAGCGCCATTTCAGAATATCTCGCTGCGGTCAGAGAGTCCGCGAAGGCAGTCCGCGGCAACTTAGCTTAGATCACGTGTATATATTGTACTCAAGTGGTTTGTGGAATCTAGGATCTCAAACTCGGTCGGGGGAGAAACTCGATACAATATCTTGTGGAGGATTCTGTAGGGCTCGTTCTAGTCGATTGGATCTCATCCTGGAAGATAGCATGAATACTAGTCAGCAATATTTCGTAACAATTACCATAAATTTTACATTGCATAAAAACTCCCTTTCTAGTAAGGCTATTGAATCCTGGCGGCCAATAGCGATGAGATTTTTGCTGTCCGAAACCTCCAGATGATGCTCTTTCCAAGGAAAGCAGGTGGGGCCGAGCGAGTTCGGTATACCCGAAGCACAGATCTGAGCTTAGGTCCGTCCTCGAATATTGCCGCAGTGGTTACTGACTTGACTCTGATGACACCCAGTTACCACAGTGATTTCAAGCAATTCCACCGGAGAATTTGGTAGACCGGCTTCTCGGCAAGGAGGGGACCTTTTCTGTCTACCTGGGGAAACCTGCAAGTTACCAGCTGAGTTCCGAGCTCTCCTTTGCTGGGATTTCTCGAATTTGATTCCTGGAATGTAAAATTTTCCGGACTGAGCAAGTGGGCCTTCCCGGCGGGCATTCGGGGTGGGGATCCATGGAAAAGCTTGACTTTTCCCCCGAGCTGGGTGACGGAATGGTCTAGGTGTGGGATTGATACCCTGAGCAGGAGCGTGCCCACCTTTTTTTTGAGGGGGCCAACTTGGATTCGGGGGAGAAGGGCTACGGGCTGAAAACGATGATGCGCCTTCTCGCGCCGGATGCTCCAATATCGAAACCGAATATTTTTGCAGGGGGCACTGGCCCTCTTTGTCCGATCTTGGTTTCTCCGGCGGAATTCGCTCCAATGCTTGTCGAGCGATAGTGCCTCTAAGGAGCATCCATACAATTTGTTCCCAGTAAATGTGGAAAGCTCCTTTGGCAGCTGTATAGCATCCAATGAATTCAACCTCGAGGAGTCGGACACCGATAACTGAAATGCGGAGGAGCCAGGCTCATTCTTCCCGTCATCAGGGCACAAATAATTCGCTCGAATTCTATCGCGAGCTCGAACGACCCGCTCACCCGGAGGACAGTTATGTGGCTCATATTGACGCGAATTCAGTGTACCCGCGTACATAGGTAGCGCGTCCTGCCGACCAGCCCGTGATCTTACACTCGGATAGAGTCGAACGATTTGCTCGAAAACGAATACTGGAATCGTAAATCAAACTCTCTCCGCAAGAAGCTGGAAATTCGGATAAAAACGACTAATTGGGAAAACCTAATGCTTTTCGGATCTATGACGGTCTGATCGAGGACCCTCGCTGACCAGTGTAGTCAGAGTCTAAGAGCACTATCAATCTAGGATATCGGGAACTCCCTAGATATATAGGGAATGGAGAAAGATCATTCTCACTCTCCGTATGAGTAAACTAAGGACAGGCTTCGATGCGACAGACTGATGAGAGGAAGCCGCCACCGGATTCTCGAATTGATTTCTTATTCTTGGTCTTATCCTAGGTAGCCACTGCTCACCGTTTTTTCCTAGCTCCTACGGGACGTATGGTTTCGGCGGACTCATACCGAAGCACAGATGTACTCCTAGAGGGCCCGCTTCCATAAGGATGCCTCAGGAATGATTAGCTTCGCTTTTCAGTCTCTCGGTGTCATAGCGAGACCAATCACTTCTTTGATGACTCCCTCTCACGCCCGGCCGCGTCAATACACACAAGATCATCTGTGATCAATCGGTCTTGGTCACTCTCCTTCGCTCGTACGAGGAAGGAGAGTCCCAGAAGCAATATTTGTGGGGATGGTACTCTCAGTGCCGTTCACCGTGGTTTTACGCAGAAAGGGATACTTCCTCGGTCACAGATTTCAATATCTCTTCTTGAAAGCGATAGACAGCGGAGGGGAGCTCCCTCGTGGGTATTTCTGGCCGGATGAGCGGATTCCCGCGGTCTCGATGGATTCGTCGTGAGGCACCGCCACTGTAGCCCACATCCTCACGATGACCTCGAACGAGGACGAATCTCTCAGACTGAAAAATCGGATCGATCACCATCAATTCCGACGAGGCGGCCGTACGCATCGAGCAGGATGAACGTCTCTTCGTACAGGACGATGGTTCCCGATCCTAAAAGGCGGTAACTTTGAACGTGCTCGACAACAATTAGATCGGGGTTCGAGCCGAACATCCTATTTGTATGGGGATTGTACAGGGATCTCGTGACACTTCTCGGAGACGGCACCGATGGAACAGTTAGAAAGCTTTTGTTCACGGTGTGAGTTCGGTAGCAAAGTTTGCATCGACTTTTCCTCTTCAACCCTCCTTAGTACGAAACGAGAATGAGATCACGTCGCTTATTTAAAGTTGTGCTCCCGGCTTCTCGTTTTCCGCCACAAAAACTGGGATTCTAGCGCTGTCCTGTTCCCCTTTTCCTCCTTCTCGTCGAACGTCGTGGTCTTGATGTCTGTCGACGTGAGGAGCATGTTTCTCTGTCGCCTCTTCATCGATTGAGGACGACTGAGGCGAGGAATCAGCCTCGACGTAGTCCTTCTCGTCGTTGTCTCGAAAGCCTTTCACCGCTACATTCAGTTCACAGACGACCGGAATGAGTTTGATGCGGCTCTCGGCTCCGACCCGGTCGCGATACAGGAAGAATCTCGAATCAAAGAGCGGTTCGGCTGGTCCTGAACGTCATGTTTCATGGCATTTGCACCTCTCCCGATCATCGTTCACTCAGACCGTCGGGGAGTATCATCGTGGTCTCCGCAGCCAGGGCCTCGCTCGGATCTGGATAAATATTTCTGAACAGCTGGAACCTTCCTCCCCGCATAGATTGAAGCAGTCGACTGATTAAAGTGCCAGCCGCTCGCAGGGCAGACTACGCGCGCGTGTTCTGTAATTTCCAACCGTACCACACGTTGGCCTAAGCCATAAATCAACGTCCTTGAAAGATGGGCACGCAGCACGGCGGAGTTCGACTTACCCCACGCATCGCTCCAATGACAGATCATCAGTTTGCGGCAATATCTTACCCGCATTTCTACGCGTACACCGCTCGATACGAGCCCGCCAAACTCTCTTGTTCCGGTTCAGAGTTTATCGGAAAGTCTAGCATAGAACGAGACGAGCCAGGGCCGATTGAGGATCACCATCGGAGATCGGGGAGAGGATCTCCGAGAATCGTTCTCGCTACGAGGCTCTATCCCCCCGACGGATCGCGCTCTCAGAATCTGGAGTCGTCACAGAATGATCCACCGTGTCGATCGCTCCCAGTGAATGTAATGATCATCCCTTGGAGTAGGCATCGTCTCCCTCGCTCCGAGCGGCGTCACTGGATCTGAGTGAGTGAATTCACTAACTAGGATCATTACTCGATGCGGATCAAAGCCGCCCGACACCCGACAATAGAAGGTTCTTCAATTAAGACAAATAGTTCATTCCGCGAAGTTGTCAACGTATACCATCCACTCGGCATGATCCAAACTCTCGAGAGCTATCCGACCCAATCTAATTCGGCTGCGAGCAAGGTTGCCTGACTCTTCGCTTGCCGACGCTACCTACGATCGGGGCTTCCGCTCGCATGAAGGGAGGTGAGAATCATTGGTGGAAGAAGACCATGTGCAAAACTGGGAGAACTCTTATAGATCGCCTGGCCGAAGAATCGACGTGTCAGTTTCGCTAAGGAAACAATTCAGCGGAGGGCAGAAAATTGATTTGCGAGCTCAAGCGAGACTATTAGTCGGGATGTGGATTTTCCGCGGCGACTACCATATTCGCGATTTTCGTTGATTTCAGCGATTCCCTCGAGATTCGCCATTTCTCAATCGATAATGAATCGATCCTCTCTCGAACGGCTAAAGTCGTGGGATCAGGCTCTGAGAGCCAAAGGTGTTCGGAACCTCAACAGGGCTCAACCTCTGCGAAACCCGTTCATTGCTTGAGAATGGCCCCAAGCTCGGGAAACGGCCCGATGAAGACTCGCCACGAGGGTCGAACTTGCAAAGCTCATTCGTTTTCGGGAAAACTCAGCTCTCACCGCGAGTTCGGAGTGAGTACGGTAGAATCTCTTTACGACGAACCGCGCGGGACTGGCAAGATCTGTTCCTTGTAATGAATATTCGCGGTGATGAATGGTCTTCAACATAATTTCGACGGTTGACTAGCCAAAAGGGGTGGGGAAAAGTCTTCCTTGTCCTTGGAGATCGCTGTGGAGGGGGTCTTCTTGCGACGAGATTCCACTGTATTGCGATTTTCCGCGATTTCGCAGTAATTTCGGGGCTACCCACGGATTTCGCGCTTCCTCACCGTGACACTCTGCGATTTCAGCGATATGGTTCCGCGGAGAATTAAAGGTCTCGCCTCAATAAAGGGGACCACGGAGCATGCTCGGAATCGAGCATGACTTTTTTTGCCGTTGTTTACGTCCCGGCCCGAGAAGTTCGGTGCTTCCCCCCCCCCCTCCCCTATTTGAAAATGGAGAACATTTGCGACGTTCAAGCTCGGACAACCGTGACGCGGAGTAGGCGGCGAGTCAGTCGCAGGGACATTGTTCAGATAGCTGTTAATTTGTTGTACTTATCGCCAAGAAATTCGGAACGTCTCTCCCCCTCGGCCGCTCCAGATCCCTTTCTCAGAGGTTGAGGCATGCCTCTCGGGCTCACGTGCTCGGAGTGAGCGATTCCAGTCATAGGATGTCAGCACTACGAGCCGTCCGCAATGTTTCGTCGTAGTCGAATTCCTTCCGCCGCGTGCTGCCTCCACTGTCCAGTGATTAAGGCCGGATAGAAGCTCTAGAACCATGCGAGCCCTCAATTTGTTTTCTTTGTACTGCGTGTTCTCCCTGAAATTCACCGTGGACGCCGCAACGATCCAGGAATGCGATTTCATGCCTCAATGCACGTGTACACAATCGATGGTGACATGCGTAGGACTCCGGATCTTCTCATTGAAAGGTATGTCGTTGGGAGGGACAGCATCGACAATGAGTTGTCGCGGGAATCGGAATCGGGAACGGGAAACTAAAGTTTGGCGAGGTTTTCACCGGAGCATCGATCACAGCTCTAGTCGGAATCGATCTCGTTCCGAACAGACGATCCAAAGCGCGATTTTTCCATTCCATTATTCATCCACTCATCGAATTTTCGTCAGGCTTAGGAGTGAGCGACGGTTGGCAGCGGTGCTTTGATGGACGAAGTTCGCTTTCGCGCCAACCGATCTCGCTCGGATTCTTTGGATTGAAACATTTAGGGGAGAAACGAGATCTTCCGAGATATAGATCTCCTTCCCAGATCCATCAGATCCGAAGCAAAAGCACGCGCATGAGTTGAGTGTCGTTCTCCTTCAGCTGAAGGCACGGGCAACTGGGTTTTCCCTGAAGGTGTCAATACAGCGAAAAACCGGAGCCGGACGGAACATACGATTATAAAAATACTATACAGCCCCGGGAAATCGCAATGTCTCGTATGCGTCACCGTGCATTTCAATCCATAGCTTGCGCTGAATTAAATGAGTTGGGTCGGCGAATGTCAATGAATAATGCTCCCTCGAGCGAAGAAATTATCGTACCTGAAAAACCAAACGTACAATATAGCTGCTTGTTTTTACGTGCAGCTTGTGACGGCTTGTGTACATACGGACATGGATTCAAATGACTGGTCCTCGGCGTGTTTTATTCATAAGCAATCTAGTAGTGCATTGTCGTGGCTACTCGACTGTGAGACAAGCTTGGACTGGGATAAATTTTTCATGTTGAAAGCAAGTAGCACTCCTGTTCTGACATTCGTCGATTAGCCCATAGGAACTCTGTCACAAGCTTGTCCTACAGCTGTCGTTCATCTGAAGCATATCGCCACCCTGATTCCCTGATCCACGCGTGAAGTAATGCACGTTTCCGTGTTCTGGGTAATCTCAGTCAGAGCAATCTCGACGATTGCATCCTATGAGAACGCCAAGGACTACGAGACCCCCTCTATGAAGGGAGAATCCGATGATCGAAGACACGCGGAGGACTCTGGTCGGTTGGAGAGTTGGGAGATACGGGGACCCAGAATTTTCTCCTTCCAGATGTCTTCGAAAAACCCGATCATCCGACGGAGGTCGCGCGCCCCTACAATCAGATCGTTGTCAGTCGATCTGGCCTCCTGCACATCGACTGGGCACCCCAGAATGTCGTGACGTTGAGTCTCCCGAAAAACCACATCTATGAAGTTCATTCCCGGTCTCTAAACGGCAGCCGAGAAACGCTCTCGAGTTTAGACCTGAGCGATAACGCCTTGAGCGATGTGCCGAATTTGAACGAACTGAAACAGTTGCGGTGGTTGAACCTTCAACGCAACCAGTTTTCCGAAGTTCCTCCGTCCGTGAGGGAGACAAATCTCACTACGCTACTGCTCTCCGGGAATTTCATACGCACCATCGCCGTGGACCAGTTCCCACGGTCTTTGACTACGCTGCACATGGAGTCAAATCAAATAATTTCGGTCGAAGGACACGCTGTTCCTGCCGGACTCCGTCTGCTCAATCTCGGCAACAATTTCATTCACTCGATTCCACACAACTTCCATCGATCGAGTTCACTCGAGCGGTTGATACTGAGCAACAACGTGATTCAACGGTTGCGTTCGCACTGGAAACTGCCGAAATCGCTCGAAGACTTGGACTTATCGCGCGGATCACTGCGCGAGTTGGACGATACTCCGCTCGGTCTATCGAGCGACAGCTTGAGCGATCTGAGAGCGCTACATTTAGAATTCAATTTCATCACAAGGATCTCGGAAAAAGTTTTCGAAGGCGTGCATCTTAAGAAGCTGTTTCTCAATTCGAATCGATTGATACAACTCCCGCAAAGACTTTTCGACGGTGAGTTTACCACACAGGTGGCCCGCAGGGTTCAAACGAAGAAAGAACATCGATAGCGCCAGGTTTCCCATAGTAGACTTCGATTCGATTATACATGTATACGCTGTATAGTTATTGGCATAGCTCACTCAACCGATATGCTTTGAAGCGACGATTCGTGGACTAATATCTGTTCGAGATCCCAACGAGGTGATGAAACCATTACTCTCCTGCTTCAGGGGCGATAGCGACCAGCCTGCTCGTATTGGACTTGAGTGAGAATCAATTCGAGTTCCTACCGATCTGCGTGTCGTTCCTGAAGTCTCTTAGAACCTTGCTGGTCAAAGGAAACCGATTGGCCACTTTCGAGTTCCCAGTCCCCGAGCCCATGTTCGCCAATTCATTGCAGGTGAGCGATTGACGATTTGAAATAAGCGAGGAGGATTTTCGAGCTTGAGTTGTCCGTGGGGTTGACTTGGCAAAATCCCTTTAGACTTTAGACACTGGAAGCAAGGGAGCCCTTGCACATCCCACCTATGGGGAGACTGCTGAAGACGATTCTCGTCAATGAGAGCGAGGAAGATCCCGTGGCCGAGAAACGAGGGGGAAAACAAGCTCGGAACGCACGATGAGGTGCGGCAGGCAAACACACAGATGATGACAGGGTCCAGGCATCCCCTCATAGGGACATTCTCGTTGCAGATCTTGGACCTGGCTCACAACAAGCTGACAGAGATTCCACCGATGTTGTCTAATACATCGTCGCTGATCAGACTGAATTTCCAAGGAAACGATATTAGCTCACTGGGATTGCTTTCTCGGGGCAAATGGAGCTCGAAGCTTCAGAGCCTAATTCTTTCGAACAACGCTATCAAAACAGTGTCCCATGAGGACTTCTCGAAAATGATCGCTCTCAAAGAGCTCAAGCTGTCGGCTAACAACGTTCGGTATCTTGACCCTGCTTCCTTCGAGTCCTTGAAGGCTTTGCAGGCACTTGAGATGTCTTCATGCTTGGCCAGCGACATTTCAATGGAGCGATTGTCCAAATTGTTGAAGCCACTGGGACAGCTACGCTTATTACAAGTCGACTACAATCGAATATATGGGAACGATGTCTTAACGCAGAGTCTTGTCAATGTGGATTTCGACGGAAATGATCTCAAGACGACTCCTTCGCTGCCGGCTGTTTCGAAAATCGCTCGTGTGTCGTTCAACTATAACGGGATCCGAATTCTGAAGAAGAATTCGATTCGAAATGTGTCCACGCTGGAACAGTTCATCCTTATCGGGAATCCTCTGCGAGAGATCGAGAGCGATGCCTTCAACGGGCTAGGTTCGCTCGTCAGCGTTATTCTCTCGTCGAACCGGATCCTCACTATACGTAGCGGATCGTTCCGCAATCTGCCCTGTTTGCAGAGAATCCATCTGGATAACAATTCGCTCCAACATCTGAACCTCGACATGTTCAGGGCCGCGGGGCGTCGTCTGCTGTTGAACGCGTCTACTAACTTCATCGAAAATATCTTGGCCGCTAACGAGCCTGTTGACACTCGCATTGTGGATTTGTCGCAAAACGAACTTACTTCGCTGTCGAATTCCTTCTGGGATTCGACGGAGCGACTCGTTCAACTTTTTGCCTCGAGGAACAGGATTTCTCGCCTGTCGCCTGGGAAAACAGTACACGAGAAACTTTCGGTCGTCGATCTCTCGTGGAATAGATTAACAGCAGACGCAGTGCTGAACCTTTCTCTGATAGCGCCAAATCTCGAGGAACTGTATCTGCGGGGCAACAATCTCGAATCAATCGGGTCGGCCGAGGATGCCGCGATGAACAACCTGAGAAATTGGCGACTGCGGGTTCTGGACGTCTCCTCAAATTTTATCCAGCGTTTGGAGTCTGGGAGTCTTCCGTCCCGCCTGCAGATGCTCAACGTGTCCGGTAACCCGCTGAAAGTGTTCAATATCCCTGAAAATAGCCTCCAATTATCAAGCTTAGATATATCGGACACGAATTTCCGACTCGGAGCTGATTGGTATTTGGGCGAACGCCTTCAAATGCTGAACGTATCCTCAACAAAGACGCAAGAGCTCTCGAGCGAAAGTCTTCCGCCATCCCTTCTGCTTCTCGAGGCGTTCGGCTGCAACTTGAAATCCATCTCGCTCAATTCACCTCGTCTGATCGAATTGAAGCTGCGAAACGCATCCCTGCCTTCGCGGACGATGGTCCACGCTCCCAGGCTCCGTCACCTTGACCTCGCACACAACGCCATCCGGAATGTAACCGCGCTCCTCGGAGCGTTTCCTACCGAGAGGTTGAGGATACTCAATATCGAGCACAATGCGATAGATAAAATTTCACCGGACTTGTGGAGAAATTCCCCGGTTCTCCACACGCTGGACATGAGCTCAAACCCCGTGGATGTTCTCGGGGCTCACACTTTCAGAGGCTTGGGGCATCTCGCGGACCTCGACATGCGGAACCTGAGTCTCGTTCGTCTCGACTCACGTCTCCTCAAGCAAGTCCCGTGAGTGAAGATCGGCTAAATTCGTAGACACATCAACTTTTATCACCGAGATATGTACCTTCGTAGGTCCTTGGCGACCCCCAGAAGGAAAGAGTTCCGAGCCCGTAAATCCGCCCGCAGCGGTGGGCCTTCAAAGTCTCGCTCCTCGCTCCCCTTGGGGGAAAAAGTATAATCGACCTCCAGCTCTCCCCGGAAATCCGGTCTCATCACCTAAATTTTGGGCCAGGTGTCTCTCCACGCTCCGAATATCGACCTACAACAAAGGTATTCGGAGTTTGCGTCTCCAAGAATTACTGGCCGAGTCGCAGCTACAGCGAGCTGTGGTCGAAGTGGGGGAACCCGTGCTCTCATATCAATTGCAATGGGCATTCGACACCAAAGCCAAGCTGCGAGAGCTCCACGTAACCGGTGAGTTTTGCCCCTTACACAAATCGTTTGGCAATAATTATTGTCTCATAGCATATGTGCGCCCTGAGGAGTCTCGCTCAGGGTCGCGTCTAGAAGCGTCGCTCGTGTTGTCCGACGACGTACTCTCAAACTCCGGTTGGGTGTTCGGCTGAACAAGTGGGTATATCTTATCTTTAATCCGAGAGAACATGGTCTAGTCACGAAGCGGAGCGTCTTCCTACCGTATCGCCAAAAAACTTCTAGGTGGCGTCGATAGTCGATGGAGAGCTAGTCGACCCTTTTCGAGAACCTTTTTTCCGCGGAAAGGAACCCTCCAAGTCAGAATGAGCGTCCAAAAAAGGGTAGCAAGTTGTCACCAACGGGAAAAAATGAGTATTTCCCTTGCTGTTCGGGATGTACGATGAGGGAGCACTCAGTTCCCACTAGCTTTATTAGTATTGTCTCCTACGGATTTTTCCTTGGTCGCGGGTGCCTCGAGGGATTCGGCGCTCGAAACTGGGATCAATTGTTTTCCTTCGAGTCGATGAGGTGCCTTGGAATCAAACGAGGCGCCAACGGGAATTCTCATCCGAAAGCGGCGTGTAGCATGTTCGATCTGCGGTCTTCGCTGCGGTAATGTATGGCACCAAGTGATCCTCGCAAACTATGGAAGACTTCAAGACCCCCCAGGCGCCGCGTCGGATCTAGGCAAGGACACGATATGGATATATGCTGGAATCCGCTTCCTCTCCTTAAGGGAGTCTGTCGGATCTCTTCTTGAGCGAATTGCGCGAAAATTCGAACACCCCAACATTTTTCTCCTCGAAGAACGATTCACTTCGTTTTCCTGTGGACAAGCCCGCCTCGCCTATGTTTTTCCTATCTCGACGTTCTAATTCCGAATCGACATTTTCCTCTGCGCGCGGTGCGAAACCGAAGAGGCAGCTGATGTTCGCACTTTCAGCTCTGATTGCTCTCGTTGTCGGTCGCGCTCGGTCCGAGCGGCGCTGTCGACCTTAACGAGATTAGAACAAACTGTTGGACGAGACTCGACTTCAGCGGAGCACAAAGTGCCAGAAATTAATTTTTACCGTCTTTCTCTGCTGTCGTCGGCCTCGCCCTTGCCGTCGTCGACTTCTTGGCATGGGTCATGTGTCATGACTCATGACGAGCCTTTGTCTTCACCTTCTAGGGGCACCGTTGCGTTTAATTTTGCCGGACGCCTTCCAGGGATTAGAGAGCGTCCACGAGCTCAGTCTCCGGATCACACACACTTCCATTTCGGAGCTTCCTCCAGGCCTCCTCAGGTGAGCGTAGGAGTAGTGGTAGCGGGTCAACTTATGCTGCGCAAACACGAGCTCTGGACGTCCGATATTTGTATCATGGTCAAAGCTCCTAATTCCATGGATTGCAATCAGGTATCTTACGAACATTCGCTACCTTTCGTTGGACCTTCGCTACAATCGCCTGCAGAGCCTATCTCCAACTGTATTGGATTCGAAGCGATTGCGGCCCGCACACAGAGAGACGCAGTTGTTGCCGGGTAAGCTGCCGTGACCTGTGTTTGTGAAAAATTCACAGTGGAGGCAAGAAAACACGTGTGACACTTCCTATTTATGCTCCCAATGCTATCTTCTTGCATCGTAGCTCTGTCTGATGATCGTCAATGGTGACGGTAGTTAGAGATGGAGCCAACAGCCATCGAAGACAGAATAACTTATTGCAGCATATAGTCGGTGCTCAAGCGCGATACGATCTAGATCGAGGAAGTCACCGGCCTCAGAGCTGTCTTGATTCCCATTCCAACGGTGTGGCATTCCGGCAAGCGCCCGGGAAGGGCTCAGTCGGTTAGAATCGCGAGAACTGGGCACTGGCCGTATGCATCCTGTTCCAGTTGGTGCGAGGGTGACAAGTGCGATCCTGCAAAGAAGGGCCGCCGCAACCAAAACGTCGGCTGCGTGGAACAAGAGAGAAAACTGTTATGCTCGCTGAGTAGGTCGCTCGTTCTCGCAGGTGGACTCCGCGTAGATGGGAATCCTTGGCATTGTTCCTGTGATTTAGCGTGGCTCGCTAGCTGGCTGAGGCGTTGGATTCGGGAAACAGGGCGTCTACAGCGCTTTGAAGCCTCAACGGCATTGCAGCTTCACCAGACGGTCAGACGAGCCACTTGTTATTTGCCCGGCGGAAGGTGAGCATTTGTTTCACGAAATTCATTCGCGCGGGAGTAGCTTGGTTCCTACGAAGAATGAGCCATCTTGCTAGAAAGTTTGGATAGCTCAAGCTCGGGGTCTGGCTGGGAGTCGAGAAAGATTCCGAAACACCGGTCGGTATCGGGGCTCGGAAAGATGCTCCGAATCAGTTGTCGGAAAGCTCGTCTGCCAAGGCGGAGGAGCGAGTGTTTCCCATTATAGGAAGACCAAAATACTCCTGATTTTTTGTGAAATTCCTCTCCTGGACCGCTGGTGGCTATCTCTCGACTCCGAGAGCACTTGTAACTTTCTTCTGCGAATGTCCAGTTTAGATCGCACGCGAAAGCTTTGATCTGGCCTCAGTACGGGAACTTCCGCGCCTCCTGCGTGGCTGACCGAGAAGATCTGACTTTATTTCATTCGTTAACGAGGGAACATGAGGATTATCTGACTGAAATTAATTCCCTGACAGTGGTCCGAGAGTTGAGCGATCCCTGCGGTAGCGGCGTGTCTCTTTCGACCGATCACCGATTCGAGCTGTGAATTTCAGGTCAACACCAATCGTCGATTTTTCTTTTGAAGAAATGAATTGCGCCACAACAGCTGCTTCGACAAACTCTGCATATCTGAGGCTGCCAGATTTTCTATGTTGTTTCGGTTTCGCCATCCTCACAATCATCTGAGGCGGTCAAACCCACGAGTCCTTCGCGTGAGCGAATATTCATGTGATGTGCGAACTTGCCGAGAAGTTTCATAGTTGTAATACTCGAAGCAATAAACCAAGACCGAATTGCAGAACCATGAATCTTTTCTTCCTGCGATCTGACCCGTGGATTTTCTGATCGCCGATCGTTTTTCGGGTTTCACTGATTCTCTTCTTTTTTTCCGAAATCAGGAAAGGATAAAGCAAGCATGACCGAAACTTTTTCGCCTCGCTATCCACAATGGCGGCATCGGCGATCATGAGCGGATATAGCATAAGAGCTCTCTCAGACAGCGGCGGCGGAGATAGATGCGGAACCCCCAATAGCGCGCGGCTCGTCGACGCTTGCTAGTGCCTTATCGTAAATCGAAGCCCATTCATAAATCGCTATGCCTGCCTCTTGGAAACAGTCACGCACACTTAATAGAGGCAGGATGGCCCGCTGAATCCGTGGTCAGCCGCAATGGATCTGCCGACAAGCACGGAGATGCAGCAATGCCTTTGGCTTTCTATCGGAATCATCAGGCACGGAGCTGGCGGAGGCGTTCAATCGGGACGAGGCTCATCGTCGCATTGAGCTTGGATTTCGCAGGACCCCATGGAAACTGGCTCCATTTCGGCTCCAGGATCGGAGCGAAGGACGATGCTCCATGAGCTTGCAGCATTCTGCTCCTGCTGAGAACACATGCGGGACCTGAATCTTCCACAGGGCGATTTTTTCCCCGGAGACTCGGCACCCACGAACTCCTGAAGCTCCTCCTCTTGGAAGCTTCCTCCTCAGATCTCCGATTTTTTCGTGATCGACAATGCGTATTCCTCGGCGGGAATATCGAAAGGGGGAGAAGGTGGTTTCTCATCGGTATTGTTCCGCAGGGTACATCATATTCGGGGATTTTGATTTCGGATAAGTTAGAAGCGCGATGAAAACTGAGAAATCGAGGTGAGGGGCTTACCGCCGCGGCTCATCATAATTGCCGCGCGACCTTTGGGCATCTTAATGAGTACCGACTGAATGTGCCCTAAAAATGTCCGTTACCTCGCTAGAAGCTCCAGTGGTCGGCGATAGATAAGTTCCTACGACGGAATATCCTGCCGCGAGATCAGCGGCGCCCGAGGTCTGCTGTGCACCTTTCGAGAGCTTGTTCATTGAAAGTGGCTGTGTGTCATCCTTCTCCTGGCACTATTATAGACTTGTTCTGAATGGGAATGCATTCTCAAAGGGCTTGCTTAATCAGCCGTGTGCAGGTCGGGGACCTGACTGATTAATGCTAAGCCAGCATCTATCGCCGGTCCTCGGAAATACATCACGGGACGACATGGTCTCTACTACGACAAAAACCTCCCCAAACTCCCGCTTCTCACTCTGACTCTTTGGCGACTGCAATGACGGAGAGATGTGCTATGGAGTTTTTGATTTAGCTCACGGAGTCCGAACGGACGTCGAGTTCTGACATCCGACTAGAGCCTTGACATGACGAAGCTTATCCGGGTGCAACTCGACAGCTCCCTCTGAGCGGGTCATAAAACAAGGAGTTATCGAGAGACGTATCGAAATTCGAGGGTCCGTCGTCCCCTCTTAATTCGGAAACTCAGTCGCTACACGGGATGCGATGGAGCGCAAGGTAGTTTTTTAATTTCAGAACTACTCCGATCCTGAAGACCGAATTTTTCTAAACGGGTGTTGTCGACCGAAGGGTCTACCGTGCTCGTTCCATCTGGCTTATTAGCCGCTCGATGTCGGAGATAAATCTTTCAGAGTGAGTCGGATCCGCGAATCTGGGACGGATTTTCAGGAAACCCGCGCCCGCCTTCTCTCGCTTCTCTCCGTCGAGTCACTCTTCCGACCGGAACCAGGGGCACCTAATGACAAAATGATTACCTCTGATGGCATCGGCTCCGGCTGGCGTATAGCCCTGCACTTGATGTGCGAAAGTGATGTCGTCTCGTTCACACGACGAGAGAGAGTTGAACATGGCTCCTGATCGGTTTTTCGTTTTTTTTTTCCTACCTTCCGCTCGTGAGTTAGACCTCAAGCTGACTCTCACCATCGACAGATTCCAGCAACAGTCACGTTCAATTAAAAGAGTTGCAAGCTCCGCAAGTCACCTGGCAAGCGTGGCTGCATATGGTGCTGAGAGGAGTCCTACCGATCCGGACGAGGGGCTAAACCGATGGCCTCGCTAGGAGTTCGAGGGCACATATGTAGGTGTTCCTTTATAAGTGCACGCCCCTACCTCGTACACACACAGTGTTCATTCGCGGGACTTTTGTTCCTCGAGCGTCCTCCAGGAGAGTCATCGCGCCATGAGCATTTGATCGCCTTGTCCATACGATAACTCATAAGTGATCATAATAGAAAATTGAAAAATACTTTGAAAACGATCCCTGGATCTCTCCGCAAACCGAAACTCACAGAATATCTATCCGCATGAGGTCTTGGAGAACCCATGGAGCGGTACGTTTTTGATTTTCTAGGAACCCGTGGTCAGCCTCCAATATCGGTTTCGGCCAGTAGCAGAGGGGAGGTGGTCGAGTTATTTCTGCGGCGTGCCTCATTATTCAGCTTCGATTGATTCTCCTTTGACGTGATGACGAGCGCAGAACACCAATCCGTCGTAGAGAAAAGTTCTCCTCGCCAAGTTTCCGAAGGCCCGCACAAAGTCTGCATCTGTTTATTGAGTAGCGCGTTCAGATGCCATCTCGGAGCCGATAGATGAAGACAATCGCCTATGATGATCTTCCCGGGGGTATATGTAGCACGCGACAAGTCCCGAGCGGGAAGTCGCACCCCTCAGCTCGAGATTTCTCGAAATCGGAACTTCAGATGCGGAAAACATTTTCGAAAAGGGCCGCGCTACTATCGGATCAGAGGTCCTCGGTCCGCCGGAGTCTCGCCGCTGCCTGAATTCCGACGATCGATATTCCGTGGTGTATGGTCGAGCCTTATATGGGCCAGCTGCTATCGGTGGCACAATGATCGGACAGGATCCGGAATGGATGAACTAGCGCTGAGAATTGCCTGGATCTCATCTGCGGACATTTGCAACGAATTTCCGGGTCCCCCTTGCTGTTCACGAGAATTCTCACTGCAATGTACGGAATGAGTCGATCGAGGATAATCCGTGACCTCGGTATCTCTCACGTGCGTATTGAGGGGTTATAGATGATCTGTATACACAATAGTTTTGCGGAGACGGTTGTCTTCCCCGTCTTCCTACTCGCGTCGAGCGCGGAACGAGAAGGAAAAAGCAGCGTTTCCGTTGTTTCTAAAAAACATACTCATTTCCTATAATTTATTCCCATTTCTCGAAACGCTCACTGACTACACTATCCTTACAAGTAGGAACTCGATCAAGGAGCACGATTCCTCCCACTATGATAAATGACTTCGCTGTTTCTCTGAGATCTTTCCACCATTCAGTGGACGAAATGCTTATATATACAATGGAAACACGACGACTCGTCTGGCTCAAGGCATACGAAGAGAAATAGAAGAGCTGTCACTAAGCTGTGAGGCTTCGCGGTCTGGTCGAATTTTCGTGTTCATGGTTTCAATTTCGAGTTCACCAGGATCAGCTGGGCTAGGCGAGCTGGGTTTTTGGGCATTGGAAGGTCGTTCGGCGATAGCGATCTGGAGGCTCCTCGACCGTGTGGGTTTTGTGGGAATCCCGTTCATTGCCATCATGGAAACAATTTTTCCCCTGTCTGCATCATTTATGGGACGCAAGGGATTGGACGATTTATTGAACTCCTGTCTCACCTTTTCATTCACACGGCACCGGTCGAGATTGAAAAACAAATCTCTCTTTCCCGATTCGAAAAGTGCGAACCCGGCACGACTCCTGTGCAAACCGCGCAGGCGCACGGTCTTCTTGCTTCTCCTGGTTTTCAACCGATCCATAACAACGAACGGCTCATACAACTCGACCGGCTCGGACAATTTGACGCCTTTGTAGAAATGGAACGTTCGAATCGCCTCTGCTCCCTCCGATTCACAAAACTGTGGGAGATTCTCCTCTGAGTCGGCGGTGAGGCCTATCCGAGTCCCCGTCGACATCTCCCTCCGCCGTTTTGGGACTCTAGCAAGGTCCTCCCTGAGCTCCGATATCGATTGCCGTCTGGATGAATGGCCTTCTTGATCGGTATCGCACTCTTCGTAAGGCCTCCTTCGTATTAGACGCTTCCGACGTTTTCTCCTGTTTCTCACTGGCTCGTCTTCTTCGCTTCCCTCTTCTTTTGCTTCATCCTCGTTTTCTTCAGTGGAGGAGCAAGAAGTTGTTTCGGAATCGCTCGCATCGGAATGTTGGCTCGCAGGAATGCCGGTGTGCCATTCCTCTCTGGGTACCGGAACGTAGGGGGTGAATTGCGATTTTGGTCTCGGCCTGCGTAGGAACAAATACGAGAGGCTGCCCGCTGTAAAATGAGCATGAATCTCTTTAGAGCGCGGAGAGAGGAAATCAGGAATCAACCTCGAGCTGTACTCGGCTTTGCTGTATCCGGAGCAATCAAGACGGGCGTATCTCACTTGGTATCCGTGGTTGAGCGTAACCGAATCGTACGGCGAGCGTATCAATGTAGTCATTGAAGAGATCCGGATCCAAGCGCATTTCGCCATCTTCGTCCACAGTCATCTGTGAGAATCGAAATTCGAAGAGGAATGTCCCAAGGACCCATCGAGCCATGTTCATACAAGCCTTTCTTAATCATGTGTCATGTGTATAGATCAACGGTGACAAGATCAGGTGGAAATGTATTAATTTTTCTGCGCAGCTGGGACTCACCGCATCCGTGAGGCTCGGATACAACGATGACTGCAGACTGCATCGATCTTCGGCAGACTGCGGAGGGCGGAAAATTTCATTAGGACTCGCTGGTGTCTCAGGAGGAGTCGAGGGAGTGCCAATGCTTTCCTTCTGGAAATTCATCAACACTGAGAGAGACAGGAGTCCGAGACTCGGACAAGCTTTACGACTGACCTTTGCGCTCATGTTCAAGAGTGACGACTCGGTGTACGGTTGGCCTTCTGTCAAATCGACTGCCGGAGTCAACAGCTCCGGATCGAAGATCTCAGGATCGAGATGACTTTCGATAGGGGGAGAATAAGGTTTGAACTCTATTTTGCGAATCAGCTCTTCTGAGGAGAAAAAAACGAATGACTCCACGCCGTGCTTGATTCATAGAACAATTCTCGGTGAGTCTCTCCAAGTCGTCCCGGGCAGAAACAATCGTCCAAGGGAAGATAAAGCTACTTGAACAGACGATCGGTATCATTCGCTCACCAGATGGGATGCTCATCTGACGTCCCGGTGCGCCTCCCTCACTCGAACTGATATCACCACGTATGACTTCAAAGTCAGATTCTTCCGAAGAGTCTTCACCTCGCGAGCTGGTATCGTCGCTCTCAGAATCGAGCGATATGGGTCTGTCGCGAGAGGTGATGATCGTTTTCGGTGGGTTTTGGAGATCCACGGGTTCCAGGGTGCCATTTTCGAGAACTCTGACAATCTCGCCGGTGACACGGCGGATCACTTGACCGGGCACGGCACGTATAACGCTGCCGTTGACTCGGACACTCAGGTTGCTATTACTGGTCGCCACTTGTCGGACCGTCATGACGGGGGCGATCGTGGACGCCTGCTGTCGTGGCTGCTGCTGTTTCAGTTGCGGCGGTTGTGCGTATTGAGGTGCAGAAAACTGGAGCCTCGGTATTTGTGTAGGAGCAGTTGTCGGCAGCACAACAACGTCTTGACATGAATCTGGCCGCGCACTCCAGCTGCTTGATGGTCTGATGCGGCCGGTGGGGACGGCGAGGCGGTAAAGGGATGGTCTGGCCGTATGATTTGCTCTGAGACGGACAATACGTTGATCTGGGACTAAATACGTAGTAGGAGCTGTCATTCCCCGTAATACCGGGCCACGCTTTGGCAAGAGGGGTCTGAAGAGCGGTGTGCCCGAGGCGCACCTGACCGAACTCTGAGCCAGAGCCGGCGGTCGACTCTGGTTTGGGGATGTGCTAACAATTAATCGTACGCCATTCCGCGAGACTATCATCGAATCACTCGCCAGAGTGAACGATTTATCACCGCAAGAGATTACTCTCGCAGGGACTACACTCTTCTGGGCGCTAACTCCAGTGACCAAGACCGACGGGGTCGGTTTCGGAGCCGCTTGAGAGGATCTCGACCCGGTGGCTGATAACAAAATTGGCCTCGACTGTGTGGTCGGTCTAGCACCTTGCATCCGTTGTAAGAGGGGTGGGTATTTTTGAGCAGGTTGTGGAGCAAGGATGGGACGACCGATCGGCGTGCCCGGAGAGGGAGTGACACAGTTCGGCCCTTCAGCGGTTCTGTTTATCGTGACCACTCTCATTTTCGTCGCAGCCGCCGAGACACCCCCAGTCGATATCGGAGAGGTGGAGGACGAAGGTGAAGACGATGCCTCGATTGCGAGCACCGGGAACGAGACGGCCGGCGCTGTAATTTTCGCAGGTGCAATCGGGGTGGTCTTCCCAGGCTCCTGAGGCTTCGTAGGAGGCAACACGATACCGCGGGATGCGGCTTCTCTGCGCTGCGCCGCCACCTCTTCGGGCGAGATGGCTTGGACACTCCGGAGATGCAGCGTTCGGATATCGACCCCATTCCAATGCACTTCGACCACGCAGTCACCTCTGAGCATGTGATTGACCTATAATGGAGGCAAGGTATTCAGCAACAAGGAATTTCTTCTGCTTTTCACGTGAAAATCGGAACTACGACTTCGATTTGGCTCGAACGAGGTTCTCCCGAGGCTCGAGAAAACTCATCAGAAAAACTATATACCTTCTCCCGAACGAATTGACTGACAGCATCTCTGATGGCTTCTGGCGTCAGGCGGGTCTTGACGTCCGAGCTGACTTTGATTTTACGATAAGGTTTCACCTCCTCCGGAACGGCCACGGATCGGACTGACTCGATGATCATCTGGAATCCAAGCAGAGTTCTCAATGCTGGGAAGCACCTAGGCGAGGGATTCTCGTATTGGCGCGAACAGCTCCGCGCGTCGGGAGATAACACTTGCGTTGAGATATTTTCCGCTGACATTCAACGGAAACGACGATATGAACTTAAAAGGTCGTCTCTGATTGTTCATTGGAGAACTGGAGAAATTCTCGGGAGCGGAAGCTATTTCTCCCATTCCTATCCGATTCGTCTGAAGTTAGTCGGATATTATGTCCGAGCACGAATTTCGTCAGCGAGCGACAGACAGAAACATCGAGTACCGTGAAGGCAAGATGAATCATAGCCAGTACGATGAGCCCTCTCCAAGAGATATGCTCAAGGACTTCCATTTTCTGCTGTCGCCAAGTGCCGTGCGTACAGCCGCGCGAATAACGGGCTCCCGCCCCATCGGTGGGGGCTCTTCGATTTGAAGAACCCGCGTCGGCACAGGGTCAGCTGACCTCCCATGTTCGATCGACCGTTCGATAGCATTGGTATCACACATCACCTGCTAGAGGTTTAGCGGCCGCCTCGGCAAATCGAAGGCCCACGAGAGATAAACTTCAGAAAAAACTGTATGCGGTATCGGATGAGCAGTCTCGGATAATCCTGCGCAAGCAGCTTACCGTGTGACTTCAAGGAGCGAGAACTGAGGACGTTGCACAGTCTCTCTAGACATCTTGTATGAGGTCAAGCGGGGCAGTCTCGAAGGCTGCGTCGCGTTCCGTCAACAAGACTCCAGTCAGACATATCCACAGTTCCACTGCAGAGTTTTTTCAGTTGAATGTTCGCCTTCCCCGCAAATATGGCCACGGTGCTGGCAACCCAAGATTTCCGCTAGATCGGCTTCCCCTCCGGCCGCCAATTTAGCGGGATCGTCTGCTCTTGCCGGAAATATTAAACGGAGCACCCTGTAGCCTCTCGGAGGGTCGGAGAATGGACCTCGTTCGAGGCAGGTCCTCCGTAGACCCAGTATTTAATCGGATAATCTGTAGGACCCTCTTCTGGGAAAGCTTTGTGATGATACAAAAGGGAAACTTTTGCTCGGCAGCTCCAGATCACCTCGTTTGGAATTTCCCGCCATCAGCTCCGAGAATGCGGCGCTCCCCCTGCTCTCTCATGTCCGATAAAGATGAATGACATCATTCAAGGCCATAGTTTCCGATTTCCGGTTTTCCGATGATTTTTTCGAAGAATATCTCGATCTCCTCGGAAGTTAAGTTTTGGGCTCCCCCGTAAAGATATTTCTGAGAATCACCCCTTACCGTCCTCACCGAATAAGAGGGATTCCCGTGGGGAGACGCTTATCGGGAATTTCGATTCGGATATATCACACACAAGAGCGCCTTTCCCTGTGAGGCTCGAAGGGTTCCGGCTCAGAGCTCGAAAAGCTGTAATGAAGGGAAAGCCCCATCTAATCTAATCAGGAAGTGAGAGTCGCACGGGAGGGCGTTCATCGGATGGGGGGCAAGCTTCGACGATTTTCGTCACGATAAGAGAAAGACTATTTCGATAATCCAGACATGCTCGGAATCTAGAAAATGGACCCGACTCATTCTTTCGAGCTCGATTCACGAGTTCAATCCGAGCCTCACATTAGAGCATCGAAGGATATATATGGACTCAGAAAGAAATGCAGCGCCTTCGGGTGGATCAGGGCTGGGTTCTTCACCGCCAGCCAGGGAACAGGATCGAACCTTTCGCTCGGACATGGTCGGAAAACTACCTGACCACCCTATCGCTGCGTTGAGGAACCTGGATCGGTCGCCCTCGAGGGTAGGGCGAAGACTGCCCCATGCGGGCATCGTCACCAAAAGCAACAAGCAGTTTATCGTAGAGCCTCGACGGATCAGAGCGAATATAGAATGGAAGATATATGCGTGAATCCCCTCTCGTTTGGCGTTTCCAGCTACTTGATGCGTTCTGAACGATTCGAGCTATCGAGTCACAATCTGCTCTGAGTTTCCTCGCATGGAGGATGGATTGTGCACCGATCCTTGGGTGGGATTGAAGACTTCTTCGCGTCAAAAGTGGGAAGGAGGATGGTCGCCGCCGGTAGGGTCGACGCGACACTCTTACTGATGTTAGGGAACATGGTGCATAAGTTGACCTATCACAGATGTGTCCTTGCAACGACAGGTGCAGGAAAAGAATGCTTTTATGCCGAATATCCTGTCCGCGTCCACCTTCTTCCTGCCGGAGCGTAGTTCTTCGAGAACTTCAAGTTTCTTCTCCAAGGAGAATAGCTTCTCTTTCGTCTGGAGAGCCAGTGCGGCACGGATATCGCGCAAGGCTCTTGTCGGACGGACTTGGTGGCATCCGTCGTCTCCACTCTCAGCCTACTTCTTTTCTGCGCGGCTTCCTCTTCAGTCGATCCTCAAATACGCTGTAAGGAGCTCGTGGACCGAAGCGACGAATATCTTCCGCACATTCTACCGAAAGATATCGTTGCATCGAAGCTCGCCATGCGGATAGTCCTTTTGCATTAGTTTGTATGGCGAAGCAAACACGAACGAAAATTCAGAACGTTGTATCGACAATTTGTTCCAACGCATCTCGCTGTGAGAAAGTCATACTGTAATTCTAATTCATCAGCCTGTGTGAAGGAGGGATAGGGACGATAATTATCAACGAATCACTTTCGGATAGTTCGAGGGTGAGTAAGCAGAGGACCCTCGATCATTCGCGGTTCGATTCTCGCGCCCCCGATAACTAGTTGCTTTGATCCCGATAAATCGTATGCTCTCATTCAAACGAAATCGCAATTCCTCGCTTGACCCACTAGACATCGGATCCCCGAATGTTGGCAGATTTCGCATGTTCTCAATCAAGGGGTGGCATCGTCCCCAGCGGAGTGGCAAGATTCCTGAGTCCTGAGGGAGGAGAGAGTCGACACACCGACCGCGGCCTTGCGCTCCGTTCTCGACTCCCCGCTGTATCACTTCCTCGATTCCGAGCGTCGAATTTGATGATGCGGTCCCAAAATATGAATTCTTCAGATCAGGCTCGCGGGAAAGGTTGAATCAGAGCTTGTGTGTAGATGTGGGTACGTATGATCAATATGCTCGACAAGGGCTCGAACTGTAAGTCCGCCGATTAGTTTCTCATTATCGACGGAGGCGACACCTAGCGGCCGACTCGAATGTCGCGATCTACCGATCTCTCGGAACTTTCGAGAGATTTCGAGATTTGAGGGATCCCAGATCACAGTCGTGGAGATCAGAATGGGACCCGGCTGGGCCAGGAAGCTCGTCAATCGGAATCCAGCTGAGTATTCGGGGAATTAAGCGCAGAAGATTTCAAATCGATTGGCTTCACTCCTCGTTTGCGTTGACAGGAATATCGTTGCTGCACTCGGAAAATCGCAGGAGAAATGACGGGGATATAATAACGCTAGATATTCTCTATGAGTGGGGAAAAGGTGGAAGCCCTCGATTCCCAGGCTCAAACCTATTTACAAGTCAGTTCCGGATAGCTCGACGACGAGTACGCAGACCGTACACCCCTGCCGGAGGAATCTAAGATGTCTGCGTCTTCCGGAGCCCGGATCGAAAAAAAATTAAAAGAGAATCGCCGCCGCATTCCCCGATCGTTGTATGGGTTTTTTTTTTTTCATGGAGGTTAGGGAGAAATGCGTTCACGCACGCACGGGCCGAGGTGATGTTAACGCTCTCGGGGACCGGCAGTATAGGACTCGCACCTTGCGGTGAATACCCACTAAAAACCCTTATCCTCCGTAACCCTTCTGGGGGAAGGTCGGAAAGGAGCTGGGACCGGCCTGGTGGCCATTACTTCAGCTCCCCCCCTATTGGTGCTGACGTCCCTGTTTCTTCACGCACAAAACAGTGAAAACGCGATTGTTCAGTTTGCTGAGGGCGATGCCCAGCGACGATGAGGCGAGGTGGCCGTTTTTGTCGAGAGAAGGCCCAAAACGCGGCGATGACGACCCTGTTTCTTCACGCACAAAACAGTGAAAACGAGATTATTCATGTATGGATAGGTGTGATTGGTGATGTAGACAAGAGCAAGGGCTTATCGGGGTGAAGCAGACATCAGTTGATCAGTTCCGGTAGGCTCGATCTCTCCTGGGGCCCAGGAATTCGGAGTATTAAGCTAGGAAACCCCTCCACTGTGGAAAAGAATTCCATGCGCATCTTGAGTTTTGAAGGGCTTGTTTGCCTTCCCTTCGGAACCAAGATAAGACCCAGTGGTCGCGGATCAGACTAGCGAATCATCGTGTGCACGTTCTCATTGAGGCCATGGCCAAAAATCGAGGAGTCGGCTGATATCCCGAACCTTGAAGTCGAAATTCATGTATTTATTTACAGCGTCGGTATTTACCTATTTTCGCTCAATCAGAGATCTACAAGATTGATGATGGCCTCCATCATTCGTCCCCTTCAAGCGACCCCTCCGGAATTCGTTCGTAGGAATTCTAGCCCGCAACATTCCCATTCCGTCCCTAGTGGCCTCAAGAAACCTTCTTCGCTACGCAGGCCTCGAACGCCGAGTACTTATCGGCCACTCCCGCGCCATTCAGAAGATTCCGGACGTCTCTCTCGATCGCTGCTCCAACTTGAGCCAGCTGGGAATCTGAAGCACGGAATAAACGAGCTCTCTAATTGTTGAACGGAAGTCGACGCTTATCGATTGGATCGATCGACTTGAATCAAGCGCCGGGAGAGGCACCTTCTTCGGAGTGAGCTTCGAGCGTCTGATTCCATCGATGGGTAGGATAAGGAAAGACATCATAACGGCATATTACCTTGTTTCAACTGGGCGAGATGTTTGCCAATCGTATCGGTTATCTTCGTTGTGACTTCCGGGGTCAACTTTAGGTCTGAGCCGCAATCGGCGACCGCTTGAGATAATTTCGAGAGCTGGCAGTTGCACATATGAGATACCGCGAGGAGAACCGAGCACACAGCCGCGATTGAAGCTCTCATTCTGAACCCTTTGGCCGCCACCGCTTCGCTCAGTATTCCGAACTAGCAATGATGACGACTCGGCACAGGCGCGTACGATTCGTCGAAGCCGAAATGCGAGCTCAGATCCGAGGAAAGCATTATATGCGGAACGATTGCTGCGCTAGGAATCAGGCGAACAAAGCGCTGGTGATTGACACACTCTCATCCGAGAGCGCGTCACCGCGATGTCACGCGCGAATACGAGTGTTGCCTGAGGACTAGAAAAAGCGTGGAGTAAAAAGAGCGTTTGAAAAGTCCGATGCTCCGATGCTGCCAAAGGAACGAGCTCGATCGATTCAACGATCGTCGAAAGCATGAGCAGCGCATCGAAACCACCTCGATCCTGGAGAGTGATGGTCCCGCGTGGTGATCGATAAAAACCCGCGCAGGCAGTGTCGGAGCAACTACCGTAATATTGCGTGAAAACGTCTATTCCTCATCCATGCTCGGAATCCTCGTTCTTTCTACAGCTGACATCGAAATGACATCTAGTACATACCTCTAGCCTCCCCTAGAATTGCGTGTACCTTGATTTTATCTTAGAAGGGGAGTGCTGAACGAGTAAAGCGTCGATCGGGCTGAAACGTTGGCCATGGAATCCCCGCCCTGAGAGAAGTTCAACCCAAAGAGGTTATTCGCGTATGGCCACCTTGAAGGTGTTTAAATGATAATCGATAATTCGCCCTCAAGCATTGACTATATGAGAGAACTGGGAAAGACTATGGACACCTCTTTGAGTTGAACTCCTCTCGGGGCGGGATTCAATGACCAAAGTTTCAGCCCGATCGGCGTCTTGCATGTTCAGCACTCCCCTTTAAGTGATCAATGTCATTCTATTGACGTTAAAATTCGCCAATCTAAGTGTGACCTCGAATCCCGCGAATGTCGTCGATACATGTAGTTGGTGTTCAGTTGAAAATACATATATAGCCGTGCTCGATCCTCTCGGTTGAGAGTCCTTTTGACCTTCGTGATCCAACAAGTAATCGCTGGAAGCATGCCTCATGTGCGATTGCGATATGTGTAAATATTTCCTTCGTGGGGTTCAGTATTTCCGCGAACTGCGCCCGTCTCCTACCTACCGGGGGCTTCAGTGAAGTTTCTTGCCGAAGGTCTCGACAGAACGCGGAGGATGATCGAAGTCTCACAGATTTCGGATAGAACAGCTCCTAGAGTGTGGCCAGAGAGAGTAAATCCAAGCGGATTCTCGAGGAAACGGAACGGCGTGGAATGAGGATGCCTCCAGAGGTCGGAGACGCCCATGATTCGGACTTGGATTTGTATCCACTCGAGCGGGAGCGATCATATCGGAGCATGCGGGATGATTCGACTGTTGAGTGTTTATTGGTGAGGCCGCTCCGGAACTCCGCTGAGGCGGCGGCTTGAAAAATCGGGGTATCGGGGTCGAAGCGACTCGATGGGAAGCTCCTCGCCGATAGCATCGTCGTTCGCGATCGCGAAATGTTCGTGATTCGTGAGCCGCTCTTACTATGCGGAGGCTGAGCTCACGTCGTCCGTACTTTCGGAATGGAGCGATTCTGCTTGTTCCTTCAGAGAGTTCCCTTGACTGCTGAGTCGTGCGACTCGGTAGGAATTCGAGATCGAAGTAATCTCAAAAACCGTGCATCGCGACTTTGATCTGATCTCCATCAATCTCAGTGAATTGTCCCCTTGATTCTTGGTCCAGCCCAATAAGTTGTATTCTGCCGGTCGAGCCCGTCTGAATCTTCGCTACTCCTCTCAAATATATCGCACAAACTCAATATTTTCAGAGGAAATCCTGTATTCATACACTATCCGGGAGTATCCCAGGTGCATCCAGAATCGCTCGCGGAAACCTTCAAAACCGCCAGGCATAACCATGGAAGTTGGATTGCAGATACCTCCGCAAATTCCCTTCCCATCGGTGCATTCAACAATTGGATGCGTTCTGAACAACACGAGTTATCGGGTCTCTTTCGTTGCATGGAGGACGAAGAACATCGATTCTAACCCCTGAGTGAAATTAAAGACGTTTTCACGAAAAAAAAACAGACTCCGAGCCTGAGATGGTTATGCGTATCGTGACGATCCGATGCTACCAATATTATACTATTTTTCATATCATTCATCATCATCATCTATAAAAGAATTTCGGAGGAGCTTTTCTGAGAACTACGGATCGCTCGAAAGTGGAGCTTCGCGCGCCGCAATCAGAATAGAATACCTGCATCGAATGTCCATCAATGAATGTACCATCGATATATTGACGACTGTACGATAATCACGGATTCGCGCGATTATCCAGAGAAACTTATTAAAGATTGCTCTGAAGACACTGGTTCCGATGAGAGGGGAGGCCGGGATGACTGCGGTGTCTGAATCGATCATCGAAAGAAACTGTTATCGTGAGAGAGAGAGAATCTGACCCATCTCATGGGTCAGGACAGGACTCAGCGTGAATTCTACATTGAACATCGATTGACCGGTCATCGAGCGCGAATACCCTGGAGGGTGCCTCCGAGTAGGACCGGCGCACTCCGACAAGAATCGAGTCCGTCAAGACCGGAGACTCCCGTCGAAGCTCCGATACATATCGTGTGTAACCACACTATTGCGGGAGTGTTGGCTTTTTCCATTAGGTTGGATTCGCTCTTCCGCGAATTCCGCCAAATCATCGTTACGGCCTTGGGACAAGTCTGACATGATCGAGTTAGCATCGGGAAAATTGATTTCGGAAAGTATAGCGTGCTCGTAGATTATTACGTTGAATCAGAATGATTCAGCGATTTCCTCTCTGCGAAGCGTCTTGCTATATATTGAGAGCCTGTCTCTCGATTTCCAGTCAATCCCAGACAGCCTAGGGCCTAGAGTATAGGTAAGAAGTACCGAATGAGTTCCGACTTCGGTTCGCTCCTCAGTACGTCGATTGATGGGAAATCTCATCTTTTGATGAATTCCGTTCCAGACCTCGATCCAACGATTCGACGAAACAGTCATGTTGCTCCGAATCGTTCTTCTGATGAGCGTGTGCACGCTCTGTTGGAGTCTCGACCTAGGCAAGGTGTCCGACGCGATCCACGATTGTTGCGAGAACCTGAACATTCCCGACGATGTCGCGAATCGCTTGGAGAGTATCGTGACAGCGAAAGTTCAAGAAGCCACAGGTGAGCCGAACCTCGTCCGTCGCCGACACTATTTCGTGTCGAGCAGGACTATCCGCCGAGCCACCTCATTTCCAACACTCCTTTCTCCCACACTTGCAGCTTTGGGTCAAGAGAAGAATATTCTGCAAAATGATGTCCGTTCGGACGCCACCAAGACTCTGGCTGACGCTGGTTTCCAAGACAAGCTACAAGCACTGGCCCAGTGCGTGGCGAACAAGCTCAAATGAAACATATCTCCGAAATTCGTTCGACTCCAATCGCTCCTCCGACTCCAAGAGCTTCTACAATAATCATATTTCTCTTGAGCTGAGTCGGAGGCAGGAATAAATAACCCTTTTTTCGGCTCTTATTCTTGTGATTCCATCCGTTTCCAAGAGATCTTGACCTCACACGATCGAGATGAGAATTCATATGAATTTGTGCGTAGTCCTGACTCGAAGAGAAGAAGGGAGTCTCAGCTCCGGCGACTGACCCTTGTTTCTAGATCGGGCTCAATTTCCATCTGAGGAGGATTCCCTAGCGTGGGGGCCATTTAATAATTTTTCATTGAGCCCGAATCGACACGGTGAGAATTCGGGTCCATTTCTCATTGCGGCATGTATTGCTGCATGTCGGCAGGGGTTTGGCTCTCGACGGGCGCTGCGGCCGGATCCACAGCGGCACTCGGATCGGTGGTAGCCGCAGGCGCCGTACCGGCCGTAGGATCCGTCGCAGCGGCTGCCATCGGATCTGCTTGCTGTCCGTATTGCTGACCGTACATATCGTACGCTCGGAATCCGTATGGATCGAATTGTTCGCTTTCAGACGCAATCTGCGGAGTCGTTCCCGCCACTCCTCCCATGGTGCCGTAGGGATCGGCTTGGTCGTATTGGAACTGGCCTGTTTGGTAGAAAGATTGAAATCCGTATCCGGCATTCGCCATCGAAGGGCAAAGCATTCCATAAGGCCCTACATGAAATTCGTAAGAACACTTAGCCGTCCTCCAATCACCCAACGGAATCTAGCAGAAGCGTCGAAATCTGGAAAACGCCAAATTTACGCTCACCTCCCAACGAGCTGAGAATCATGGGTGCACCTGCACCCATATCAGGATATCCCAGAACCTGACCGGCCGCGGCTGGCATCCCATAAGCACCATATTGTTGCATTAACTGCTGCTCGTAAGCTGACATTTGCGCTGCGGTCGGGTCTTGAGCCTGCTGTCCTGGGTAGGCCTGCGCAGTCGCTTGTGCTGGCTGACCCGCTTGAGCAGCTTGGGCCTGAGCTGCCGGGTACCCCGGCTGAGCCTGTTGCGCTGCGTACGCCTGTTGAGCTTGCTGCGCAGAATAAGCTTGCTGCGCGGGATAAGCTTGTTGACCCGCGTAAGCTTGCTGCGCCCCGTAGGCTTGCTGTGTGGGGTAGGCTTGCTGGGCCCCGTAGGCCTCCTGTGCCCCGTAGGTCTGAGGGGCGCCGTAGGGCTGTTGAGCGCCGTAAGCTTGCTGCGTCCCGTAAGCCTGCTGTCCTGGGTAGGCCTGTTGTGCACCGTAGGCCTGTTGGGCACCGTAAGCTTGCTGCGTTCCATACGCCTGCTGTCCGGAGTAGGCCTGTTGCTGCTGCTGTTGTTGCTGCTGTTGTTGCGGCTTTTGTTGCTGTGGTTGGCGTTGCGCCGCAGATGGAGCAGCTCGAGTCGCCGACGATGACGGCCCCGCTTGGGGCGCCGGCTGCGGCTTGGGCGCCGGTGCTTTCTTAGTTGGCGCTGACGGAGCTGCTGGGGGAGGTTTGATTGCACCTTTCGACCTGGATCTGACAGCGGACGACAGGGGTTTCTTCGAAGCGGCTTTCCTAGTCTGTTTCGTGCTCTTTGCCGGTGTCTGTTGCTTGGGCTTCTTCGACAATGCTCCCGATCTTTTGCTTTTTACGGATTTCGCAGATTTTGTGGTGGTGGATCTCGGGACCTTCTTCGCGGTTTTCTTAGTGGCCTTCTTGGGTGCTTTCGACGCTTTCTTGAGATCTTTGGCAGCCTTCTTCCCCGCCACTGTCGTCGGCTTCTTCGTAGATCCCTTCGTTTTAGATTTTGGTGGCATCTTGACTTCGTTATCAGAGTGGAATTGTCTCTTGCTCAACAAATAAATCCTCCCGAGGAATTTTATCGTTAGGGCTCAGAAACGGATCCCTGATCTAAGCCCTTGTAGGATCATCGCAGCTCCCTTTGCGGACCCGACTTGAGACGTATGTGGAGGCTGTTCGCGAGGTCAGATAGAACCAGAAGTCTGCTATTCATGGATCCCGATCACATGGTTCTCGGAGTTTTTTTTGGATTGCCGTTCTCAACTTCTTCGGCTCATCACGAGCCTCTGGGAATATTGAAGTGGATAGACGAAAGGATTCGACTCCAGAACATTGAGTCATGCGCAAGCTTTCCAGACCGAGTTCTTTGAGATATCCATGGACCAATCGAGGAATGATTATCTGTCACGCTACCGCCTGACGCCGTCCCTTCAGTGACGCGGAAATGATCCATTTCCCCAGCCATGGCATGACAAACGTTGGGCGCTCCGCGGCAGAAACATCCGTCACTGGATGTTCGATTTAGAGGTAGCGTGTTAAAGACTTGAACAGTCGACCACAAATTTATTCAGTTGTTCATTTCAAATCTCGAGCGATACTTTATAAAAGCAGCGGGCTGCGCAGAAAATCCTTTGAACTATACGCAGCTCCACAAAGATGATGTACGTCCAAAATCCCTCCAGACAACCCATCCCCCCTCCCTCGGGTCGTGGGATCGAGCGCATACCTGAGTACCTGAGTTTGGAGGAGATTCATGCAGACAACCTGTTTCAGTCCGGGCTCCATCTTGGTGTTGTGTTTCACTGTCGTAGTTGTACATTCGTACGAATTGGCTCCGCTGAACGATGCAATCAAGGTTTGCTCAAAGGACAAGGGAGTGAGCGATAAAGCTGCCGACAAGCTGATTGAAATCGTGGCCAAGTACGTAAACGAATTCAAGGAAGGCAAGTGTTTCTGATGGAAATCTTCATTCGGGATCTGTCTGGGGCTGTGAGAGTATCTCTTTTCCGCAGCAGAGAGCTGCTCGATGATCAATTCGGTTTGTCCAATTACCATGTGTTCTCCTGGTGTTGTTCGTTTCTAGGTGATGATCTCAAAGCTCTGCAAGAAAACGTGAAAAAAGATTCGGAAGTTGCTCTCAAAGAAGATGGACAAGAGGGGAAGTTTTCGGATATGGGAACGTGCATCAGTGAAAAACTCGCCCCTAAAGCTCAACCATAGATCTTCATTACTGTCTCCCTCTGCTCCATCAAGGACGGTGGAGAATCTTCCATCTTCCTTCTCTCCCATTATCTTCCCCCATCCCTCGACCAGCTGGGCTCGATTTTTCTCCGTATGAAAAAGGAATCGCAAGCAGTTGCGAGAGAGCAAATAAATTCGGTTCGATCCTCGGTGGAACCTGCCCAATAGATCCGGCTCGAGCCCGCTCATCATACTCTCCGCGTTGCTCGAATCGCTCGCTGACTTGCCCGAATGTCGACTCTTATTGACTGATTTCCGTAACAGGGAGCCGCGAATTTCACAATACGATAGGGATGCCGCATGGAGGGCACCGAGGATGGGCCTCGGCTGAGGAAGTTCTCGAACATAAACTTTGAATATATTCTGATCGAGTGACGAACTACAACTGCTCAGCTAACTCAACATTCCCGAATGCGAGCTATCATGGTCATCATGAGTCTTTTGACAATCCGCTGAGTCCGATCAATGGACATTAGAATTCTGGTATCGCTTTCGTTGGGTTGCGACTGAACAAACAACTGAGTGTTTTCTAAGAGCGGATGTGACAAGCCACATGCTCCCTCGGAATCCAGCTCGTGGAGCTCATCGAATCGAGAAAAGACCACCTCGGGCTGCCTCTACGGACTCCTGAACTTATCGTAGGATCACCAACTCTTATATGTGACCTGCTATATCATCTTCCTAGACATAGCATCGCTTTCGAGGTGGCCCGACAAGACCATATCAGAATTTTGCGATGGTTGTCGAACGGGACTCTACCACGATGAATCATGATCGACTGGAGTGTTGAGCCAAAGTCAGAACTTCGAGAGCCAATCGTGCAGAGACTAATCAATGAATGAGGTTCCTTCCCCTGTCTGATGACGCATGCTCCGGGCTCACCCAGCGAGCATGTCTTTGAGCTCACAATACTCCGGCCTCACAATGATTCCTGCTAAAAAGGCATCGTGTCAATCTTGAATGCTCGCCGATTCTGAAACCGAGCTTCGGGCACGCCCTCTGGGACTATAAGAACTCCGAAGTTCGGCCGGAATCCTCAGAAGCCCCGCAAACATGAAGCTGCTAGCTTCACTCTTGGTATTCGTACTCCTGGCAAATTATAGTCTCGCCAACACAGATCTGAGGAAAGGCCTGGAGATCTTGGAGAAGTGCTACAAAGAGTCATCCCTCAGCGACGAAATCATTTCGAAGAGTAAGGAGCTGATCACGACTCATGTGAAGAACCGGAAGCCCGGTGAGCGGAGTGAGTATGAGGAACGGTCGTTCCTTGAATAATGCCAATGGTGAACATGATAATGGACAAGGTAGCAGTCGAAGTTTCGAAACCGTCATTCCCCAGGTGAGGCCAACAAAGAGAAATTGGAAGCAGACCTCAAAGAGCAATTCAAGGAAGGTGGCGCAGAGGACAAGTTCTCGACTGTCTCAAAATGTATGAAGAGCAATTTGCAATAAACACGTTTGACCGGATCAGAAACTGTTTTCTATTTCTAATGATAATATAATCCTCAGAACCGCTCATAGGAACCCTTCCCTTGCGAGTCAGGGACGGAGTGCAATAACCTCAGTCCTCTCAACCGATCCTCTCAACCTACACAGATAACCACAATGAACCATCAACTATTTAATGTCCTTTCCAATTTTTCGGTGGGAAGACCTGTCTATGGAACTCGCCGATGACATTTCCTCGACACGTATAGTTCGCTGCTACGTAGACCGTGTTGCCGCCGATAGCAAAAGCCATCCCCACGTGACTGGTATCCTTCCAAACAATCTGGGTGAAATGGCCGACCTAGAATTACATTGAGGCGTTTGAGTCGTATCCCGGGGAACTTTCAGCGATTGTCCGTATGTCAGCTGCGACGGAGTCGAAAACGTACGCGACTGAGATTGCGTGGAATGGCTTCTCCGAATCTCATTTCTCGGACTTCTCCATACCAAGCGTCGATAGCTCTTTCGGCTGCAAGGTTGATCATCGACGTAGTTTGTGCTCAGCTCCCGCCATGTCGCGATGCCCGAAGTCCGAAATGCTTTTGAGGCTGATGTCTCGTGCAGACGAACCCACTCACCCGACACCGATAGCTGTCCGCTGCTGGTACTGCTGAAAAGATTCTCACCGAGCTTGGGGTTTCCACTGTGGGCGAACTTCCCAGTCCTCGCCATCCGCTGAGCATGCTCCCGTGCATGGCTCGCACACTTATTGGGAGGAAACAAATCGCCAAGTCCGTCAGCTACGATATACATACATAGTACATAGCTACCTATATACGCGCGAGGGTCAGAGTCGAGCGGATGATGAAAAACTCAAGTGACGAACAAGGGTCCATGTCGACGACTTGGTCCAAGAGAGGGTGCTGCGCTATACAAACCTTCGTACACCATTTCAAAGGCGGTACTCCATGCGTGGCTCGATAATGATTGTGTCGCTCGAGGGCGCGCTTCTCAAAATCCTTGCTCTGCTCGACAAGCCGAGGCACGCCCTGCAGATTCCGAGGCTCTTACTCAATGAGAATACCAGAACTTTTTATGGAAATGAATATTCCCTCTGAGCGATTACCTCATCGACTCCGTTGCTCTCCCATGAATGCCGTGGAATGTGTGTGAATGGGTCGTATCCCGCGGTTCTTACCACCGAGACAGTGGTCACGACTCTCTCTCCGTTCTGCAGATGAATTCATTCATCAAATCGTTTACTCTATGCGTTGTACAGCTCCGACTCACTCCATCTGGCGTGGGGGACTTCTCTCGGGTGAGAAGGTGCTCGTAGAAGTATACCGGAGTTGCACAGACCTTGTTCTCGGTCTTGGTGTAAGTTCTCCGCTGCTCAGACAGTGTCCGCGAATTCTCATCTCGATGTCAAAAATACTTAGTTGTAGTGTTGCCCCTGAGGAAGCATGAGGGAAACACGTGTGAAACGAACAGATCCCTCGATGAACTGTTCATGGAGCCGATCGGAGGGATCTACTGTAGAATTAGAGGAAAAGAGTCACGAGTCCACGGGATTCACACACATTCCGATACAGCTGTGGCAGTATTCCATGCAGACTTGCTGAAGTGAGCAGGGCCCCAGAAAGAGATGTAGCCACCACTATTGTTCCATAATGACAAGATGAGTTGTGAATACTGGCTCAGCTGGTATAGACGTCAAAATATGCGGTTTTATTCGTCAGGCGAGACTTTGGCGAAGCCTGAGCCGCTAGGGAATGAGAGCGCGAAATGCGATCGTTGTCATTCGTGGAAGTGTTCGAGTGGTTTAGTCACAGAATGTAATCGACAAAGAGCCTTACCATGTTCAGCGGAATCTCGCCCATAAACCCTTTTTGATCCTCCTCGTCACGCCGCTCCACCTAGTTCCATCGAAGACGGACCTACGATTGACCCGAAAGCTTAGCTCGACATCTACTCAGGTTGAAAAGAAAACTCTTATCCCACGAGAGCGGGGATCCCCCTCGGAGATCGGCGTATAAGAGCTCTCCCTCTCCGGAGATGGGACTCGAATAAGTCCCGAATCCGACAATCGAGTCATTCATTGGTCGATGGCGGAGATGATTCCGACCTAGCGATGGTTCATTGAATAAACGGGCACGAACTGAGTCATCGAAGCCTTACGGTTCGCAGGGTCGATGAGCCGATAAGAACAAACCGTGGTACGTGCTCTTTCTCTGTTGAGCTCGCTCTGCTGATAGTGGTCAGGCAAAGCCGCGAGCATTGGGGGAACTGAAAAATCTGCCACCCCTTCCGGTGAAATGTGCACCGGAAAATCGAGAACGAGCTCCCACCCCGATTAAACCCATCCCGCGATTCGCGGCGATGCTACATCGGCCAATCATAAGAAAAGATTCCGTCTGGATCGCGTGTATTGATAGAGTTTCTACGATGCATCGAGCTTATTCTTGGTCATGGCTCTCATTGTACAATAGCAGCGATTGGTTCATTCAAGCACTCGTCTGGTGCTGCTGGATATCCGTGGCGTGTGTGCGCGCAGGTGCCGCTGAAATTTTCGAGCGGGCTCTCTCAGTTCTGAGCTGTGGCGGCTCCTGAAGTTGAAGCTTCGGTGAGTCGTCATCCGGAAGGGGCGAAGTCACGTCAAGGGAGACCATTCCCCGAAGGAATCCCTGGCGGAAACTCCCGCAGGGGTCCGATCCGGAAGCGGAAAAGCTCCTCGCTGACCACGAGTGAGTGCTTCTCAAGCAGACTGTACACTCTTCATCCGACTCACACTCATATGTCAGTCGATCAATCCACGAAGAAATCGCTCATGAGCTTCCCTTCTTGTACAACAGCGGGGTCAGAATGCGGGAATGCGAGCTCAAGCGGCGGTACGCCTCGGAGTCAACGGTATTCTGACGTTCGGAAAGCACGTCACACGGCCAGGGTTCTAGAGCGAGCGCCCCCACAATGGCCTCGACTGAGAAGCTTGAGAAGCGGGGATTGTTCTGCGAGCTCTCCGTCGCTTCAATGCCGGACAAGGATCGACGCTCAAGACAGGGCCCGCAGGTGCTCCGTGATTTGTCTGACGTGGAGATTCAATGCGAGGAGAATCGTGTCTGAGATCCGTCGCGATTGAGTCCAGAGTACAGACCGATAGCGATGAGAGTACGATATTCTCACCCCCACACGAATATCTGGGGAAACCCGATGGGAGATTGCACACTAGGAGCACTACACGACGACTAGGAGCTCTGATGTGGAGCAAAGGAACTGGGCTGGAGCTCTGTAGGGCTCTAGGGAATACGGAAGAACACACCGTAGCCTTTCGGATCGATTCTTGTAGAACTGATCCGCGAAGGATTCGGAGCTGTGAGCTCGCAATATCCAATCTCTCATTTCCTATGACTCGGCGTGAGAGCAAATAAATGGAAGCATGAGCGTACCCCCTTTTCTCATTGAAACAACTGCTCAGGGGTTTATCTCAAGGTAGACCCCGAAATCTCGAAGAAGAGCCCTCGGTTGCGGAAGGACATGCATTGAAACCAGAGCTGTGCGCCGTGGAATTTCCGGCGGCGGGCAAGGAAAAAATTGCAGTGGCGGACGCCGCGGCTACCTCCTGCGGACCGAGGGACCAACGGCGCGCCGCGGGGGAGGTCGGTAAGGAGCTCAAAACTGCTCTCGTCGCGTGTTCGCATCGTATATCCCGGATCCCCGAATCACATATCCCCGAATCGCCTATCCTCGAATTGCATATTCCCGAATCGCATATCCCCGAATCGCATATCCCTGAATAGCATATGCCCGAATCGCAATTTTTTATTCGGGGATCCTGTCATAACGTTCGCGTTTGACAGGAGTGGAATGCGATGGAATAAATGCCACACTCCGATAGGTCCGAGCTCGGACGATAAGTCTGGTCCCTCGGTGACTACGAAATTGCAGGTCGAGCTTCCCGTTCGGAGCGTTCCGCCTCGTCGGCACCTGAATGTCCTGCATTCTCGTGTGCACTCAGTACAATGAACAGTTTTGCGTGAATTTTCCCGTGTCTTCCTAAAATGATTCAGAAAATTCAAAACGGCGCCCTGCATTTCACCACGCCGCGCCGTCTTTCACTGTACAAGGGTCCCGGCGCGGCGGTGGCAGCGGAGTACAGAGGCCGGCGACGAATACGAGGCCCGGCGCTCAGCTCTGATCAAGACTCTCTCTCTCCAAGGAAAGAGAAGGCTTCCATCTGGTTGTTCACATGTTTTCCTCCGCAAATATGTGTTCTGTACCAGCTAGAAGCCAGCGTCTTGTTCTCCTCTTGCATCCTGTCCGTAGACTTGCAGCCGATTTAGTGAGGCCGATCTCGCTGAACAATTTCGATTTTCGCCAATTCGTGCCTGACGCTGCCCTGTTGAGGTTGCCAAGTTCGGAGGCTATCTTTGTCAATCCTGCCCAAATAAAAAGCGTGTTGGCACCCCAATCCGGAACATGCCGCTTCAATTAGGAAAGACCTTGAATCTGATTGGATATGCTCGAGCTGAAACGAGTTTATAACTCACGGAATTCCCGTGAATCTTTTTCGGGATGTCCGCGCTGGAATCCCCACCGGACGGCTCCGACTCCAGACGACGGCGATTGTGACCCTTACATAACTGCATGAATGTAATATACTACACCTCTAGGAGAGGATCAATGCTTGGACATCTGGGTGATGCTCAGGGAGCGATGCCTCGATGTCAGTACCCACAACATTCTGCCGAATTCCGGGTCATCGTTCGACAGTTCGCTCGCGGTTCTTCTGGTATTCGAACCGGTAGTTTTCTCGACTCCTCTCGATGATCTTAATAGGAAGAATTCCATAGATGACGAAAAAGATCCAGACGCTTGGGCGCCGAAGGAGCTTCGACTGAGGGAGAAATGGAAGGTCGAAGGTCGAGAATGCATCAAAAGAAGCGGTAAGCGACTCGAATTATTGGTCTGGCCTGGTGGTCTCGGAAACCTGCGAAGACATACATCTCTGAGGAGGAGTCCTCAGGTGTCGAGACGGATAAGGATAACGGTGATCCACGGGGAAGTTGCTCCCTACGAATACCCCCTTAGAATGAAATCGCATGTATAACACCGAATCAGTTTCCGGCGCTCTCGTTCGCCGAACAGACTTCGAAATCTTCTCAGCCGATGCCCAATCACCTCAGTGAGGTCAAGACATAAGTACTTCCCAAGCGGCTGAGACGCATGTTCCCCGCAAGATTTACGTGTTTCTCCAGTCATGGTCATTTTCCAGCAAATGTTATGCTTTTTCACTATGATGACACTTCAGCTCTACCGGGCGCAAAGCCCCCTTACGGCTCGCAGAACGTACATGTGAATGATTACGAGTTGTATGCATCAATGACCGAGTGCATAAACATGCGGCGGGCATACTCGCCCGATTCGCGATGCCGCGAGCGGGCTTTTGATAAAGTCCCTTGAGTGCTGAAACCGAGATCGTTTGCTATGCCACTGAAAAAAGTTGGAATTCATACACTTCTAGATGCTCATACATGCTCGAGAAAGTCGCTAAGAATATCATCCGGGGTGGAAACTTCGCGGCGACAGTTACGGTGCGGTCGCTGAAAGCATGAGCCACTAACCACCAGCTATCCCCGCATCAACTGCATCCTTCCTAGCGATCTAAGCGAGACGGCGCACCCAGATTCCCATTAAGATATGTGAGTCGAAATTCCCGGGAGATCCAGCGATAGTGCCGTACCGTGTTGACGGAGTCGAGTTCTTGAACGAACGAGTCGGTGTGAGCATCCGGCCGCAGAATGGCGTGTCTCAAACTACCCTCCGTAGGGAATCGAAATTCCTGCCTGTGGGCTTCGGACAAATTCATTTTCGGAGGCGAAACTCGAGCCCTGCTCTTCCCGAAGCGCGAGTGTGCCGAGGGAATCGACGCCGGGACCTGCATATCCTGTCGGCGGCGGGGATCGAGAGTATGAAACAGAATTTCTGATGAGAACTCGTCCGGTAACTCCTGCTGGATCGCTCGTTGCTTATTGCCCGATCCCGCTCGAATGGCGACACTAGATGGATGAGACTCTATGGAGGAGACGTGAATGTTCCGGAATGACCTGCGAAGGACCAACATGACAGGGACCCTGTTTGGAGGAAGCATTCTCTCGCCGACTCCGACCGTGATCTCACGTGGGTTCACGACGTCTCATCACTGTTATAGCGTGCTTCGGATGCGCCTCGGTGATTTTACGGCTTACGGACATGACTCACCAGATGGATATCGACGCGACTTCGCTCTGATGGTCTACGCCACGACGGAACGAATTTTCATGCACAAGTCTTCATGGATTCTTTGAATGCACGCTCATGATCGTCTAGTATTTCGCATTTGTGCTCATGACATGATTTCAAGCAGCGAAGCGGCTGAAAATTGCACGAGTTCCATGGGAGGTACCAGATCTGTATTCATCTTGTGCTCATTCACTCTGAAATTACTCCGTTTGGCAGCCGAATTCTAAGAGTTTACGGTGGCTTCCTTCTCCTACTGAGGAGACGCGAGAGGGATGCCGCTTCTGTGGGGTCAACGGCTGAATGCGGGATCAATCGAATTATCCTGAGAGATATCGGGATAGGAGATAGAAGCCCACAAAGCAGAACCACGTTCTAATAAAGTTGCGGCGAAAACTTCTCGCAGATTTCTATTAGAGAAAGCGAAACCGTATGCTTTTTTATCATGGCTACACGATGAGTGGTGAAAGTTTGCTCGTTGGTGTGAGCGACAAAATGATAGGCGGTTTGTTTTTCGTTCAGCTGGGCTTTGGCGAAGCTAGGATCGCCAGAGACTGAGAGCGCGAAATGCGATCGCTACCGTTCGCGGAATCGTTCGAATCGGACTAGTCGCCGAATAGAACAATGAAATATCGAACATTCATACTGTGGAAGTCTTTCGGAACCTCCGGCGAATACTACATCTGCGTCCGTCCATTCCTCCATCCCCTCGCAAACCATCGGTGCTACGAAATTCCGAACGAGGAAAAGGGCGCTCAGACCGTTCGCTACAATCTTCGGCTGATGTGAGCTGGATTGAGGCCAGGTCACCGAGACAAGCTCGCGAACTCCGGTTAAGTGGCTACGTCAGGATCGAAATTACTCCCTCCCACTGGGCCTCCTCATCGACGAGACTCGGACGGGTCCCTCGTATCGCGGAAGACAGATTTCAAGAAGTCACAGAAATCTTGGGAAATCTTCGATGAATCAACACACGTACGTAGTCGATTCAAAGTTCGAGGCAATATCCGTATCTAGAGACCTCGGGAATAGAGAACGCGGTCTTTCCGTCGGGCTCAGGAGTCTGCGTGCCCTGTGGAGACCGCGACCGCGCGCTTCTCTGAGAGCTGAGACATCCTTTCGTTTCGTCTCAAGTGAACAATAACGAGGTTTCGACTCGAAGAGCCTCTGTTTGCTTGGATCTCAGCAAGATCAATAAATCCGTATTCTCCAAGTTTGCGCTACCCGATGTGATGGCGAGCCAGCTCAAATCTTCTTTGCCGAAACCTTTAGTTTACTTCCATTAGTTCTCTCAAGATCATGCCGCGGTGGCTCTCGAATCCACGGATGATACGTGGTTCGGATCTGACGACTCACATCTCACTTATATTCAGCAACCCTTCCGCTATATATCGGAACTTCCGGCCTCGGACGCATGCTATTTTATCTTCCACGGTAGCACCAGCAAACAATAATCTATAGGCAAATCAAACTCAGGGTCTCAACCCGAGTACTAATCCGCTTTGCAGCGGTCTCAAGCTTCCTCCGTCAGGTCTTCCTATGCGCGTTGCCCGAGTTGGAGGGAGTGATCGCGAAAGTGCGTGACCGAATGAGCGGTATCATTCTCCTTATCGAAGGAAGCTGGCTGTCGCTTGACGATTCTCGCGGCTTAGTCATCGGTCTACGCAGTGACGTTTATATTCCACCGTGGGAGCAGCGTTCTGATGCCAGTAATGACGGCTTGCATGCATGTGGCGGATAGAATCCAAGACCCCTAGTTTCATAGGAAAACCGAATTTCATGACTGCTGAGGGAGGGAGCCCGAACCTCGGATATCTGCACAGACATTTTCCTCGCCAATCGACATGGATTGAGATGAAAAAGACTCGGGCAGACGAGCCCGATTTCAACGTCCCGGCAGAAGTACGGGCTTTGGCCGTATGAGTCCCCATTTAGTTTCGCTCTCAGAATCCGAGCCAGGGGAACTAGCGGAGTTCTGTTCGCAGCAGGACGAATTGTCATTTAGGGACAGAGCTACCCCGGTCCGGAGTCTCCGAGCTGGCGGACAAGAATCAGCAGGATAAGGAAAATTACAGTTTTCCGCGGAAAACGATGCTCAAGCGTTTCGCTCGAAATCAAATGTCCGTCATTGCTCGCTCGTAAATAGTCAAGCTAAACCTTTAAACATTCGTCGAAGGACCTCGGGAGAATGGAACCATGGTCGAGATGCATGCTCACCTTCGGAGTTCTTGTCTCGACATCCGGATCTTGTCATCTCATATCAAAGAGTATCATTTTCCGCGGAAAAAACTGTTTCCCACGCTTCCCCGTAAGTCTCTGTTCGTCAGCTTGAGAACATCGGATCGGTAGAAATTCTTCCTGGGATGATGAGTAGAGCCCCTATACGGACATTTCGTATGTATCGCATTCGCAGGAGCGGAGACCGACCATCAGATCCACGAATGAATTGTTTCCGTCGGCCCTTAATTTTTCCCGCAATAATAGGGCGTAAGGAGACTTTGAAGGAGAATACTGCCATAAATGGATGCTCATTCGAGCCTCGAAAATGTCCGAAATCGAGGAGCTCCATTGATGAGTCCTAGTGGTCACTTTGCCAAAAACCAAACTAGGCCGGCCATCTTGGTTCGCCTTTCATGCGCAAAAACTGAATGGAGCACCTATACGGAGCCTGCGACTCCGATCGGAGTGAGCCCCATGCCACGCGCGATTATCGCAAGCGTGAGATCAATATCTCCAAATATCTTCAGATTTCATCCAAAGCCGAACAAATCACTTTTTTCAGATCGAATGATTTCCAAGGCGAGATCTTGGAGCGTTGACCGTCCGAAGAACACTGCCTGTACTCTCAGTCAGAGCAGCACCAAATCTGCACGAGATCAAAGAAATGCGGACTGACCTCATACAACGTTGGGCCGGGCAATGCGAGATTTCTCCTCGATAGGGACGAACAGGGTTGCCGAGAGCCATAAATTCGTAATATCTCAAAGAATGGATTTCCCTCGCTCGAGAAGTGACGAATGCTAGCTCCGTGACTCTTTCCAGCGAGTGATAAATACGGCATTATTCGTGGCCCTCGATTCCGAGCCGATCATCGAGTTCGATCCATCTGGTGCCCGAGTCGATCCTATCGAGGATCCGAGACCGATCGAAGAAGTCTGAGCTATACCTCCATCCTTCATCCGAGTGAGTAGACTCTCTACTCGAGCCCTGTAGATTCGATTTCAAAGCTCGATTACTATTATTCCTGCGACAATCGCTGCCTTCTGATTTCGCCGCAATGCTCGAGAATTGATGTGGTGAATTATTATCGGGCTCAAATCTCGCGGCAAATCGTAACTGTGCGTTCCCCTGGGTTCCCGAGACATTCAACCTCGGAGAGTGTTCTAGAAATGGAAAACCTCGTGCTCTCCCGGATAAGAGACAGAGATCGATCATCGCATCGATCATCACCGATCGATCTAAAACTCCTGCATCCAAAGCTCTCCAAGGAAGACGTTCGATTTGGATCGATATTCTCGCAACGCTTTCCTAATCCACCGGCGGCCTGTAGTCTCAAGAAGATGGTGGATGTTATGTGACTGACAGAGGTGCCGTCAATCTCGACCGGAACCCACTCGACTGAATCTCTGATGCAATTCTGCGCCGGGTTCATGCTGGGCTTGCCGGAAAGACGCATGGTCATCAAAGGAACAATGCATGAAGCCCTAGAGTTGTGGGGCGAATCCCTCATCCCATCGGAACGAAATCTGATTTCTGAGCACCCCGAGATTTCTCTTCGCGACCGTCATAAGAGAATGCACTTACGTGTCTCAGCAATTCCGACTCTGAATCGTCTTTGCATTGATCATGCCCGAGCCCGTCGCTAAGCAAGACCCGGAACGTCGTGTTCGTTCCTCGATGAAGAAGGGGGTTCCAAATCATCTTCAGCATGTCGAATATCTGTGGTAGTGAACCACTAGACTGGAATGAATGCCCGCGATTTCGGAATATGGCCGTATGCCAAACACAAACAGCTTCTATTCGGTTTACGACTAGACCACGCTCCCTCATGACACATGTCGCTTGGAACAGAAAAGAGCATGAACGTTTTTTAACTCGCTCGCCGTGGATTATGCCTCAGTGTGAAAGTTCAGATCCAGCTCCGCTCGAGCCGTAACTCTCTCATCGTTCCCCGACTATTGCGGTGAGTTGGCTACAGCACCGACGCCGACTTCTCGAGGAGTAGTCTCTTTAAGGGTCGACTGTCCCCAAGATCCTCCTCGCTCGAGGGCACGATAACTCGATCCTCAATCGTGAATCTGCCTCGAGGAGCCTCACACAAGGACGAGCCTCTCCTGGATTGAAGAGACGCGTCGCTCTCCTGACCATTATCAGGATGGGTATGGGAAGTGGACCGAATTGAACTTTCCCACGACCGGCTCTTCTCCTCAAAATGAGACTCCCCGATCATTAGAGCCCTCGGCATCCGAACATGATGTTAGAGAAATCATTGAGTGTCCGAATATGTATCCCGGAAGTGTTCCCCCTAAAGGTGGAGACGCGCGTCCCGCGTGCAAAGACGGAATCCTGGGGCAGTTCTGAGAGGCGACTCTCTTGAGAAACGAAAAGCTGCGAAAGCAGTTTTCGAGGACCTGGCCGATCGTTTGGGGGGCGACCGTAAGCAGGCTCTCCACTTAAGCCGAAACGAAGGAACTCGAGGTCTCATTATGGTCACGCATCGTGTCTTTTGTTGCCGAAGAGAGGAAAAATTCGTAGCGGCCCGCGCAGGATCAATAACGCTGAGCCTCTGTACTTCATTGCTGAGTTGGGAATGAGGGAGTGCAAAATTTCGAATCTGCGTGCATTTAAAGATTTTTCATGAGATGGATGATGTTGATCAGACCTGCCGTCCTCCGCCTTGGGAGTTCGAGCCTGAGCGACGGAAAATTCGTCTCGAGACATTTGTACCTAGGTGTGCTCACTATGAGGAGTTTCGGATTTCGAATTTCCAGATTAATCGAGGGAGCGGATAACTTGTGAAATATGGCTGAGAGACGACAAACCTCTGTCATGACGGAGTACAAGGTATTCATCGATGAAACCATTCAGGACGATCAGTAGGTAGTTCATGTGGCGAGGTCCCATGGTACCTCGTCCCACGCGTGGGAAACAGGCAGACCTCTGTGGGCTGAATTTCCCGTTCTTATCAAGGATGGTATGAAGATCGTCACTACCACCACGATTGTGACGACGAGAGCTGATGCTCCGGATCGCGATGAGGCACTGGAGAAGCGCGCGGCTGTGCTCGACAGGAATAATGTGAGTGGAGAAATTTCGGGAAGAGCTCGATTAGCGGCTGCCCCATGCGTTCCGTCTGTCCGGACTATTTCCGTTCCAGATCGCCGATCCCTCGCCAGCGCCCCCGAAAGAAGATTTCCAGAAGAAGGCATTGGAGAGGCACAATCACTATCGGAGTAAGCATGGGGTTCCGCCTTTGGAATGGTGCTCGAAGGTACGCTTCTTCCCTCATCGACAACGTAGTATGCTGGGCCGTCGGATATTATTCTGGACTCGCAAATGAGACGTATATTAACTATGACGAATGAACTTTATTGAATTCCTCGGAAATGACTGATTTCCCTCCCCAGTGTGCGGCGAAAGCGCAGGCTCACGCAGATCACATGGCTCAGACGAACAATTTCTCTCACAGCACTGAAAAAGGTTTCGGAGAGAATTTGTTCAACTCTTCAAGCTCAAGAGGACCTGATATCAACGGTGGGTGCGATTCTCGTTCTCGCAGCCAGGAGCAGAAACGGAAATTATTTCGTGTAGAAGAAAGGAATCGAGGGGAACTACTTCTCGTGGACCAGGTGCTCCTTACTCAGGCTTAGAATTAAAACATCTCCCTCATTTTTCCTAGCCGACAAAGCAGTCGACTCCTGGTACAACGAAATCAGTGAGATGAAGTTTGGTCAACCGGCTCCGAGCAATTTCTCCCAGGTTAGCGTCATGCCACCCATTCCGACTGTTTTCGCTTTCCCACTGAACGATCGATGCACATGCCGTAGAGACTAAGCCCGGCGTAGGGGGGTTGGACAGGGAATCGACGGTATCGATGGGCTCGAACAAGGTACGATTCCGTTCCAGGTCGGACATTTCACTCAGGTCGTGTGGAAGGAAACCACCCACGTGGGCATGGCTTACGCGGTGAAAGGAAATTCGGTGTTCGTTGTGGCAAATTATTTGCCGCCCGGGAACTTTGTCGGCAAGTTCCATGAGAACGTGTTCCCGCCGAAGAACTAGAGAGGAGATGAATCGGTCCGCTCATGCCATATATCGTTATCCTGGAGCCAGGGGCGTCCGCAGGGGGCTATAGCCTCGAGTTCGTAATACCAAGGTATAGGGGCGGATCGCCATGTTGGAAATCAGCTTCACGCGAGGACCCGATCTAGCCCCCCCCCCCCCAACGAAGAATCCTGTGGTCTCCACTGCGAAGGGGTCGTGTCCCCGCTTTCACCACGGAAGAGTTCTTATAGCGAAGGGGCTCATGATGTGCTCCGGGATTTCTGTGTCAATAAAGCGCCGTCGATCTCCCACCATAATCTCTACTCGTGGGAAGTCCTTGTCGCAATCGAAGCGGCGCGGTGTCCATCATCTCTGTCCCTTCACCGAGACTATGTATATTCCCATGTACGATACTTTCGAATTGATTCTCGGAGCATTATGACACATGAGAGTTCCGCCGAGAGACGCGATAGAAGCTCGTGAAGCCCAGAGTAGCAGTATTCGACCCTCCCTCATGCGGATTTCCTTACGACTATGAGGCTCTACTTCGGGGTGCGACTTTTGTATACGGGCTAATGTCTCCACAGGAACCTGTGGGCAGTAAGGGCAGGGCGCAACCCGCGCAAGCATCAATGCCCTGGATGCACCTGGGCATGCAGAGTCATCACGGCTTTCAAGCTATGTTACAGGCCCCGCCATGGGAGGATCTCCCCGACACGATGGAAGTTTCTGTTTTTTTGGAAATCTTCACAGAGCTCCTCATTTCTGGGTTTCATGTCAATGGCCCTTTCGTAGTTACTAGAATGACCATGTTCTTTGTGTTCTGGGGACATTATCTCAGTGTCCCGCGCATGAGGGACTTATCAGGTCAGGCATCTCTGCATCGGAGTCTATGGGAACGGAAAAAATGTGGCCTGTTGGAAGCGATAGGTTCCTCATATGTATGCACAGGAGACTTCAGGATGATTGAGGAGTAGGTACCAAGGCCCTGGAGTGCCGACTGGAAGTGTTGCTCATTGCTTCGCTCCGGCGAGCTCTGGGCTAGCTGTATCCCCGACCGCCGCTGGAGATTTTCGAAGCATCCAAGATTACTAGCAAGCTAAGTGCTCCGGCGTCCATTGACCAACGGATAGGTTCTCCAGGACTGCGTGGACGACTCTGAGCAGAATGGGACCGCTGCTATAGCTGGATCCGAGCGAGGTAAGACAAATCCGCGGAATGGAAGAGGAGCATTACAAGGAGTCTGGGACAGCACCTCGACGAAAGCGATTGGATTCCGCTAGTTGTGCACTTGGGAGGAGAAAACAGCTGGACAAGCAAGGCTAGTGCTTAAAAAGTCTCCAATGATGCAACTTCCGCTAGAAGCTCGATGAAAGACGAAGCGACAATGCGTCGTCCGTTGTTCCTTCGAACTCGATTTAGCATTCCCCAGCGAGCCTTTTCTCAGGGTAATGGCCCTGACGACTCTCTTGTCCTGCCTTACGCGTAGAGATCATGAAGTGATTTCGGCTTGGAAATTGTCGGGAACGGGGGGCTGATAGGCCGTCAGCCCTCGGCGTACAGAGCGAGAGCAACCTGTATTTCCTGGCAATTTGAGTTTACTCTGCGGACTCAGTACCCGGGGTCAATCTAGAAAATTCTCGGCATGATCCAGGGTCTCGCAATGGAATGTTCCCGCGGTTCACCGATAACGGAGTCTCTCCCGGAACCTCCGTGGACGAATGGGCATACTCACGCTGACCATCCTCAGATGTCATGATTAAGTACGCTAGCTGGATGGGAGTTTTCAGACCTCTCAGCAAGTCGCGCATCACAACGTTCTCTTGACCCCACGTCGGAGGAGGGAGAATTACTCCCGCTCTCCCCGGGAGTTGCCAAGCCGGAAAGGCATCTCAACACCAATGGGAGGCGGACCTAAGGAGACGGCTCCGCACGAGAGCACTCAGCTTATGGTGGAACACGCGATGATCGAGCGTAAGGTAGCGCTCAGGTACCTACTCAGCGATCCCAAACGTCTCTGATACTGCATTGGCAGGCAATCTGAAATGGAACTACGGGAGACCGCTCATTTTGGAAGGTTCTCGCCTGGTGTGAAGCTCATCGATGGTCCCACGGACGCACGAGACATGGAATCTTTCATTCTTCCCAGATGTGCAAACCTCTGATAACATTTGCTCGGAAAATCTTAGAAGTGGAACCTTTCTCGGACTGAGACCACTTTCTCGTCCCAAGCCCAAGCTCGCACCTATCTCAATGATGACGGCGCATAGCGCGGAGGTCCTCCTAATACAACCACGCCTCCCTCTCCTCCACTATAGGCGTCATTCATCACTTGGATTTTCCGAGGGTACCGGATCGACCGCGATTCTGAATCCCGCATTCTCGAACTCGACCCGATAGGGACATTCACAATCGATCATTATCAAATCGTCCAGAGCGGTGGACTCGAAAGTTCCATCCTACATTTCCGATTTGGATAGCTATCAGGTCTGGTCCGTGGAAACTCGGATACGTGGATTTCGGGAGCTTGTCGTCAGCCCCTCTGGTACAGCGCAGAAACGCTCGTCAACAGCCGCAATGGATGCGGTAGCAGGAGGCTCTGTGTTCCCTCCCATATCAAAACGGCACCCTTCGGTGATGCTGTATTCGGGGGCTCGTCTCCGAAATTCGCGAATATCCACCTCACCCTAGCAAACTTCTCTAGGTTCGCGGAAGACATTGCCAAGGTCATCAAGAGGATCGATGTCCACGCGACCCGAACTCCCCGGAAACCTGTCCTTGAAACTTCACAGCCAGCGAGATGGGAGCAGGAGAGAGTCGTGAGAAAAGAGAAAAGTGGTGAAGATGGAAGGGAGACTCTGCTGTCCCATTCATTGGGATTTCTACTCACGCCTCGGAACTGCTCTCCTCGCGTACCGCGGATGTCATGAATCGGGGTCAAGATTGGAGCATCTCAGATCGATCATTCTTCGGCCGCAGGTTTCGCTCCTTCTTCCGTTGTCGTCTCAGAGTGATCACCGTGATGATCATCGTGGTCCTTGTGACCATGATCCTTACGGTCGCGGTTCCTATGCTCAAGCCTCCTCTTGAGCATTCTCGCCTCCAAATCGGCGAGACATTTTTCAAAAGCTTCAAGCTTGTCCTTGTCGGTCTCCTCTATGGCCTTCTTGCTCTCATCGGTGGTTTGCTTCATGCGCTTCGCGAAGTCCTTCTCCGGATTCGATCTCATGGCCAGGATTATTTGCTTCAGCTTGGCCACCCCCTCCGGACTAACTCCAGTGGTGTTCGCGCACACCATCACGGGCATTCTGTTGTGGATTTTTTCCTCATGAGTGAGCATGCAAGCGTCGTAGGCTTCAAACTGGAAACGGAAAAATATTAGTCGGACGCGACTTCGTGAAAAATTGGAATTCCCTCCCCAAACTTTCCTACTTCGCCGTTTCTGCTCGTAAAAGAGCGCTGGGGAATCGACGATTCTCTTCCCGGAATGCTGCACAAAAACAATTAGGAGAACAAAGCTCCAACGAAGTGTTCGAATATCATTAAGGTCCGGACAAACCTTATCGGCTTCGGCCTCCTTCACGATCGCGTTCAAAGCGTCCCGTGCTCTCAGCGGGTGGAGTCTTTCTCTCATCTTCTTCTGATCCGGAACATCTTTCAGACTGGGTCTCACGGCCTCCCTCATTTTTGTGATCGTGTCATTACTCAGTCCAGCGGTCCTGCCACAGTCTTCGTACTGTTTGAAGAAATGAGAGTGAGGCAAGTGAAAATGATGTCCACAAGCCACTCCAGCGACAGCGAAACTCACAGAGATCGCGCTCAAAATAAGTTTCACCATGGTTGTGAGCAACCTTCGTCATGTCGATTTGCTTTTAAACGAGGCACGGAAGGACGAGAACAGATGATTCGCGTGAACCTTTACCTAGTCGAGAAGTTTGCTCTGGGCCAAGCTGTATCAGCTTTCGGAATCTCTTTTTCTCGGTAACTTACATTGAACGTCTCACAGCTTGAAAATATTCTCTCATCGAGTTCCTATCGCGATTTCCGTTTTTTGAATGAAAACTCACTGATGAAGGCAGGCATAGAAAATGCCGAGCCATTGATCGTAGGGGAGAGCAGTCCTAAACAGTGGTCTCGAAACGTGTAGCTCGCGCTGGGAACATTTTCTGCGACAGAACCCGACGACCGACCTTCCATGTCGCCTTCCTCGTTGGCCTCGAGAGCTCGTTGCGATGTGTGAGCGAAACAACCAGTTCATTCGCGGCACAAATGTGTGAAACATTGTGCGAGAATTCCTCTCGCGATTAGCCACCACAGTCTAGGAGCGAAAGACGAGAGATTCCAATCGAGTTTCCCCTCGGCTGTCGAAGGTGGCCAATCCAAGAAGTCTGGTTCGCGGATCGCGAAGCCGGCGATGCACATTTAGTATTCGCACGCACAGCTAGCAAAAAGGGAAGTTACGGCTTGGGCCCTGGAAAAAGGTCCGGAAAGATTCACGTCACGTACTCCCTTCACAAAACACCTTGAACGAGGGTTCGTTCTCGCAAGAAACTTCTCACTTCCCGCGAGCGCTGGGGTAGTTCACCCGATTGGGAGAATAAATTCCCCTCACTAAGAAATGAGTAGATTAAAATGGGAGGCAAGTTGTCAACGTGAGACTGATGATCAGCGTCCTGAGATTGAGCGTTGGGAGGAGCACGAAGACGTCTAGTTCATACCTCATCTCTCTTCCTCCAATGGATATTCGTGACTGAAGGGGTCACGCCGATACCGATATCGATGAAGACCTCGGAAATACACCTATAATAATAAGTAGTAAGCATCCCCGCTCCGCCTACGATCGAGGTGCTCGACCCTCTCGACACAGAGTAGTTCCTTGATCTTATCTCCCTTGTCACCAGAATATATTTATTCATTGGGGCTCACACGAAGCTTTTGGAAGACGTCAGGTTGGGCATCATGAATGGCGGAACACCCACGGATGGACCTGCCGTCGACTGCTGCTCCCGGAAGTTATGGCAATGGTCGGTTAGATGCGATTGACACAAAGGACGAGATCGGTTGAGACCCAGATCCAAATTCACCCTCGGGTATCACCGCGCAGACTTCTCTCGCAACCTGAAGCAAAACAGCTACCCATAATGTTCATTTAGAAAATAGCATAAGTAATTCCAACAAAGGTAGTTCTCTCCAGCCTCGTGCCCCCTTCCGAAAAAGTCGAGACAAGAGGATCCCTTGGAAGCTCACCTCGCCGAGCGCGACTCGGCTCGCGATCTCGTCCGCTTTCGTAATTCACAGATCCATCCAGTGCTTTCCGTCTGGAAATGAATGCCACGCTCTCTATCGTCTCTTGCCGCGCAATTCCCCGGGACAAGTTTAGCATCCATTCTTCCTGGAGTGATTCCTGGAGAGATAAAGCCCATTCAGTTCCTCTAGATATGTTCTGATATTCTCTCTCGACGCGGATTCCCTTCACGGCCGATCCAGGGGAGCTCCGGTGGCTCGATCGGCCCTTCACCTCGCTCGCCCATGTTGAAGGAAGACCGAAGTACGATGACTCTCGTCACATTCTCGAGATATCGATCGTCATCCACCTCGATCGCTTCCTAAGTCACCATCTGCTCCCTTGGTGGATATCGTGTGTAATTTTCAATTGACCGAGACGGTAGCAGAAGGTCCACCCTCGCTGAACTTTGGCAAGGATAGGTACATAATGAATTTCCTTACCTTCATGATGTCATCGATCGCGCTATGTCTAGGGGTCGAGATCGGGAGATGGATCGTGCGTGTTTCCCGAGCGCGCAATCCCGGGCGCATTGACAACACTGAACATCGGAGCCATCATCTGCCCCGCAAAAGCGTTCATCAAGATGGGCGAGACCCCAGGTGAGCCACGGCATCGACAGCAGCGTCCGGAGGGAGCGGGGTATGGTTCTCACCTGGGGTGGATACGCCAAGTCGGCGATATCCTCTTTCAAGCGATTGAGGAATTATTGACTGCATCTCCGAAGCCTTTGCTCCCCTTCCGACAGACCTTCGCCCCAGACATGGTCCATCAATGTGTAGGAATACCGGGAGGACTATTTGAGGAACTCACTCTCAGCTCGAAGAACCTCTTGCGCTGTGGCCACGCCCGAAGCGATCATGAACACTCCGGACAGGAGCGCAAGCCACAGCGGTACGTGTCAAGAGCTTGAACAAGGAGTCACCGAGCTGCGCAGACCGTTCTGGAGACACAGTTTCCGAGCCACTTCACTCGAGTGGGATCATTGAACTCAGGTCGGAGCTTATGCTTACGCCGAAAGCGACGTCCTGAGAGCCCGAAATCGGTCCGGTGAGGATCAAAGCTCAATTGCTCGCAGCCCAGGTGTCTGTCGATCCTCGACGTTGTCCTTCAATCCTCGCCCCAATCGATGCAGTCCGAGTTCCGTTCTTGTTCAGTACACCCCGTGCTTCTGTATCGACTAACTCGGATCTGATGAGTTATATGTTCTAATCTTTACTCGCGTTGGCAAAAGTGCCACACCGTCTCCAGCAGAGAGGAATCGTCGGGACTGATTCATCTCTTTCCACCAACGTAGCGCTCCGGGGCATTGCAATTCCCTTTAGTAGTGGCGGGGTAATTATCCTCGACGCTCGGGGGTGGCAATCTGAAAATCAATTACAGACCTCAGTCGGACGCCCGACAATTATTGACCCACAACATTATTTCAACGGTCGATCGAGCGAAGACCGTGCCCTGAGTCCGTGGAAACTAAATCTGCGACGATTCCGCGGTCGAGATTCCCTCGAGACCCACGAACGTCCAGCGACAGAAGCGCTTACTAAACTTGGAAGGAGCTTAGAGCTCCCGTGACTCCTAAGGACGCATTGAGAGCGTTCCCGCCTAGGTCGTCACAGCTGCGGAGCTCGATCAATAAATGAGCACTAATGGAAGAAGTTCGATGTCTTGAATGAGAGCTGGGCGGTTGGGGGCCCAGTCTGCTTCAGGGGAGTCAGGCGCCAATAGACTCGCTGTTTCGAAGAGGACATATTCCGCATCTGCCAAGACTAGACGAACGCGGGGCGTCCAGATAGGGGATGTCATGCTTGAGAGGCTTGCATGAGCGTGAATAAGAATCATCTAGCAGTGCAGGCGCCCTCGAGAACCGCGGAAATCATCATCTGAGTGGATTTCTCCTCGGTCCGGAACGAGGCATGACAGCTCTTGGCCCTTTCAGCTCATTCAGGTGAAAGTGCCGGGCTGTGGATCCTTTCTCGCATGAGGAACCGATTCCTTAGCGGGAGAGAAATAAATTCATATGACCTCTGTTCAACATCTCACGCACCGCTTGGAGGAGGTGGTCGCGGTGGCTGAGGTATAGCCTGTAGCCGTTGTCCTGTTGAATCAAATCTCGCAGCCAATCAGAGAGATTGGGCTGAGAAGATTTCGAATTCCCTTATGGGGTCTCTGATAGAAGAAGATGATTCGAGATCAGCCGAACACGCGGCACATGGTCGATTGAAGCGTCCCATAGAAAATATCTCTGCTAGATAACCCAGGACGGGATGTCAGCGTGCAGCGATTGAACTTGAGTTCACTTGTGTCGAACAGGGTAGTCAGGATTTGTCAGGAAGAGTAGTTGATTATTATCGACTGCTTGGTCGGATTCTGGGAGGGCTCGAACCTGTTCAACAACAGTTTCGACTATCATTGTAGGAGCTGATTGCGCTCTCTTTGTACCGGAGGCCTTGAGAGCTGCGTAGAATATCGATGTAAGCTGCAGCAGTACCACCAAGGGCATCTACGCGCGCCCGGATCTAAAATTCACAGACATGCATTATGAACGAAAGAGGACGTTGAAACAGTTGATTGTGAATTGTGGAGCAGAGAATCCCGGCCGTCGATTAGTGATGTTCAATATTTCATCAGCTTGTTGGACAGCATCATCTTTGGTTGTGGCCTTTCCGCAATCGAGTTATAGCGCGCTCAGATCATGCGTCCCAGACGACCAGTCCGGTGAGTCCAATTGCGAGGAATATGATACGATCCCGGATTACCTGTTCGATGCCCTGATCAAGAGCGTCATTGCCTACGCTCTGTACGCTGCCAGCAGCGACTCGTGCCGCTTGGATAAGCTGTTTCAATCTGTGACTGGTTCAACTCTCACATTTTGATCGGGTGCTGCGGCTCATGGCATTTGACCTAATCTCCGTCGGTGGAGATATTTACTCCCGTGCTCAGTCGACGGTTCCAGTTTGATTCTCTCCTTGGTGAAAACCAGAAACGATTTTTCGTGGAATCTAAAGCTGGACCACGTAGACATTTTTCGACCCGCTTCGAATTCATTCTCAGAATTTCCATATTGAGACTAGTGATTCGGCAAAAAAAAAGTGTCGGCCCTGAGGGAAGTGCATGGCGGCCTCCGTTTTGAAAAACATATGATGCCTCCGGATATTACGGTGAATTCTTGTGTCATCCTCATGAAAGGTGTCGCCGGTCGAATGAGGACGCTTGATCTAAAAACGGGATCGAGTTTCGAGGCTGACACTCCAACAAGATGGATCGCCGCTGACAGCGGCTCGATGTGGGTGGGTAGGAGGAAATTTCCCGAGCCATAATGGACGGTTTCCACGAGACGGCGACGTGCGGCGAACGCAAGGAAGGCCTTGTATCATTCACCTGTGCTGGAGAGCCGAAGGATTCGTATTTTCGTTTTCACTGTCGGTACCTCCTCCTTTCAGCTGGGTCGGCGAGCAACATGATCTCTTCTAGCGGGAGCGGGAGGCTCGTTTTCTGCGCATCATCGCGTCGCTCTGCCGTGGAAGAATCCTCGAAAATTAGCTCGTCGGAGATAAGGCTTCGATTATCCCGCCAGAGCCTATCTTGAAAGAATCCTACTCAAGGAGACAACATGAACGAGAATCAGGAAATCTAAAACGACCGGCTTCATGGTATCCGAAATATTTCCTTCGGGATGGTGGGAGCATAACAAGACTTCGAGTAGCTCTAGGCATGAGTTTAGAGTCGTTAGACCGTATCGAGGTGATGACAGAATACCTGAATGATTTTGGGCTCGCATCACCTTCTACAACTGGACACTCTTCTTTCGAAACTTCAGCGGGCGTCGGAATTTGCGGAGAACGAGGACCCTAGCGGGCATACGGTCTCCCATAAGTCATAAGAGAGCAAAAGGCAATCACAAGGGAGAAGGGGAATATGACTGGCGAACACCCGGAGACAGCCGCCCCCGGAGCGCTCTGCGCCCCATGCAGGGGAATCCAAAGATCGCTCTGAGCCGAGTACACTCGAAGCTTTTCGCGAGGTAGGTGGGTACGAATGGGGCCAAAAGCTCATTTGAAAAAATTCGGTTTTATTGATTAAACAAGCTCAACTGTGAATGGTTTGATATGCGATGTCGCAGAAAGTAATGTAGGCAAAAATGTAATGCTGGGAATTCTGGATGACGGGCAGATTGGTCTCCTTGATCTTCCCGAGCTGGTTTGAGAAAATCTTTAGTCGAGCCGACTCATTCTCGGAAACTGTACATTCTCTGTAATCGATCCCTCATTACCCCATGTACAGCTCACTGATCACCCTGAAGGATATGTACCTCGCTTTTCAAACATATGCTTAGGTTCGCTTCGAAATCCCTCGGCTGACCTTTACCTAAGCTGAGAGCTTGAGCATTTGAGCTTTGGCACTTATTAGGACTTTTTCTCGCCGCCGGCCGCCCCCTTGCGGATCATTCTCCAAGCCGTCGACGAGCTAACCCACGGATCATGTTCGAGCGCTTTCACAATAATCGAGGAGCAGCACTTCATGTTCGGATGATTCGTCGGATGTGGATGCGTAGGGCTGTACGACCTCCGAAGGAATTCAGATCATGGATCTATTACCTTGATGGAGCGAAGGTGGAGGTGATCGCGGTTTTCTAATTCATGTAGTACGACCAATAAAGAGAATTGAAGATTCCGAAAGCGACGGGGAACCCAAGCCGAGAGACGCGGTCAACACTGCGAGCGACCTCTCGGAACTTCCGCTCATCTTCGTTGGCCGACGCAAGGATTTCCACTCGCTGCCTGTCGATTCTGTTCTCGGCCTGGAATAATGTGCGGAAACGTTCAATTAGTGCGGGGATCCTCGTCGTCGTCGAGAACCAGCAACCCTTTGCTGGTCTGAATTCCCGCGAAATAGTTCCCGCTTGGAAAGCGAGAGAAGTATACACGCAACGACATTTCCACTTGTGCCGAGCTCGTTTATTCATTCGAAAGGTCTGGAGTTCACCATAAATTCCGCTCGTTACAGGAGTGAACCACGCAGAACGTTGTATAACAGCCGCTGTTTTTCGTTCAAAAGCAGAAGGCAATTCCGCAGCAAGTTCAAAGTCCCGGAACGGAGGTCGTGGTAACTTGAGGCGAACGAGTCTGGGTAGTACGAGCTCAGACGGGCGATTCTCGGAACAGCACGAATGAAATGTGAGTTTCACGGCACGATAATTTCCCGGTTTGACTCGGGGCGGTGCTTGCTGACACTTGTCTCGTCGGAGCTGTTTTGCTGAAATACCGAGTCATCAGACTCATTTTCGCTTACTTTCGGGCTATCTACGCTTATTGCTCTCCTCCGCGTCAGAATGTCTATTTTTGACTGGAGGAATACGCCAATCGAGGGCATCCAATCAGCGCTTGGGTCATTCCGGCTAGGACGGTCCGCTTGATCGAAATGATTCGAGCTGGTATACATGTTCCGTGAGAACTATTGTACTCGAGTTCAAATAGGCGGAGACAGCGATCAGCAGATGGCCTCACCGGGAAATTATTGCATGATGTTCTCGCGTAAACACAATTCCTCACAGCCGATAGTCTTGGTCTATCGATAGTCCATCGGGGCATACTGAATAAGTTAATCGGTACAGGACCCAAGATCTAAGTTCTTGCCCCCATACACACCATGAAATCGACGACATCATTTGGCACGATTGCGTTGGGATGATCGCCTGTGCTTCTGAGGCGAGCCAGATAGCTGACGCAAGTGAACTCCAGAACCGCGGTGAAGACGAACATGGTGCAAGCTGCCATCCAAATATCTAGAGCCTTCACGTACGCCACAGGTGCTTGGTTCGACTGAAATGAATGAAAGAGTGCGTCTGTCATGATTTCCATTTGAATCCATGACATTGGCGCCTCGTTCCTCGAGCGAGCATCTGACGAACCGCTCTAGGACCCGAGGAACGACGGGCATCCTCCCGAGTCTCTGAGGATTCGATCTCCTCCGAAGCACCATGCCGACTCCGACCAGAGAGTTTTGGAACTTTGTTGACGGTTTCACGAATATTCCGATACTAAGGTTTCTCGAGCTTTGAGCGAGTGGAATTCAATCAAGACCACCATCGCAACCGTCGATGTAAACGAAAAGCGGGTCGAATTTTGAATATGCGCCAAGACAAGAAACTAATTTATCGACGAGCGAGCGCCAGCGGGGAAAATGCGCGTCGAGAACATTCGACTCCACCGGGAAGCACCGCGGGTGTTTCTTCTCGGGGCGAAGGCAGCTCCAGAATTCGAAGAGCAAGACTGGTATGATAATTGGACTCCGAAAACGGGCCCCCGCAAGGAATGCTCCTCCCGACGAAAGACTCGCGACAGGAGAATAGTTGGGCCGATGATTAATTGCGGGAAAGATAATCCTCGTCCCGAGGCAGCGGTGATGTGTGTATCCCGTTTTCCTCGAGGGAGCTCGGATGTCGACTCACCTGTTTATCAGAACTTTCAGCGGAGATTGTCAGTAAGGTTGTGACGCCGAGCGTGACCCGTGCCGGGATCGCATCGACATCAAGCCAAAACGATACCCACGAGATAACAACGATCAGAATCGATGGAAGGTAAGACTGTACAAGATGATGCCCGATAGCGCGTTTCAGGGATAATCGCACGGAGAGACAGGATCGTTCTGAAAATGAAAAAATATCGAGAAGTGAGTCAGTTTCCGTCAGGGGGAATTTCGACGATCATCTATACGAACCATCATTCTTTTCTTCTCTCCCGGTAACCATGCTTATCGGTCTTCGAGTTCGCTCTGTCTCGGAGCGGACGATGGAGTAGATGGGAGAAAGTTGGCATTCGTTCGGAATATTCTCCAAGCATCAAGCGATGGACGAGAGACTAAGTCCAGAGCCGGAATACGCACGAGGAAACCTCCTCGGAGCCCCGAAAGGCTTGAGACATCATCTTAGGAGTCAGGATGAGTCAGAGTCCGTCCGGCACAACCTTCCTCGAGTTCCATCACATGCGAAGACGGGGTCTAATAGCAGAAACATCAGCTCTCTAGAGAGGAAATTAGCTTCGTCGCAAAAAGTGCACGACAAAACTCTGCATGCTACACGGGGGGCCTAACGAAGTGAGTGCCTCCTGGGATCTTCGCATCGGAAGATGCTTGAGTGCTGCAAGCTAGGAGAGATCCGCGACCCCGAAGCTCGAATAGGAAGCCCGAAGTTTTCCTGACCCATCAGCGACGAAGTTCGTCATAAATCCCTTTCCCCGGGATCTTCGAGCGCTAAGCCTCGATTCTCTCGCTCTTCCGAAAACGTCCGCATACCCCCATCTTGCTCTCGCCTATTGTAAGCCCTGCTCCCTGGGACGGATCTCGAGGCCGGCGCTAGAAGAGACGTTCAGATCGAGAGGGCCTACATGTCGACCACGAGCACTCCCCCAAATGCAGAACGGATGAATGAAGGGGGTAAGCTTATTAATATTTCACTGACTGGGAGCAGAGCTCGGAAAAGACGTGGTCGAGGGAGGAATGCTTCACCGTTCATTGTCCGCCATTGATCCACGGCCAGTGGCAGCACATACCGAGGAAAGTAAGGGAGTTGACAAATTGAGGAAACCACCGCCGTCTCCCGGAGCAGCCCTCCTTTCGCGACGCTGACAAGATCGGTAGTACTGAATAGTACGGCGATGATGCAAGGACACCCGGTGTGAACTGGTAGCCAGAATCGAAGAACGAGCAGAGCGTGCTGAATTATAGCAAGATGGAACTCAACGATCAGGAAATATAGCTGCAATCCGCTCAGCGTAAGCATAGGGACTCGCCGGAATCGCGAGGGCCTCGCAGAACGACTTGGGCCTTATCGATCATTTTCGGCGCCTTTCAGTGTAAGGGGATGCATTCTTTGCTCCGGGAAACCCAAGGGTAGATATAGACTGACACCATGTGGTAATCGATGACGAGAAGTCGCACGAAGGAAACGTGGTCTTGAGAGATCAGATCTCAATGCGAGGATCCTTGGGAATTCTGCTGAATTTCCCCTTCTCTTCGGCATCGTCACGAAACGAGTGTCTTCAATTGCGGCGCCAGCCTTGGGGAGCTCGAAGTTTCGAAAACATTATCTCCTCGTATCGGAAAGATACCCTTGAAGCCCGTCGAGCCACGACCATCATGATTCATGATGTTAAGAGTTCCACATATTCAGTGAAGTCCTCAGACACATGTACGCACATCGAAGACGATGACGCGCCACCTTTCCCCGCTCCAAGGTGCGCTAAGAGAAATTACCTCCTAAGTCCTGCAGTAATCTCTGCCAAATCCTCTCTATTTCCTAGCGTCTTGGATTCTTGGAAATCGTAACCCGACCGCGGCTTCATGGACGAGCTGCTCATCGATTCTTACTTCTGTGTTCCTCCATCACAGACAAGGGGAACCTGTGACCCTTTGTATCGTTGCGGATTTTCCGGTTTCTTTTCTCGGTTGCTCAATATAATGATCAGTTAGAATATTCGTGGAGAAGACAGATCAATTACTCGTTCCGGCGTGCGCGCGGTTCAGGTGGTGCGGTGTATCCCACGGTCAAACACGACATGAGGTATGAGATCGAGGAGTTCCCCCGCCAACTCAAGACCTCAGGCATCGATGATATCAGCAGTTGGTTTATTCTGATGTTGACATCATCCATGGACTCGGATTCCGGGAGGCCTCCCCGTTTCTGACCGCTAGCGCGGCTAATGGGTGTACGGTCTCCATCCGGCTAGGAACAGGTATTAGCCGCGCCGTCCTCAAGAATCGAAATCCTTTCTGTCAAGAATTCCCGCCCTAAACGAAATGAAACTCCCTGGCCACAATGGGAGCGAGCATTCGGAATTACTGTGAGATCACCGGAGCCTTCCTCGAAGCTTCTCAGCTTGAGTGGAGCAGCCGCCCTAGCTGAGATGACGGTTCAAGCCGACTCCTCGTGTCGGGGATGAGGCGCTCAAACGTTTTACGGATGAGTACACACTCCGATCTGTAGCCCCGGGTCTCTTCCTGACGTGCTATAGGTACAGCATAAGGAGTCTGACCACAGAGACAGAAAGTCGCATGAGGGATCAAGGGCCGTGCGGGCATGAGAATCACCAGCTGCAGGAAGGGGGGACATCCGTGCGTCGTAGTAGAGCTTAAAAGAAGGAATTTCAGACCCACGCATATCGAGTCTCTGAGCCGCTTGATACAGAAGATGTCTCGCCGCCAAGTGTTCGCGGTAATCTCATCAGGCGTCTATAGACGGCTGTCGTTCGAGGAACGTATCCCCGCTCCCATCCCTCCCGCCTCTATGTAGCGTTTATCAGTTCTCTCTGCTGCCTAAAAACTCCGACAGCGCATCATGCCATTAGCCCTTCCCGACAATATGTTTTTGGTCTGCTCCGTCTCAACTTAAGGCCAATGAAACTCCGCCTCTGTGAACGATCGAGGGAGATCAGATAATGATCAGCACGAAGTTTCCAAGAGAGCTCATCTGCTACCCTGGATCTGAAAATTTTTGTTTCGTCGAGACGGTACTGAACCGATCGGGTTAGGCCGACATCGTTCAGGCGAGCCCTGCCAAGGTGTCCTCTGAACTTGTTGCTCTTGAGTGTCTCATAGAGGAGGAAACGGTATCCATCTGCGCGATACCTCATCTCTCCGATTTAGGTGAAATGAACGAGATTCCGTCGCGAGCTGAGCCACCGTCTGGCGGGCGCTTTCCGGCTCACGGTTTGCATGTCAGATGCTCCATTTCTGGGTCTCGAAGATCCATCTCTTGAGCAGATTATTGACTCCTATCTTCTTGTCAATATATAGCGCTCCACGCAGAATACAGTCCCCCCTGCATCCCGGAGTGACTAACTTTCCTCACCGGAAGATCTTGGGAATGGAGCGTTGTTGCGGCCCTCCTGTTGATCTTGATGAACAGCGCCTTGAATTACTATCAACACTGAAGCCCTGGGGCATCGCGAGCCAACAAGCGCAACTTGACTCTCAACCTGAACAATTCCCCGTCCCGCTCCCCAAAGCCATTCCGTCTCGCGCGCGGCGTAACCTCACGTAAAGTATCGCGAAAAGAATACAAGTTCGACGGGAGCTTCGACCCGCGGAAGAACCCAAAAGAATTAAGACAAGCATGACAATACACTCGCGATCATTTCGGGGGGAAATCCTCACCTGTATCGAGATGGTGGATGTTGGTGCGTGGGCAGAAGTTCAAATGTTCAGCTTTCTCTAACTCGAAATTGGCCATTTTTATTCCGCGATTGAAAGTGAGCGGTGTCGTGCCGTTCCAATGCAGCATGACATCGGTATTTGTACGAGCAACTGGAAGAAAAAACGGGAAACCGTTCCTATTATCTGGATTCCTCCTCTTCATTACTCTCCGCGGACGGTTCCGGTGCGGAGAGGGCTGAGTCCCCTCGGGAACTGAAAATATTGATACGCAGGAACCGTTCCGCACCCTAGATATGTTTCTCTGTCTTGGAGTGCGAGAAGATGTAATGAGCGGAAAAATCCGGAGGCACTGGCGTCTGTCATCCGAAGTTTTAACAAAACTTTGGGTACTCTTCTCGATCACGTTCCGCGGCTAGAGTCACGTCGACTTCGGGAGGAAGAGATCAGCGCAGACAATAGTGCACTAGAAGCACCATCGATGGACGTTCAGCTCTCGTGATCACCATGCTCTCGATACAAATGCGTCGGCTCCATATCAACTCCGCGCCGTATTCCTCGTAAGCTATCCGTTCGGAAGCACTCAAGGTGGTTTCAGATTCCCCGCATCTCAAAATCATCGGCTCTCAGGCAATATCCAATATTCTCGCTTTCCTTCTACGTCTCAAGCATTATGACGAGGACCTTTGCGGGGAAACAGAGAGACCTGTTGAGAAACGGCCAGGAAAGTCAGTGGCAGCCGCGAGGCGACTTGTCCGGTATAATCGAAGCGGACTCCGAGCAATGATCTAACTCATGCCCGAATGATGACCCGAACGTTTTCAGTACCGATCAGTGCTCAGTGTCCACTCAATATCCGTGGCAAGATCCTGGCTCTTGGACCGAACGCTCAAGCCTCGTCCGGAGCGGGACCTTGAGCCTCGAATATCCGTTTATTTCCCGCCGGCGTATCGAGGTGTACTGGACGGAGGGTCGACCGTGTTCTGCACTCGACATCGACCCGGCGAAACTTGTCAGCCCGGAATAGAAAAAGGCTTCCGGGAGCTCTTTATCTCTATGCATGGTTTGTCTGGCATACGAACAAGGCTTGCTCCTTGACCATGATCATTTCCGCCGGAAACATAATGAAACTCACAGGTAGCCAGTTCAATGTAACACTCCTGTCTATCCAATGGGTAGCTCGTCAGATCCAGCATGCACGAAAACCGAAGCTTCAACCTGAAAAAAATTGTGTCCTTCTATTATTCTCGCTTGAGAACTCCCCAAGAGTTCCATTCTCCTAAAGTTTCATTCTTGAGCTCCGCTCAACTTTCCAGCTACGGGATGTGGCTTGAGCAGTCGGGACAGAGAGGGTGGGTAGCTTAATCCCAATGAAGCTCTCCCCCTTGCATATCACAATCGCGAGACAGACGCGCGTCAGGGTCCATCATTCAGATCAGTGCTCAAGGAGTTTGCTCTCGATACCGAGGGATCAGCGGGGATCCTCGGAGATCGGAAGGAGAAAGGGAAGGACAACGACTGGAAGGAGGAAGCCGCCGATTCGCGACCGAATCAAGGTCAGGGGCCAGACAGGTCGGGAACGAAGTTCCTGGATATCAAGTTCCGCCGACAGCATATAGTTCGAGAGTCGGGAGATATGGAATCTTTCTGCAGTGTGTTAAGCTTTCATCGAGAGAAATTATTTATTGGATGGAGTGAGACACCCATCATTTGAACCACGATTCTCTCCTTTTCAGCCATACGGCCATTGACATGAATTCCCTCGTGGTCGAGGCGGAGTCGGGCAAGCCTCCTCCAGCATGTCAGGCAGAAGGTTTGAGCCCTCACTGGAGCTGGACTCTCCTTTTCCCTGGACATGACATGCGGTCTATTCTGAGTCAAGAAGGCGTAAAACCCAATACTGCCTCTCGGCGGTGGATACGATGTTTGTATTCGAGAATCTAAGATCGCACAGATGCTCACCTTAACGAGTATAAAACCCGTCCGTTCGCTTCGATCCGCAGGAGAACATTTGGGACGTGACAAAATGGAAAGAGCCTGGAAGTCAGCGAAATTCCCGGTTCATTTCTGAGTGTGATTATTCCTCTCGATGGACTTTGGGGGCGCTCGAGCAATTCCTGTCGAAGAGCTCTGCCTCGTCCACTTCGAGAGCCGGAGCCACTCTCGAGACTATCTCTCGAGAGGGAGAGAGCTACCTTACCTTCTTTGGCGTTAGGAAAATAGATATCTGGTTTCCAGATAGCTTTGATGATAGTAGCGTCGTTCAAATCTAAACGGGACGAATCGTTATTGGTACCCTGGAATACGAAAAATCGAAAAGTTGGACTAATCGCCAAACCCTCATCGATCTCGTTCGCCTATGATTCGAGTCAACGAGTTCTCTCGGGGAAGAAGTCATGAGATCCCTGCTGTCTTCTGCTCATTCAGCTCGACGTTTCCCTTCGAGGAGCTGAACGTAGCAGAGGACCGATCCACGGAGAGAGCCCCTCAAACGCTTCTCTCGATCACCAGCGGCAGGAACAGTCGAGCTGCGGATAAATAAACTCGCGGAAACAAGTCTTACCGCCCCGAACTGGAGGCTCGTGAAGCGAATGTCGTCCCAACTCTCCCGCAAATACAGTTCCACGTCGTAGTCCTGTCGAGAACAAACATTTTACACATTAGCATACTGTATTCCCCTTCGGTTCCGCCCTCTGCGTCCCGGCGGGGAAGAGCGTGGCCTTTTTGCACCACAGCTTACGACAAGTCACAAGTCTGTAAGACGTTCGATTCACTCAGGGAAAACCCATGGGATTGCTTGGATCGCGACTCTGAGCAGCGTTGGTCTTCAAGAGGAAGACTTCGGAGGTCGGTGGGCATTCGCTCGATGAGAGTGGAATCGATTGCATCCAGGATGAGATTCTCCGGCACCGTCGGGAATCGGGTAAGGGGGGCAGGGACGGAGGATCGACTTCTGAGCTACCGATACTCGATTGGAGCAATAGGAACAATACTCTGATGCCGAATGAATGCGACATCCCTCTCTGCCAAGGGGGGAAACGCGGAGATGTCGCTGTTCCCGCGGCACCGTAGATGAGTCTTACATAGACTCACCGCCCAAAGTTCACTCACCATCGTGTCGGCGTTGACGGTACCGAACGCTCTGATTAGAAGCTCGATGTTCACGTGGGTAGTCCCCCCACGGAAAGGGACATCCGGATCCATTTTCTTCAAATGACTGAGAAACTCACCAGGAGATACCTAGAACGAAAATCAGGCTAAGCAGTCGGGAAATGAGAGCAAACTCGCAAGCTCCCGGATCGAACGTATCGTATTGGCCGCATTCGGTGGTCAGGAAGATCAGAGAAATACCGAGAGCATTTGAATCTCGTCAGATCTTACGCTAACTGAATTTCAATAATCCCTGGCCGAACTTACTCTGCGATCATAGACGGCCAATAGATGGTCTAAGGAGCTCACGGCGCTCGGAGTCGATGGATAACTGTAATGAAGGTCGAACGATTAAAGGGAGCAGTCAGCAATTCATTCCCAGGGCGCGACTGCTTGTTAATGGAAGCGAGAAACTTGCTCTTCCGGATCCCCTCCTCGGTCGGCTGTATCGCACACAGTCGTGGCGCTTGGTAAACCGAGTTTCCGAGCGGCGCGGCGCCCCCCCAGGTGGCCGGACGTCGAGCGGGATGGAAACGAATTCTAAGAGGAAGAGTTGCACTCAAACAGGTGCTGAGACATTCGGGAGCTCATGCCGCTGTCGTCTAGCCGAGGTCTCGAATCGGGGTCCGCAGCGTAAACCTGCACATTGTTGTCTCGATATGGAGATCATCCTCTTCGAGGAACATAAGCTTTAGGGTTCGGACTCGCTCCTGGTCGCGTGTTCCTTTCAAAACGTGAAAAAGAGCGCAAGTGACTGCTCCCTTCCAGAGGTTAAGCCAGCCGTGGCCTATGCCGACCGTGAGAGCTGTCCGAGGGAAGCCTAAGGCTGGCAGGTCGCCTCAGAGCTTCTGCCCGAGCTTCTGAATCCTTCTTGGAATTTATTTCTTGGAGTCTTCCGGGCTTTCACTCAGATCGAGAAATCTTGTATCCGGTTGAGTGGGTTGGAATGTCGCTCAGTCCAGAACATGGAACCACCGGAACGAACGAATGCGAACACAGTTCTTCTGTCGGGGGACGAGCAACGTCGGGGCTGCTCAGTGTCCTCACCAGTACCGTTTAACGAGCTACGTCCCTCTTGGAAGACGTGTCCCAAGCAGCTACCCTTACCTGCTCGCGAGAGGCTGCGGCGAAGAGGTAAGCAAAATAACGAAAACCCCGCAGCATCCCGCAAGCTGCGTGGAAGGCAAGGATCGGAAAATTCTAGGAAGCTCGGTCTCTCCCTCGAGGTCCGAGTGTATTGTAGGTTTCGTGTAAACAATAACGGACACGTCTGGGATCACGAAGGCTCCGGAAATGCGATTTCGCATCCTCCAATCACCTCGGAGTGCAACGAATCGGAATCCTGTCCTTTCGAGCGGCTGAATCAAATTCGATCGACAGGGGAGACCGCTCGGGATAGGGGAGCGCGTCCAGACTCGTTGCGCGGAGCCTTGTCGTTCTCTCCTCGAATCGAAGAGAATCCGACGGGGAAGCCGGCAGAAATCGTAGCGGTCCGGCGGGGAACAAGATTTATCCGAATAACGTTCCGATCGCGCCTTCATGGTGTGTACGAGCATCTCTCTGTGAGTGCCGTCAGGTAATCCCGTTTATTCTTCCCGTTGGTTTGCCGGTCGGTCTGGCGTCTCGCACGGAAACAGTTCGTGACGCTCGCTCATGATAGATGCAGGAACAGGATTTTCTACGAAATATAATCGACTCAAACGCTTTGAGCCTTCCCCCGGGCTCGAAGCTGCTGCACATCGATGTCAGCAGCAGCAGCGTCAGAGCTCGGCATTTCCGGGAGTTATTGCGTCGAGGCCTACGGATCTCGAACAGAAAACTCTCGACGATTCGCTTCCGAACGGAAGCTCGAGGTCTCAATCGGAAGCGGAGGTTTCTCCGCTATTCGAAAATGGTAGGAACCTCGTCTATGTACTCTCAAATGGCTGCGCTTTCCCGGTGCATCGAGTTCCGATATTCCATCCTTCGAGAGAGAAAGATCGTTGTCGGAAGTCGATCGACGGATTCGATAATAATTTGCTGCGTCATCTGTCTATTCAGGAAGATGCAACATCATCGAGCACTGTTGCTATGAGATTCTGGTGAAGATAAGAACCGATGTTCAATGAGAGAAAGATGTTCGTTTTCTTGGCAGAAGTGCAGCGGCCGTCGCTGCTGCTTTCTGCAACTCGCTGCGACGGCTGATAGAGAGTTGCTCTTGACGAAATGATCGCCGCGATGAGAATTCAGACCCGTAATCAACCATTGATGTCGAACTCGGATGCCCCCAAAATGTGTGCGCAGATAGCAACGACATGGGGATCAGAGGCGGTGTGTAGGAGAACGAGATCAATGCAGGATCTCGATCCCCCACTGCTCTCGGACATCAGAGAATTGGTCGGTTTCCGACAGGGGGCTAAGGACTCCATCGATGGCATTCTACCGTCCTGCGCAGTCGAGAGTTCCGAGACTCGAACTCGATATCTTTGGGACCAAGAGCGTAAAACCTATATGGTATTCACTTCTTCACAACCTCCTCTCGCGCGAGTCTTGCCAATTTAGTCAGATATGATTCTGAAATTCTCTGAATTCTAGCGTTCCTCCACGATACAAGTCTAGAACAAAAACTGAAGGGGGCCCAGGGCTAGCCCACATATTGTGAGGCCGGAGGGAACGTTGTATTTCTTCTTTGAGAGAGGATTATAGAGTCGCTGGGTAGCTGGAAGTGCGTCGGGACACCTTGATGAAAAAACGAGAAATATGAGACCCTCGTCTATTTCTGCATAGCTTCGCAGCAATTCACTGGGAGCTTACGCGGAGCCGAACGGGGAACTTTGCTGCTCGGTGTCTGCCTCACGCCGGTCGGTAGATCCGCACTCTAGACGTGGCCTTGGAATTCCATGATCTCGTCCGACACGAGGCACCCCCTACCCCTCACCCCTAATTCTCAATTAGAAACTTCATGGGGTTCGGACTTCTTCATTCCAGCCATGGAACGTCTCTGTTGGAGAGTCGAGTAGTTCTCACGCTTTGTCACAATGAGCCGCCGCAGAAACTCACAACGAGAATGTCTCATCGAAATTACCTATGTAGGGCTTCGATGAAAGCCTAGCGCATGCACAATAGGCATCTTCGGAGGCTTGCTAATGGACCGTTGTCTCCATTCGGGAATATTGTCCTAGTGGATATAACTCACCTGTCACCCGCATCTGATGGATCGAACTGTCGCTTCCGTATCGCTTCGCTCACACCTGTGGCTTCACACAATAAATACAGAGGAACGACCCAGCGAGATAGATATGACATCGTGCCGGGCATGTATCCAACGAGAAATCCGCTTGTGTGGAATCAAACTTGCGCCGTGGTATGAACTCCGAATTTTCCTTTTGGGCACATCGCTCCTTGGTGAACCATTCTATTCGATTGAGGGATGAGCCGCGCTTTGAGGGCACACTCGGCTGGACTGAGGCTCATGCGATGGAATTGAAATCTTCCCTCTGCGCGGAATATTTTGCTGTGCGCAGACAGGCAGGTAGACCAACTGGAGAAGTCTTCCCCTCATTCACGGGAGCACCGATGATGATGAAAGTGTTCACTGCTCTTGAACTCACTCGGAATCGACGCACACGGAAAGACCTTTTCCGAAGAGGGCATGGCGTCAGAAGTCGACGAGCCCACGCACAGCTCAGAGTTGTTCCGAAACGGATTCTTCCGTCGGCAAAGCTCGAGTTTCCGCCGGAATCTAGGATCTCCGGAGCGAGCTGACGAAGTAGCAATCGTGGCTGAATTCACTCTGCTGAGCCGGTGTGGGACGCTGCTGCGAGGGCCCCGGAGAAAGGACAGGAAAGGGCTATGGATTCCAAGTCTCAGACAACCTCCCGAGTGGCAGCAGCATCAGCTGCAGGCTCTGACCCGACCGGAGGAGAACGATGCTCTAAACGCAGCTATCCAACAGGTCGGTCAGCCACAGCTACGCTCCGCCTGCTCGGATCCGGATTCTCTCGGCAAACAAGGTACGAGTTAGCAAACGGAGGCTCGTCGACAAGCAGGCTGGCAAGATTCTTTATACATACGTCCTTCTTGCTGGCAGCGAACAATGCTTGAGCCGTGCGCTCAGGCCGGGGCGAAGGAACTCCCATATTCTGTATAAGGGTAAAAATATCCCGAGATATGTGGTATGCGCCGGGAAAGCTTACTTCGAATGAATTAACTCAGACGCGGCGCAAACCAGAATATCTCCTGTTTTTTCTCACGGGAACTTCTCCGGGGAGACATCGCGTGCCCTCGGAAGAGATCGTCTCTCGATTGCTGGAATCGAACGCCTGACGGACTCGGTTACGCTTGTTCCTTCAATGGGGCGTTGAATATCCTCCGATGACGAGGAGTTCTCAAGGCCTAGCAGGGGTTTAGATATCTCAGTCGAATTAATTGGAGGAGGTACCTGAGTCCTTTTCGGGAGCGTCATGTGTTATGGGCCGCTCAAGTATCAGGAATAAGACAGAATGGGGAGGGAAGAGGCATCGAAGAGGAGTGATTCCGTGAGAACTTGCATGACCAAGGATTTCGCAAATATTCCTACAAGATTTGAGAGGAAACAGGAGCATGAGGCCTGAGCTAAATATACAATCATCAGAATAGGACGGAGTGTGGGCAGTTCGAGGAAGCAGTACCCATCCCTCTATGGAAGAACAGTGGTATGCGGCGTCTCAGGAGAGTATTCTCGCACCCATTCCGCCCATATGGGTTCTCGATCGATTGATGATTTCCGGTGGATCTGTTGCACAGCATTCCTCAATCGATCGGCATATTCTCAATCGACCGAGCCACGCCGGACCCGAGATCCCAAGAGTTCGGGTATACGGAAACAAGTGTTATCGGAATGCGAAGGTGCGTTCGCAAGGCACCGCGGAGGGTAGCGCATGCTTTCATCATGTCAGGGTCAACCTTGCGAGGTTGAGAGGCAGTCTCCTACCTCTGTTGTCGCTTATCTAATCCGTGTTCCGATGTCATCCGTCGCAACAAGACTGTCTCGTTTCTCTGCAACAGATCCGCCCGGGAGACCAAGATCCATTTCTCGATCAATACAGAAGTCTGCGAAGGATGCAATAAGTTTCGGCTGAGCGATCCCATGTTTGTCGAGTGCTGGCGCTCGACAGAAAGTTCTACCAGGAGCCTTTGGAGAAGTTTCGCTCGCTCGCCGCCTCAAGCTACGTTCGCTCGTCCATACAGGGGCTTACAGTCTTGTTTTTATTATTTACCTCGAGCATGATGGAGTTAGGACGGGAATATGGGACAGATAAGCCTCCTTACTTCGTTACGCTACATCCGATAATCATTTTATCTGGCTCATCCCCCTCCCCCTGCCTCCCCTTCGAATTTCCTTATCTCGTAAGAGGACCCTATGCGAAATCGACCAGAGTTTATGCATATTTCTCGTCACCCCGAGCAAGAAGTCGTGCGGGACGATGGCACCATGAGGTTCCGGGACAAATTTTCTGGATTCAGCTTCGATAATCAGGTGAGCTCAGTCATCCCTCATCACATGGTCCTCTTCTAGAAGCCTCACCCTTCCCGAGAAAGAGGGCGGAAACTATTTGCTGACCGCCCGCTAGCTACATTGACCATTCCGTCCCGTTTCCGGCGATTTCACTGATCGGATCAGATAAGAGAAGCACCTAGAATTGACGGTGACAGCTTAGCTGACTACTTAGAGGTGACGCGTTCTACGTGCACGACTTAGTCTTCCTCCAGCTCAGTCCGCCCATAGCCAGTCCCTGATAGTCGCCGGAGAAGCAATCCTTCTTCGAATCCTACATCCCACTCTTTGATTGAGTCTATGGAGTGTTCAGCGTCGAAGGGGTCAGGATCCCGCTGTCAGGGAATTCGAGAGACGTCTTCGATATCGAGTCGACATCTGCTGAAGTCCTCTGTTATTCTCCTAGCTCGCTTATTCCTTCCTGGAACGTCGGCGTCGTTCAATCTCTTGGCCACATTCGGGCTGTCTCACCATCAGAGACATCTTATTGTTTTCTCACACCTGACGCCGATTAGACGCAGAGCCCTGACGAAATTGTCGATTTCCCCGCTGTATTTTTGTCGATATGTCCGAAATAGGTGTTATCTACCCGGAATCTCGTCTTTGAACTTCTTCCCGATGCGTCTGGTCCCCGCTAGTTCGGATGAAGTATTAGATCTGAATATTTCAGCACAGGACTCGGCTTCCTTCGATTTCGGGAAGGGTCCCAGACTTATTCGTTCGTGATTGGTTTCATGGCTGATTCAGAGCATGCACTGCAAGGGAAATCCTCCCTTGAAAGGGAGCTTGGTGCGGGAGCAGGATGCGCTGAGAACGGCCTAGTCCGCCTATAAGTGCGAGGCAATAACGGTAGATAGATCGAGGCACTCGCCGTGTACTCCGTCCCTCCTGCAACTTCTAATCCGCCCATCCCGAAGTGGAGGGAACCTCCTGGAACTGTCGTCCTCCCTGAATGGCGCTCAATTAATGATATAGCGCCCATTATTCTTGCCAGGCTTCTTCCTTTATCTCTGAATCGCGGAATGAGGTTGAGGGTACAAGGCTCGCCCCTATTGCATCGACGGAATATCCACTTGCTCGATCCGGCGCTGATTCGCCCTCCCCGCAAACAGGTCAACGGTTCCAGAATGAAGGACAAGCTGTCCTCCGCCACGGCTAGGAATTCCAGCAAACCATCGACTTGGTCTACTCTGTGATCGCAGAGGTCACTGGGACGCGACTGCATAATTCCTCCGCATACCAAGCGCTCCGCCTGATGTTGATGATCAAGGGATGACCTGAACTCTCGGTGCGGGCGACATCATCTCGAATTTACCGAACCTCCTGTATCGGGAATCGTGGATCTCACGTCTCGCCATGCCGTGTTTGCTATTCTCAGACCTCAAACATTCGTGCATGGATGGACCGGAAGCTTGAAAATCGGGATGTGGTCCGGAAACGACTCGATGACGCTCCTAAGCGGGGCTGGGATAAGATGGTCGAGAATTTGTGTTCAATAATGCCGATTTCTACGCAGAGTTTCAGGGAATGCTCCTGGTCGTAAGCCGGTCAGATCGGGTCCGCCCTCTCGAGAACGCCAAAAGTCCCCGAGACTCATTATGGATAATCTTCTGCGCCTGACCTTCGAGACGACATCCAGGTCCGAACTCCGAGGAATAGTTCATGAGAAGAGACCGCATGCATTGGGATGCAGGGGTGGGACTTGGGGAGGATGAGAATGGGTTCATTATCGGCAAGTTTTCTGCATCGTTGGCTTTATGAGATCCTTGAACCTCGAGCCACCGGAGGAGCCGTCCCGCTGCGGAGATTGGAAGACACGTTCGTTTTCAGGCTCTCGATTCCATATGGGATCGGGTCCGTTTCCCCCACCACTTCCATCCGGTTTCTGACAGAGCTTTGTCTGGGAGGAGGAGGTCGTACGGTCATCACGGGCGCGAGTACGAAACCCCAACCTTGATGACCTCGTTCCGAATCATCCGATCGCGTTTGTTGAGATCTGGTCTCGGCACTGGGAACAGGTTATAAATAGAGGCGAGTAAGGCACAGGTTCACAATTTTTCTTCTAGTTCATTCTCGGCTGAGCATCAAGAGAGTTCCCATCAAGGTATATAGCAAACGACCGCTCGTATCCCTCGAACTCATCATCCCGCTCTGAGATCGACTTCTTTGGATCGCCTCCCACGAGCTCATCCCCGGACCGAGATGCGATCAGATTCAGGCGGATATAATAAGAAAATACTCGAGTCTTCTACATCATAGTGACCTCATGAGGAACGGGCCCAGAAGCATTCACAAGAGAAGTTTTATTTCACATGGTGACGTGCGATGGATGATTAATGATCCTATATTGGAAAACATTCGTTCCGCCTGAAGCGCTATGACTCGAGATCGAGGAAGTTTACATCCACGCCATACTCGTCCACACAGGAACCTTTGAGCTTGCGACGTATGTCCGTCGGAACCTCCGAGAGCCAGCTCATTTTCGTGCATTCCAAGTTGAAATTACCTGGAAACAAGAAACAAAAATTCGTTCGGAATCAGAGACGTATTCTGCCGCACAAGGGCGGTACAAGGGATCGATGGAAGACAGCGGCACGTGGCGAAAGAGACGCGCACCGTTCACGTCGACTCTCTGAATGCTCGTGAAGCCCATCACTGGTTTGAAGACTGCTGCGTCCAACGAGGTGAACCGGTTCGATATCAGCAGTACCTCTTCCAAGTTTGGGATGCCTTCGAATATTCTTCCCGGTAATTCGCTAAGGGAGTTCATGCTGGAATCGATGATAGTAGATTTCAGTGTAGTTATCTGCGTCGAATGTCGAAAGGGTGACGGTGCGCACCGTGGGCTTCATCGTTACCCACCTGAAATCCAGTCGGCGGAGCTGGCTCCTATCTTTTGGGATGTATTCCTCAGATAAGCTTTGGAGATCACACTTCGAATGTTTATAAACCTTAAGGCCTTTGAGATCTGCTGCGAGTGGCAACTTAATTTCCTTGGAATCCAGTATCCACAGCTGAAATATGCCAAGAAGAATCGAGCGATGCACTTCCGATTTCAGGCCGAACTCGCTGACATCATTCGTTCCTTGTCCACATTCACTATTCCAGACCCGAAACACCCACCTGATCGACTCGCAGACCTTTCAACCATTCGGGTCGATAGTTTTCCAATGTCGCTTCGAGAAATTCGAGAGCGTTCAGAACCGACGGCGCTGCCGCCAGAGTGGTGACACCGAGATCTACAGTGCAACTCAGGAAGTGGACTGACTTCAAATCCCTCTGCGGGAGGAAATTAATCGAATGAGTTCCGCGGTCTTTTCGTCAGCGGAGCGATGAAACCAAAGGGGAGGGGGCGGTGAATATTTTCCATGACGAGCTCAATATTTTCTCGAGAAGAGCAATCATAGTTTTTTCTTGTACCAACGCACCTTAGTAAGTGGCGCTTCCGCGAAACTGAATGACCCTTCGGCACCTTCGATCACTACGTTCCCTCGGAGAAACTGCAGCGACATGGTCTCGATCTGGTCGAGATCGCTATTGTGGAGCTGAAACAATGCCCTCGATTCTCTCCGATTTTCATGCTACATCAAATTATATTCGCGATATGTCCCCCCGTCGAAAATTGATATTCTGTGTTGAGGCGGCTCGACATGAGCGCTGTATTGCGCGACTCAATTCATCACTACGATCTACTCCGAACGCAAACAGGATTGGTGGGCTCTCGCGGCTTGAGGAGTTGATTCGATACCGACCTTGAATTCGAGTCCAGTAAGTTTTGTCTCGCTCATAATATAGTCCCGCAGCTCCGAGAGCGCACCAGAGAGTTCATTCACATTTTGAGGCTCACTGCACTCCACGACGATTCCTCTTGCGAGCGAACGGCATGAACACGGATCCAAGCTCGGTATGACTATAGGGCACTTTGCGCTGGGTTGGCGACTCTGTTGATCGCCGATCTGATACAAAGTAGGCTTTTCGAACAAGGTGAATTTGGTGCACACTCTGGGTTTTCTCGCGACATCTCTCTCCTCAGCAATTTCACGTTTCACGTGGCGTTTCACGATTCCATGAGTCTCTGATTTCGGTGCACTTGAGATGAGCTCGTGATTCCGATAGACCACGCACCCAACGAGGAGAAACGTTAGCACGCCGAACAAGATTCGTAGGCGATCTCCAAGAGCCATTTTCCATTTCCATTGGAGTCCGGCTTGCACCGTAATACTGATGCTTCGAGGTTTGGCGGGCCTTCCACCTAGTCGCCCGAACGGCGCCCGTGATGTCGATGTTCGGCGGACATTTTAGCGGGATGTGTACATTGCTATCGGATGATCGATTTAATTTAATCTTATTTAAGCCCTGGATTCGTGGGCATTCATTCTGGCAGGACGCAGCAAAGTCTGCGGAGCCAGACTTGCCACGGAGGGAAGAGACTCGCTTGGCTTACGATATTTTACGCGCACATGACGTTTCATCTCCGAAGCAGCTCGAATTAACAGGGAGCTGATCGTCGTTCCATAAACAGGTAGAGGCAGGAGAATGCGATTCAAGGCGGCATTCGGGCCCGGACCCCTCATGAATCTATCGACGCCCCGGAGGAAGTGCAGCGCTATCGTAGCCCCTGAGCGTCAACAGCGGTGAATCGCCACGGAGGAGGTCGATGGATTCGTGAGGCTATGCGGAAAGTTATCAGCAGGACTCTCCCCCGGTGGAAAGACGATGAGCAGCTCGCTGGGCCTAACCCAGATGATAATTGATAAGAAGCATGAGTTGAGACATGGACATGAAACTCATGCTCCGCTCCTGGCTGTACTCTCGGGGAACCCGTCCCGGGAGGATTTTGGAACCAAGGGGGTTCCCCCGCTTCGATGATCTACCTTAGGCCTCCAGCACAAAGATCGGAAAGAATCGGACAGATCGGAGTCGATTCCCCCCTTATCTCTCCAGGAAGCCTCAGACTCTGCTTGAGGAGTCCCCCGCAGAATTCAGGGGGAGGATTGGTTCAGACAGAGCTCCTAGAGACGCTCGTCGTCATTCGAGAGATGAAATTGAAATGAATGACGGTTCCGGTATGGGCTTTAAGATTCGAGCTGCCGGCGCTGACTTGGGCAATATGCTCGATTTATCCTTCTTTCTCTCTCCTGCGGAAGCCTGTCGAGCCACACCGAAAGAAGGAGCGCTCTGCCGCTCCTGCTCCCGGGGATCGGATCGGGGTTCTGGCAAACCGAAGACGCTTCAGCAGTCGAAGTGTTGGGAGCGAAGCCCCTCGATGTTGAATATGCCACTCTGCTGCCTCATATTCCTGTAGGATCCGATTTTCCATCATTGCTCCTAAAAGGTAGTGACGCGGCTCAGAAACACTACCGAACGTCTCCAACGTCGAGACCGAGCTCCGGTCAATGCTCGGACCGAGGAAGGAGTCATTCATCCGAAACAGTCGGATGAGTCGGTCGCTCATTGTCAGGGAAATACGAGTCGACGAGCACGAGATTCTCGACTCCCGAGCCTCGTGCTTTTGGTCACAACCGAAGGAGACCAAAAGGAGCTGATCGCTGATCGTAAGCTGATCAGGAAGTGCTTCCAGACGGAGGCATTCTCAGCTGCCTGCGCACTTGGAGGATTAAGACAGACACGACCTATTTCATCCAATGAGATCGCATCCAGTGTACAAGGGGAAGCTGTTTCGATTCGGCTAAAGCAGCTCCAGTGCATCGCGAATGATGAAGGCGGTGTCGATGCTGCAGCGAGGCCTGGGAGAGGTCAGATTGTGATCTTTGCGAATTTTGCTCAGTTTTGGGAAAGAGTCCTCTCTTTGTTCGCGTCGATCTTCGCTGAATATCTCGACTGCTCACATTAATCGCTGCCTCTATCGAAGGATACGATCCTTCCCTTGGGGGCACCGGGATCAACTTTACACAGCTTGGATAATCAACGCTCGGATGGATTAGGGAGCCGCTCAGATTCAATGGACCATAGCGATAACTTTTTTCTTATTACGGGTAGGTCGTCATTTTGCTAAATATGTTCCGCGAGAAGAAACGCGATTTGAATCGTTGATCCCTGAGATACTGCAAGATACTGCAAGCTGAGAGGTCCCGTGGACAGATGTCCGGTAGTAGCATGCCAGAAGCATGTTTACTTCCCCCAAGGCTGGAAGTCTGAGGAAATTGAAGGATCTCTACACGTAGGGGAACTTTCCGATCTGACAGCTCGATGGAATTTCGGAGGAAATACGTTGATCCCATTATGCTGATTATATACTCCAAGAGAAATGGATACGAGAAGTGTCTACGTGTGGGAAGATCCTTGTTTCACCAGCTGCTCAGAGCTATGTATTGAACCAGGTGTTGATTGAAGGCCGAAGCGGCTTTCGGAGCCCGAGGCATCGCTGTCGACTCGGATCAAACAGACATGGATCGCCACAGGGTGAGTTCCCAAAGGAAGCTTTCTTGATTCGAATCGAGACCGGATCTAAACGCAACCTCTCCGGAGGCGAACGGAAGAGCCGAAACAACTTTCCAAAACTCGTCCCTCTGTTTATAGACTCGCCTAGGGCTACTGCCGCTGGGTCTGCTCATAATATGGTTGTCGTCCGGGGCCGACGGGGTGGTAGACTCCGAAATTCAAGCTCTCCTCAAGCAAGCCAGAGCAGACATCATGAAAATGGACACCAGAAAACTAACGCCGATGTGTCGCAAGGGTACGGAGAAGTTTGAGGAGCGAGCTCAGGCTGTGGGGGATCTGACGGATAGGCACTGCCATGTAGGCAGACGCGCCCACCTCACGATTTTCCCATGAGGAAAAGACATAGATCGCTTGAGCATGATACTTCGCTTAGCGGAAATCGCTCCCTACGAACCTACGTAACACGATACACAATTATAACTCTCTCGCGCACGGGGGGTCCTTCCCTCTGAGACTACCAAGCGTTCGATTTTTGGAACCAGCGTTCAGTTGCTGTCGACTCGAGACTCTTGTCCCGATAGTATACCTAACCGAGTCGACCGGTGCCTGTATACCGGCATTCCCTCGATAATGTTGGTCTTGCTCAAGCTCTGTATCCTCAAACAGTTATTTCCAAGTGTCGCGCGAAGGCCATCGTACTCTTCCAAATCATCAAAAGCATTCAGGAGAACCCCGAACCATATCTCGTAAGCAACTTCGACGCATGTATAGCCGGATCCGCGGGAGTTTCTCTCAGTCTCACAGATGGAACTATTCGCTTCAGGAATCTACTTGCCTGCTCGAATACCTCAAAAATGGCATCTACGATTACGACCTTGAATGTGACATGGAGGGAGCGTATGGAAAGAAATTCCAGTGCTTCAGGGATCCAGTCATATCCAAAAGCCTGGGCTCGAAACGCGCGCCGGTCGCAGCCCTCATTGTACGGCAGGAACTTTCTATTTTCACTCTCACTATCGGGAGCTATTCAAAGGGTCGATTTGGAGAAACGTTGATTACACCGCTGACGACACTTCCATCTAATCTCTTGCGTTCCAGAATTGCATGGCTGAAAACTCTCTGAATTTTGACGTCAATAATCCGAAGCACAAATTTTGAGCCGGTTGCTCCTCGTCCAGCATCCAATTTGTCGCAATTCCGTGCCCGCTCAATAAAGCCCAAACGAGACTTGAGTTTTTCGCTGAATCCGAACGGAATACAGAATCGACGAAGTGAAGGTCGATATTCGATTCGACGCTTCTGCGGTCCGATTCCCAAGCGCCAACGCCCTCGAGACCCGTAATGAGCTCCTGCAAGTGCATCTCCCACAAGGCGGACGATTCGACGGAAAATGCTCCCACAATAATTATTGATTCAATACGCTCAAATTGCGCCTTCGGCCCGAGCGCGCGAGCACCTCTTATCGGCAAGTTGGTCGGAAAGACAAACTTACGCGAATGAGCGGCATTGGTCTCCCGATTCTTGGAGCGACCTGGTAGAACAGATCACTCCAGGCCTCCGTTGCGACTCCTCGCATGGGTGGATCCGGGAACCTCGGGGGCATGGAAACCAGTCTGCGGTGAGGTTTCCCCTCGAATCAGCCATACCGTCCTTGGGAAAGCTCACATGAAGCTCACACAGATAAATAAAGTTTTCTTAGTCGTCCCGCTGCCACCGTCCGTCTCGGTGTCCGGTGATGAGGTAAGGAACACTCGTGGGAACCTACCACTCAGCCCTGCGACCGAGTCGCCGGCACGTTCAGCGCATGTGCACCTCCACTCGGGGAATTCGAGGGTTGCTCAAGGCACTCGGGGGCAGCTCTCGTGTCGCAAGGAAACAATCTCTGTGATTCCTGCGAGGTGACCGACCACAGAGCGCCTTCGGGCTCTCCGCAGCCTGGAATCAAGCTCTCTAGATGCCAGAGGAATGGACGCTCCCCCCTAGGAACAATTATCAGCGATGTATATCAGTCGGAGCGCTCATATACAAGGATTCACTGAGCGAATGTCTGGAAAGTCGTCCTCGAATCTTCGACTGCTGATGTCCAGAGCGGATTCCCGATAGATAAACGCTCCCAAGGTCGAGTAGTATTATTCATGCAATCAGTCGTAGAATCATTCCAGGGGGCAGTGTTCAAGGAAAACGGTACTCATAGAGTGAGGTTTGCTTTTAAATTACATGGATCTTTGGATGATTATACATTTCCCCCGCTCGGATACGAATAGGATCCGCCTAGAAATCAGAGCTTGGTAGCTTCCGTCGTCAGCGATAATCTAAAAAGTGCCTGAGACCACGCAGAACTGGGCCCGGAGGGCTTCCCGGAGTAGAATCATGATTCGAGGTGCGATGCTCCGCGACCTCTCCCCGTGGGAGATACGTCGAAGCGGGAACCTCATTCAGATACACTCGCGATTTAGGAGAGATTTACGAATCTCCGCTTTGACTGTCTTCTCGTCGAAGTTCCCCTTCGACACCATGCGGTGAGACACCTGTGAAGGGACCACACATTAGCAAACAGCACCACCGGCGTCGACTGGGAACAAGTCAAGTTGAACTCATGAGGATTTGAATGGTCGGCTCACGTCTCTACAGATCGATTTGAACTCTTCTTTCGATATTCTGTTGCTTTTGTACTCCGGATAAAGCAGTCTGTTGACGATTTCCGCGGCTTTCTGGAGCTTCTTCTTGTCAGCTTCGGCGGGCAGGTGCTTTCGCTTAGCGCTCACCGTCGCTTGCTCCGGGGGAGGCCGCTTGGTGCTGTAAAATTTTGAGCGAAAAGAAAATAGTTTGACGATTCGATTCAATGGAGGAATTTGATCATTCCGAGGATTGGAAGCGACGGGGTGAGCCTGATGGAGGATTTTTGGTACTCACGGGAGTTTCCGCTCATTGCTGACTTCGTCGTCTCGCTCCTTCTGCTTCATTAGCTGCAATCCCGTGACGAATCCTGATCCTAGTCGGGTTGTAGGCTTCGATTCCTGCAACAAATGTTCGTCAATCGTGAGATGTCTAAGGAGTCAGACAGTGTAATGATGCAGAATAGAAATCGCTTCAGGCAAAGGGCATACCTCGACTTCCTTCTTGGTTCCTTCGTTCTCGGGCTTGGTGCTCTCGAAGAAATACTTCACTTTCGGCTTCTTAGACTCTTGAAGTGTCGGAGACGGTTTCCATTCCGGAATAGAAATCGTTTTTTCGTCATCGGAGTCTCGCGGGGGGCTTCTCGTAGGGGGAGGAGATTCGTTCTGATGCGGATGATCTTTCGGTGAATCTAATCCGGGAGCGGGACTCAAAAATTTTCCCTGGCTTTGGTTGTCGTCATTGTCGATTATCAACACCTGTCACAGACAAGGACGAGTATTGACAGTTTCGAGTGAATAGACCTCTGCAATAGCGATGGATCCGGTGGGTGACGAAAATTCGAAAGTCTCACCTGATCGTCGTCATCGGAGCTGGCCGAATCGATGACGATAGGGTTTTTCGAGTGTTTCATATCTTGGATATGATCGAAGATAGACTTCTTCGACGGGTTCTCCTTCTTCATCCGGACGTCCGCCGCCCGCCGCTTCTCGAGTTCTTCGAAAAGCTCGCCAGCCTGGGTTGCGGACTTCAAATTCTTGTGCAACTTCACCTGCAGGGAGGATGATGACATCAAGCTGGGTCCATTCCCCGTCTTCCGAGCTCAGTGCTTCTTCTCGGCGTCAGAATACGCCATCGAGCTCTGTCTTATTACCATTTCTCGTTTGTACATGATGTTATTCTTTTTCGTTTTGAAAGTTTCCAGCTCCAGCTCACTGGCGACTTCATTAACGAATTTACGTTCCATTGAGACGGCATTCAGGCAGCGCTGCGAAAAAGAGGACGAGAAGAGTTCTGAGACCGGTTCTTCCCTTGAAGCCGATCGGCTAGGAACGGAGGGATTCCAGAGGAGACTTACCCCCGAATGCGTCGAATAGTTTTCCCAGAGCTCTTTCCGCAGCTTCAAAGCGTATGCTTGTCTCGTCTGGTTGGAAACTTCAGGAATCGCGTTACATTTCGGCTCGTGTATCTGAGAGCGAGTAAAAGGCCATATAATAATGCATCGCGGCTGCATGAGATGCAGGGTTGTGGAGAATCATAATCAAACCCACGAACTAGCTCCCGGAACGACACCTACAGCACAGTCGATGGGGATCTCTCGAGATTTAGGATCTGACGCTCTCCCGGGTCCGCTTTTTCGGAGCTGAAACTGCTGTTGAATAGTTTTTTCCAATTCCTTCTTGGCCTCTTTTTCCATTTTATCGCGAACCGATTTACCGTACTCCTCTCCATCTACCCCACCAGCGCCGCTGGAAAGCGTGAGAAAAAGCGTTACACATAGACGAAACTCAGCCTGCCGGAGGCTGACGCTCGGGTTTAAATCAGACTGAATAGAATTCAGAGGACGGCATATTTGGTTGCAGTCTAGGAATCATGAAAGTTCTCACCCTTTACGACCACCACCGTAGAGATCGTCGTAGTCTTCTTGGGAGAATTTGTAGGACGTCGTAGAGAGCTGCTGCGCCCTGAACAGCCCGAGACGCTTGTCAACGTCCTTAGGATTGGTGCAGGAGTCGCATTGAGTCTTGCACTCAGGTATTTTATCGCCGAACTCCGAGCAAAGAACTTTGTGTCGACAGCTATTAGCTTCGAACATGCTAACCTTGGAATCAGTAGAGGGAAATTAGGCTGAATGGTTCGAGCTCGATGAGCTTTTTTTCGTCTTTCGTCTGTGCGAGAGGGATGCAGTTTACTCGACTCGAACTCACAACGCTGTCGAATTCCTTCATCGCGATCTCCGAATGCTTCTTCTTGCGCTCACTTTTAGACTTGTTCGCCTCCATTTGAATCAGGAAACTGATGGATCTCTTGTCTTTCAAAGAGTAGTAGACTCTGCATCGTGCGGGCTTTCCGTCTCTCCCAGCGCGTCCAGATTCTTGGTAGAAACTCTGGAAAATGACATATTTGAAACAATATTTGCGGGTTTCTTCTCCCCGCTAACTTCGGAAGCTTATCGAAAACTTTGTGGAAAAAAGCGTAGACTCACCTTCAGACTTTTCGAAGGGCTCCAATGAGCTACGAAGCGGACGGTGGCTTTGTCGATACCCATACCGAAAGAAATCGTGGCGGCTATTGTACTGTATTTTCCTTTTCCAAAAAGGAATCAAAATTAGTCGAGGCCGAATATTCCGCGGCCCGATTGTATTTGTGAATGATCGAACAGCGCCGATACCTTTCATCCAGCCTTCTTGCACTTCAGTCCTCTCCGCAGGTCGTAATCCGGCGTGATACGCTCCGCTCGTCACACCTGATATAGCACAAGGTCAAGATGAGCGACAGATGAAGCACGAGGAACCTACAATGACCTTGCTAAGCCTAGGTGGACAAGTCGTCCGACCTTCTTACACCGCGCTCACCTAGCTTCTGCAATTCGCTCGCAACGTCATGACAGTCTTGCCGAGTTCTGCAGTAGACGATACCGCAGCCTCGTTTTTCAGGCTTTTCGTCCTCCCAGCCCTTGCCTGTAACAGCAATCGCGTCGGTTAGGGAGAGCAGCCAGGGGTCAGTTTCATTTCTTTTTCCATTTTCCGGAGGTACTCACCAAGTGCGTCGGAAATGAAACCGGCCAGGTGTGCGAATTCTTCGCCGTGCAGCGTTTCACGGTAATACACATCGTAGAACAGGTTTTTACGGAATGACGACGTCCGAATTTTGAAAACGTTACGCAGCTTCAAGGCATCTATGATTCCCTCTTCGTCTTTTTTTGAGGCCGTGGCCGTCAGAGCAGCCTGTGAAAGGGATCAGTTATTTACAGGACAACTTCCCCGATGCTCACCAGATTTACCTGCATTCGGGAACAAACGATTGAAGTCACTCCGAGGATCCATGCGCTCGGAACCCAGCTCACCCAAGGCACTTGCGGGAATTCCGTTCTGGCTCTCCCAAGCTTCATGTAGTCGGGCCGGAAATCATGACCCCACTCCAGCACACAATGAGCTTCGTCGACGACGAATCTTTTCAGAAGTTTCAGACGATCGAGAGCTCTAGCGATCTCCAGGAAACCCTCCGTCGCGATCTTCGGGATTAAAAGTACGCTTTAAAATTTAGTCAAGACCAGTCCGAACATGAGGATCATCGAGAGGAATCGCGGCTTCGCGAGGATCATGTCGTGGCTCTGACCTGCTCAGGCGTGACGTATAGCAGCTGAGTTTTGGGAGACATGGACATGAGGTCGCCGCGGACGCGTCTCTTGTCGACAGCGCTCATCGTTGAGTTGATCGTCTCGGTGACTATTTTGAAGGATCTGGAAAATAGTACCAGAATTATTTGTTAGAGAGGGGTGAGAGGGTTCATCAACGTATATGTATATGGGTTCCACCTGGAATCGATCAAGCGCATGGTTTACCTTGCGTGAATGATTTGATTTTCCATCAGAGCAAGAAGAGGGGTGACAACAACGGTGACGCCAGCCGAATCTGCCGCGCAGGGGAGCTGGAAGCAAAGCGACTTCCCTGGAAAGCGGAAGAGTCGGGGTTCGCATGCTGGACACAATTCCTCGGATGTGAGTTACAGTCGTGCAATATTTCAACTCGGATGAGAATAGGGGGACCCTGATGCGGAAGTGTTCCTTCCCCTCAGACGTGTCCCTCATCTGGGACTGATGACATCTGGTCAGCCGGCACGGAAGGTCTCCCCAACTCGACGACTCAAATCGAACTCCAGCTTCTGACGGAATGGTGAGACAGCCTCTCTTTCTCACAGCGAGATAATCATTGCGAGCGGGTCACTCGGAGATGGTATTGAATATTGGAGACGGAAAAGATGTAGATCAAGAGGAAAATGACGATCTTTCCACACATGGGTTAGCATATCGGTGAGGGCGCGCCTGTTTCGACATTTGCGCACTACATTGAGGCGGCGCACACGTACTCCGACAAGACGACCAATGTGCCACTCGGGTATACGTCTACTCGTCACTTCATCGTTTATTCCATGAGCCCACTCACCAGCTCCGGTCGGCATCGACACGAAAACATCTCGTTTTCCATCGTATATTTCCTGTGCGGCTTTTCTCTGTTCGTCGCATCGGAAATTTTCATATCCGAAAGACTTCTTCAAAACATCACGCAGTTTCTCCGACATCGTTCCGGTTTGTCACCGATACGGCCGGTATATCACGTCGAGAAGTTGAGACGTAAGCAGAGCATGTTCTTGCTGACTTCTCAAAGATCTCCAGATCCTCCAGAGCCACCTGAGAATAAAGTTCTATTCGGTCATGAGACATTTGAAATTCCCGCCACTCTATCCGTTAAAACGGCGGAATTTTCGAGTTCATTCGTGGCGCTCGAACTCGACGACGAGCCTCGCGGCGATTCAGATATCGCTCTGACCGGTCGCAAGAATCCGGCAGATTCTGACGGGCGTTACGTTGATTCAATCCCGGATTAATGTCCATCCCATCATTGAAACTCCAAATTATATTTTTTCCGTCGCGGCGGCGGCAGTGGTAGCTGCCTCCTCATCTCATGTTGTGTTGATGCTTACCGGTTCCCTCTCCCATCGAAGAGAGTACCGCAGCTGCGGCGGCACAAAATGGGCCCCTTCCCCGGAGTTGCTGTTGGTCCGTACCGCTGCCGCCGCCGCCGTCGTGGGCTTCGAGTGTTGTTGGTTGACTTGTTGACGCCTAGTGGATAGAACACTAGCTTCAAAATTTCGTGCAGTGTATGAGTGCAGCGTGCGAATGAAGCTCCCGCGCAGTGTACGAGTGAATGCTTAGGATAATTCGCGAAGTAGTGGAATCAACATCCGAGCTATGCGCTGACCGATCGAAATGAAACCGCCTCCCAAAATGATTTTAGTGACCGTATACCTCCTTAGCCAGGTGTACCTGGTTCGCTCTGCAACAACGGAGGACCATGGCCGCTGCGAGGCCATAACGATCCCGTTGTGCAAGGACATCAACTACAACAGGACCATATTCCCCAACCTTCTAAATCATCAGAAACAAGAAGATGCCGCCATGGATGCGCACCCATTCTCTCATCTCATAAAAGCAAAATGTTCGCCGGATCTTCAGTTCTTCATATGCACTGTGTACGCCCCTATATGCACACAACTGCCGTATGCGATCCCGCCGTGCCGGTCGCTATGTGAGCGGGCGCGAACGAGCTGCGAACCCCTCATGAAACGCTTCGGCTTCACTTGGCCCCCTATCCTGAATTGTGAACAGTTTCCTATGTCGCAAAAAGAAAAAGTTTGTGTGGGCAACGATACTGAATCTCAGGATCACGCGACCCTTGCCCCTCCGGTTCTCGGTGGCACACAATTGAAACCGAGCGGAAGGCAGGGGAACACTACGAAGAATCACGGATTCCTCTGTCCTAAAGAGTTCAGTGTCCCTCAGAATTTGGAATACGTGTTCCGGATCGGGGGCAAAGAGGTGAAGCACTGTGGGATGCCCTGCTACAACATGTTCTTCAAAGGCAAAAATCTAGCCTTTGCACGTTACCTGATCGGAGGTTTTGCCATTCTGTCCGCAACGAGTACTCTGTTCACGGTGTGTACGTTCCTCATCGACACCGACAGATTCAAGTACCCCGAGCGACCTATCATCTTTCTATCGTTCTGCAACTTCATTGTGGCTCTGGTCTACATCATAGGATTCCTCATGGATAAATCGGTAGCCTGCAATCAGCCGTTTTCGGCCCCGAACGGCGAACGGAACATACACATGGAGCCGATTATCGCTCAAAATAACAAAAATGAAGTTTGCACGATGATGTTCATGGTACTTTATTTCTTCTCGATGTCTGGTGCGATCTGGTGGTTAGTCCTCACATTAGCGTGGTTCCTGGCCTCGGGACTCAAGTGGGGCCAGGAGGCGATCGAGTCGAACAGCTACTATTTCCATCTGATCGCCTGGACACTGCCAGCAATCAAAACCATAATTGTGCTTGCTATGGGCAAGATGGAAGGAGACCTCTTATCCGGAGTGTGCTACGTAGGAGTTTGGAACATGGAAGCACTTCGACACTACGTGCTTATCCCGACGGCCGCCTATGTCGTTGTGGGAATTATTTTCCTTTTCGCTGGATTCGCTTCCTTGTGTCAGATTCGGACGGTGATGAAGCACGGTGGGAACAAAACGGACAAACTCGAACGCCTCATGGGACGGATCGGACTATTCTCAGTGCTCTATCTGCTGCCGACCGTCACATTGCTCATCTGCCAATTCTACGAGCAAGCCAACCTTGACCAGTGGTTACTATCGTGGCAGTGGGACGTCCATCGAGAAAGTGAGTACTCCTAAATCTTGCCGATCTTGAAAGAGGATCTTCGGAGAATATTGGTTATAAATATCAAATTATGCATCGAGTCCGCAAGCCAACGAACTGGAGAGAATTCATAGGCGCAGAAGAATCACCACTTCTTGCTGCAAATCGGGAATCCGAGATTTTACCAATCAAAATCAAGTCACTAGAACTGAAATACGCCACGCCAGGTGAGCTGGTGAATGTAAAGCTTATTTTCCGCGAAATCCGAATGAGGGAGGAAATTCCGGTCGCGGAACCCACCCCGGTCCTCGCTCAACAATCGCGCGGTAGAAGTCGTGGGATGAAGGCGAACGAAAGTCGTCTCCATTCCCAAATCATCTCTCCTCATGAACCTTCGGGATGACCCTCGCGAAGTCAAACCGCGCCGGCGAGATTCTTCACGGAACAGCCGGCCAGCTCGGCCAGGTGAAGTTCCACGATGACGATGCCGACGACCGACGTCGGCGAAGAACATCGTGGCTCCCATCCATCTACGGCAGTGATTCGTGATGCTCAGCGGGGTATTCTGTACGAGGGAATATTTTCCGTTCCCATCGATTAAGCCTCACGCTGTGGCACGTTGCGGTTCATTCGAGATGATCGAATTTATGGCATGACCGCGCAGGGTTCGCTTCCACATCGCGGTGGATCGGCTAACACAGGACGCGTCTCTCCTATGGACGAGTCTTCCATTTTTGAGACATCTCTTTCGGGACAGCGAACCGTTGTTCGTAGCGAAATTGTCCTTCGCGGCTTTCGGAGACTTCACCCGAGAAGCGGCCACCGCGCGGCGAGTTGTGCTCAGTATCTCACTCGGTGCTTAGTGAAGCGGCAAATTCCATTTCTATTGGAGTGACTATGATGAAATCGAACAATGGCAAAACCGAGAGGAGCTGGCTACAGAGAAAACGTATCCTATGACATAATAGGTAGACTGACTGACTGAGACTTTCTGCTTTGGTGCTTCCTCGACTCTGCTCGCTTCTACCCTGGGAACAGATAAGGATACCTGAGGAGTCCCTGGCTCTTGATCGTACGGACAGCTGCTGCTCTTACTACGTCTTTTGTTGACGAACGGTGAACGGCCCGTGAGCTGGTCCCTTCTACGAAGTGCTTTGAGCGGGGAATCTGTTTCTGTTTTCGCCCGTTGTTTCAAGGCGTGTAGCAGCGCGAGCTGAGGCTCATATGTGTGGATGAATCGACTCGAATACGGGAGCGAAAATGGTGACGCTCGGCCTGAAACATCCGTCCTGACAACGCGCTGTTGGCAGTTCCTGCCGTCTGACTCCGACCGGGAAACAGATCGAATCATTCTGCATCATTCGGATAACAAGTGATTCGAATTCCGAACAAGAGCATCGCGCTTCATCGATGGATAGAGAAAAAAACATTGTTCGGCAGTCGATGGTAGATCGTCGCGTATTGTTCAAAAATACTTCATTGATGTTATGGACCCGCGTCAAATTCGAATCCCGCGGCTCGATCGAAGAGCTCGTTCGTTCGACTTGCTCGATTGATTTCGATTGATCGCTTGCGCGATGGACTACTTTGGATTCGGCTGGCTAGAGGTCTCGTCTCCTCGTCCCGCTGTCCCGGAGCTTTCCCTCCGTGGTACAGAAAAGCCGAAAGAAAAATTCATCTGACGCCACGCTTTGCTGGTGAATAGCGTTTTTGCGTGAAAGTGCCGTAGCCCTCGGGAGCGTTGACGACACGAGCGTTCAACCGACACCCGTTCAGCTACTCTTCATTCCCACCGTGCTGACGAAGCAATCCAATGACGGTGATACATTTTCGTTGATTGTTCTAATGCTGCTCCGAACGACGAGAGGGATTTGGAGATGTCGCGGACGGTTGTGGTTGACAATGACCGATTCTTGCGACCGTAGGGGTCGTGGAAATTACTTCATATGCTTCTCCAGTCATCGAAACTCCGATGACAGCTCGGAATCTGTGTTTTCCCTCTTCTCTACGTCGATCTTTCCCTGGAAGGCGCTTCCAAACTAATGATTCGCCGTGGCGTGCGCTAGAAAAGAGGGCTCACGAAAAACTACCGGCGATAGCACGTGCGATGAAAAAAATCACCGCAGAATTTTCGGATGTTTTCCCATTCTATTTTGTGTCGCTCTTCTCTTGACTATTTTTCATAGCAATCTGTCACCATCAATTGTCGAGTGTCGTCAAAGTTGATAGCGTATCAAAAGCACGTAATATACCAAGTCGAACCTCCGACCGGGAGACGACGCATCCAACCCTGAGACGAGAGTCTTTTCTTGTGCTGAATGGGATGCCTAGATCAGAATCTCGCTCAGCTCGGGGAAGACATCCATCTGGAATTCGGAGAAGAATAGACAGGCTTGACCGGATTTTAGATGAGGAGTCTCTGAATTTTCCGCATTCCGGTTAATTGCGGGATGAGAGCGCATTTTCGACAAGGTCAGCGATTGGTATTCCTCGAGCGGGAAACGAGCTCGCATGCGGAAGTATGTCGATTGCTTTCTCGACCGGAGGTACCTGATTGTGAGCCGAGCCGCTCTTCAAATTTAACACTGCAGCCCATGGTGTTATTTCACGGCTCGTGGAAATCTCGAGACTTTCTTGATTGAAGGGAACAATTGACTGAATTAGAGCTGGCCGTGATGACGCCCATAATTGGATGCTCGAATCATCCGCTCAACCTTATCGTTCTCCGAGAGTCTCGATTTACATTTGTGACTCAATCGCACTCGGCTCCAGTCGCTGGAAGCTTCCGATAATAGAGGCCTTCTCGTCGGGAGCCGCCCCCCGACCAGCATGCATTGGCACTTTATTTCACGGTCAGTCCAAAAATTTCTCAAGATTGGATTTTGGAAGAGGATCCAAGGTAGCCCGATTACTCGGATAGCGATCATTGAATAGACGGGATTGCCGAGTGGGCGCAGCTTATTCCGTGGGCAAATGGCGCGCGTGGATGCCGTCGCCGCTCGAGACATCCTCCGAAATATTCTCGCTTCATGAAGATCGATCTGAATTAAAACACTGCGATTCTCTCTGTCCGATCAGAACACCGAGGCTCGTGTTCCCCTGCATCCTATGAATCAAATTCTCAGCGCAATTTATGGATCGCTCCTCGTCGCTTTTATGGCTTAGGGAACTCGGAGCGGATATCCAACACCCAACGCGGCTGACCTTTCGGGAGGGCGGCGAGCATTTGTGACTCCAGAGCGGAATTCACCATCCATCGTGTTTCGGAGCCGCGGCGGTTTTCCGATCCTGAATCCTGATATGAGTGAGCGATTTGGTGATCCGCGGTCACGTGGAGAATGCCTGGCGCAAGCGATGATAAGAGGGGAGCGCAGTGATCAGGAAAAGTCTCCCGTTCTGGAGTCCGAGCCTGTCTCTCACGATGACTCACGATAAGAGTTGACGTCGTCCAGTGATTGCACCGTTGTCCATGATGAATTCATGATAGAGACAGTTATATTGAGCTCCACGAGGGGCGGGAACTCCGGGTTCTCCATGAGTGAAAAATGCGCATTTCCGCTTGCGCTGTCAAGTTGTCGCCGGCACGCTGACTGCGCTGGCCGAGGAGAGAGTTTTTTTTTGTTGAACTCGAAACGCGAACTTGTTCGCCATTGTTCAAATGAGCGGTTGTCGTCAAACAACGTTGACGAGAACGGAATCGGCGCTCCTCCTGTTCTGCTCCTTCATCATCGTTCGCCGAAGACGAGCGAAAGGAGCTGGCCACAACAGAAGCCCGCTCCGACTCGCAGCGCTCGCTACCCGTTAGAGTTGGGGACGCACGGACGGACGGATAAATGAAACGGCGGGCAGTCAGGTTTCTCTGCAGTCGCATACGCAGGCAAACAGGCAAGGATCGCTCTCATCGGCGATGCCGTTTCTGTTTGCTCCGAACGAGCGGTCAACAGAAAAAGAAGAGCAACTGAAGTGAGCGAGCGAGCAACTGACCGAGCGACTGACGAAACCTCAGAGCAGCAAACGAACGGACGCTCGGCTCGGACATTCGGCGATCCCGACAACGAGCAAGCGAGCCAGGCAGCCAGCCGGCAGATTGCTTCGTTCGTTGCTCGCAATTTGGACGAATCGACAAGCGGGCAGAGATGAATCTTGGTTTTGTTTCTTGCTTTTTGTGTTTTCGTTCCTCTTAGTCGAACGTCTATCCAACACGGCTATGGCCGCATCCATCTACGGCAGCCGCGTCATTTTCTCGGTTCAGGTTCTATTGTATATGACTGACGCTGACTGTTCAATCGTCGGCCCTCTAACCCTGCCTTTATCAGTTCTTCAATCCTGTCTCTTTAAACACCGCTGAATACTGGCCACTCAACCGCCCGCCAGGCTGTTTGTCGGGGAAACGGAACATCTTTGGCGAGCCGCTATATTTTTTAACAACGGTCCCATGCGACTCGAGTTCGGGCTCGGATCCTCGAAAAATTCTCATCAAACTCTTCGCGGTCGAAGCGTAGATCTGCATCAAATTGAAGGCCGAGGATAGTGGTGGGATGGTCAATCGCCCGGAGTCGCGTCAGCTGAATTCCCGCCATAAGTCTGAATCTCGGTGAGAAACGGGAATCGGTCAGGAGAAAAATATCTCTGTGGGCTCAATGAGCAGAGCCCAGAAGTCATTTGGTCACGTTCGAAAACTTTGTTTCTTGAAATGGCCTCATTTTTCCGCGCGCATTATTCTCGCCGGACTGGGCGGTGTAGCTGCTTCTTCGCGTGATGAATTTGGAAGAGAAGAGAAGCGTTTTCATCCGTCTCTTCGTTCATTCGTCGTCCGTCCGTCTGTCGGTCGCTCATCCCGCTAGAAGTGAGACCTTTCCGTGTGAAGTAACCTCTGTAATTCAATCATGGATCCCGTCGTCACAACGAGCCGTCTTGATGGCTGTTTTCGGAAAGATTAGCTCCCAGAATAGGAGCGCGCTCCCAATCCTCGTCCCGAGGCTCATCGGAAAGCGTGTCGCAGGTGAACGCGGTCCACGCTCTTCCGGCAGCATCACGCGAAAGCTCAATGGGCTCCACGCGCTTGTCGCTGGTCTCCTCGAAGAGCTATCCACTCCATACTCCAATCGATATAACAAGAACAATATTCGGGAAGCCGCTCTGTCGTGTCGCTCGCGGGCTCCTCCTCATTTTTATTCCCGCCGGCCGTCGTATATCTATCGATTCTATGTCAGAAATCTTCCGCCCTATCTTTCGTTCTGGTTCATCGTGAAATGCCGCCTATTCGCCCCTCCGCCGCAACCGGTGACTTTCCTATGGTTCGCTCGCTTGGAGGGCTCGTTGACCCGCGGGCCCCTTTTTGACTTGCGTTCTGAGAGCCTAGTCAGTCAGGGCGTTGTTGTCGTTTGCCGCTGTTGTCTTGTCATTGTATGATGTCACTCTGGACCGCAAGGTTGTTGAAAATGGAGAATCGAATGAGCATTCGACCAAATCACGTCATGATGAATCGCCGGTCTTCCACATCGTAGTCGAGTTTGTCGAGCTCTTTGCTCACAGACATGGCTTCGAAGACCCTTAAGCCCAGTTTCCAATCTCCGACCGGGTGGGAAGACACGCACGGCAACCGAGCCGAGAGAAGATGATGCGGAGCTCTCGATTTCTCATCTTCGTGGGTAGAAAATGGGAAAAGCTGGATGCTCACGATGCTTCAGTCCCCCAGGGCTGACCTCCTCCGACTGTGCAAAGACGTCGTTTCTAGTAGGGTTCCCCGGATGACAATGCTGCGCATTAATGGTCCCGAGCGCGATTCCTAATTCAAATGCCCGCGTTCCCAAAGCAGCGTGCCCTTAGCGAAATAGACGTCAAAACGGTTACAGCCCCGCGACACTCGTGGGGATATGGGAGCGACAACACAGCGAAGGAAAAAGGCTGATGAAAAAAAGGAAGTCTCCGCTCGGGATACTTCCTCCGACATCATTTCTGCAGCATTTCCGGCTATCCCCGATAGCTCCGGCTGGATTAACACGTTGAGATAGTAAGGTCGACCCCAGGGTAGAACTGAGGGAAACTTCAACATCAGACCCGATCCTATTCCGGGCCCTTTCTGGAGTTTTGTCCCGACCTTCGGAAACCCGAGCTGCCGGATGGAAAGATGGAAAATTATGCACTGGAGGTTTGCGGCTGGAATGAGACATGAATCTTCAGACCTTAAGATGTCGCTTGAAGCCAATGATACCATGCTAAGAATTCCACCACGAGGACTAAAAGGTTCGGGTTCTCCTCCGACGCTTCCCCGTCCCCGCGAGGGGGTACAGGGGAGATACTCCTCGGAAAATGAAATTCCGTTTTTTAACGTAAAACTCCCTGCGGACTTTTCATACTCTCCGAATTCTCCCATTTAGTCTGCGGTCGAGCCGGACTCTCGAGAAAGCGTTCGGAACTTCGGAGCTTTCTGGGTCGGTGAGGAGAATCTTAACCGTCGCGCCTCCGAAGAGCTGAGCACTTAAGTTCGACTTTATTCAAAAGGCCCGCTGCCTAGAGCGGATGGCCGCACGTCACACTTTGAGACCTTTGTTCCGGGTTTCTTTTGTTATTCTCACAATTTGGTAGACATCCATCCAGAGACCGCGGCCGCTCGACGTTTTCCGCATCATCGTTCCTTGTTGTTTCCGTTCGTTGCCGATATCGGATTGGTCGACATAGATTCGATGACACTTCCAGCTTCCAGGGTACTTTTACCGTGCGATTTTTACGCTCGAAGAAAGTCGAGCGTGCGACATCCCGGCTGGTTCCCGCTATCGTATCGAGGGCGGCGGTGTTTTCTCATCTCTATGTGACCGTAGCTCCTTGCTTCTCCAGCGGGCAGAAAGCCTCCGCTTCACCATTCTGAATAGGTATGACGCGGAAGCATGTGTTCTCTGGCACTTCTAACGGAAAGCTCTCTCTTGTTCTTCCAGATCGCTGGTCGATGACGTGCCCTGAAGCTCCGTGTACGCCCCGGGAGCGGTACAACGCGAAATACAATCAAAAACCTATATTCGCAGTATTCATGATCAAGTATCTCTCGATACTGGTCGTCGGTATCTCATCTGGCGTCTGGATATGGTCTCGGAAGACCATCGATGTCTGGAGGCTGTTTCTATCAAAAGTATGCTGCTGCATCAGCGGGGAGCCAGGCCTCCCTGAAGTCTATGTATAGTTTTTCTTCGACTCTGTTCGAGCATGAGCGGAACGGGATGCAATCTAAACGCTCTCGGGGATGGCGGACAAACTCGAGGAAAATTGCCATATTTGTAAATATATCGTCGCTGGATTTCGCGTAGATAGGCTCTAGTTAGGACAAAGAAATTAAGCAGAGACTCTGCGGTGGACGCGCAGGCCTCGCGAGCGCCGAGTCATCATCACATATCGACTACCGTACAAATCTCATTCCCCAGCTCGGTTTCATAGCGACCACAGAATTCTCCGCGTGCGAGACAGAATTCAGCGATGAACTCCGCGAGAAAGAAATGCCGCCCTCCGGCCATCGACCGTTCGAGAACGTCGAAACATGAGTCGACTCGTCGTCTCCTGGTTTTGGATTACCTCCTCATTCTGTATCTTTTAGCTCGCTATCGCTGCGAAAGACGGAGCGTTAGACTCGTGAGTCGTGCGCGTTCCGCTGTCCGCGTCGAATCGAGCCGACTGGCCGCATAGTCAGTCGCTCTATTTTCTGTACAGGTCGATGAATCATCATTTATTTACTCTAAAAATTGCTATCCATGATAGAAGATCGACCATCAAAACGCCCGAACATTTTTACATAGCTCTGTTGCTCTCTGCGTGCCATGACGTTCCCATATCGGCTCATTCTCGGAACAAGCGGGAAACATCAGCCACGTAATGAGTCGTCACGGAGCTTCATGAGCGAGCTCGGGAGTATATCTTCCTCATCCCTCGGCTGCCGCGAATCAGCAGCTCTGTGATTTTGATCGAACCTCGATCCGACAATCAAAGATAGAAGTGACATCAGAAGCTCCTCAAGTGCCCGCAGTCGATGTATGTTTGTTCTGGATATAAGCTCTGCATGGAAAACCGTAAGCCGCTCTTGACTCCGGTTTGAGTTGTGACCTTTTCTTAGAGGTTCTGCAGCTGCCTGGACGTATCATGTCTCGTGTGAGTGAGTGATGGCCGTTTTTGAAAGTGCGAACAAATGGGTGGACGGATGAACGTAAGACCGCTCAAACGGCGGGCTTGAGACAAAAGAAATCCTTTCGACGAGAGGCGTAAACCCGTCGAGGAGGTCCGAACCGACACACCGGGCGGACAGTCAGTCAGTAAGGACCGAATCGTTAGCACGAATCGACGTGACCGACCGCCTGAAGTACGACAATGGCCTCGGCCGCCACACCACCATCGAGCAGATGCGGGCCGCGGGTTACACATCAAAAACGAAAACCTCCTTCATAACTCACGCGCGCACCCCAACTTTTTCTGATTGCTCTCCAGAGTTTCCGCGAGACCTGGGGAGGGATCGATTGGGAGTCTTGCCTGATCTGTGTCTGGACGTGCGGGGTTCAAAACGGAAAGAAATCAAATTTTTTCCCGCTGCGGATCTACATAATCTTCCTTTTTTATCTCATTCGAGACGCTGGACACCATTGCCATTTGTGAATTTCTGTGCACGTCCGCGTCGGGGTCAACACCCAAAGCAGCTCGAGGGGAGAACTTCTTCTGGTCAAACGCGTTCCGGATCGATGGTGAAAAAGCTTTGTGCTCATCCCCGTCAGCTGCTTCGTGCGAACGATGGTAATCAAATCATCTCTGATCGAACCGGGGTCCGCGGGTTGAACGGCGAAGTATTGAAAATCGACAAGTTTTGCTTGAGTTTGAATTCGACCGCTGGAAGGCATGTCGTTCCAAGCCCAAATGATGCCGGAAATCTCAGAGTCAGTGTGGAATCCGTCGATTTCTTCTCGATTCAAATCCAGAAAACGCTCGAAGCTTCGAAATTCGGGCCGAAGTGATTTCCATCACCAACTGTGCGATGAAAGTCATCGAGAATCAAAATTCAAAAGTAGGTAGGTACACGAAGATTACGAAAGTCGGACATCGAAGTCGGCCTTTGATGATCAAAAATTACCGGCAACGAAAGACGAGCCGTCCATCGGTCCTTCAACTGGCGTCATGTCCCGTGTAGTCCGGGAGCGTTGATTCTACTATTGACATGGCCTTATCAGTTTCACTCTTTCGCCGGTGCGGGAAGGAAAACGGAGAAACAGTGTTACTGAATTGCGAATCTGATGACGATTCAGTTGATGTCCGACTGATATTCTCATCTAACCCCTGCTCCATCGAACGGGTGCGGTCGGCAAGGCTGCGAGTCGACGTCGCTGGCTTCTCTATTCGGCTGTGAGAATCCATCCCTTCAGCCGTCCAACGGACGCGCAGTCGGCCGCCCAGATCGCTATTAAATTGCTCATCGGATCGTTCGTATGCCGATCAATAGCTTCGCATTCGACCCTCTTCCGATCTTTGTTTGAACCCCTTCTTCCGCACGCAACATTATCTCGATGAAATATCGCGGCAATGTTGGACATGCAAGACCCCTCGGAACAAATGCTGATGGGACGAGCGAAGAGAGAATCTTGTTCGGATATCTTCACTCGCAACGGGGTCTGGACGCCGACGCCGGCCTACTCGCAGCGGACCGCGGCGCTGTCCGAACCGTTGTGACGCTCTCTTTCGGCTGACCAGGACTCAAATTTCAAAAGCAGCATTCACTACTGAACATAAGAACTCGACGTGTCGGTCTGACGTCCCCTCCATGAAGGCGGGATGAAGCATGATGAGAACAATAATAAGAATAATGAAAACAAGCAGAAGAATAAAAATGAGACAACGACTCCGACGATGATGTCAACAACGATGATGATGACGAATTTCTAGAGCTTCTAGACTTCAAATCTTGCGACTGGGGGGAAAATGACGCCTCTCGCTTATGTACAACTTCTTATTTAAATATTTATTTATGAGATGTGCGGATTCCGACTGCGTTCTCGACCTTGCTTGTGAGCGGCGGAATGTTCAACGCAGTGTAATCAACGAGAGGCGTGGGCAGCTTGGGTCTCTTGAGTTTCAATCTTTGACAATGGGCGGCGGAGATTCTCGGATCTCTTTATTGGTACAGGATCATTCATATGGAACCGCCCGCGTCGAGCCAGATGATTAATGATAAGTTCATTAATGCCGTAGAAACCGCTCTCGGGGATGACCGATGGAGGTATGGAGTATGGAGTTGGGCGGATTCAATCGAAGAGATCAAGCAAACTTTCCGCATTGAAGTGCTCTTCATGAGTCTTGTGTGAAATATGAATATACATCTTCTGTAAATAATGTTGAAAAGAGAATAAACGAAACATGGGTTGAGAGACTCGAAATGTTTTTCTTTGCGACGATCACTGCGATATTTGGGAATCTGCGGTCGATGACATCCGGGGGCGTACACAGGATTTTTCTTGGAAGGGGGGGTGGCTAGATCGGGTCTCCGCATGGGGCTGAAATCCAGTATGGCGATTCGCTCCTGTACTACAGCACTGCGAAGGGACCATCTGGGAGCGGGCTCTAGCCCCTTTAGCCCCCCCCCTCTCTGCGTACGCCCCTGATGGCATCCATTCTGAGGTGAACTCGGCTTTCGAAGCCCGCGTCAGACAGATCCATCAAGGCTCTCGTGTCTCGTCGCATCGTGAACGGTGACCGAGCTCTGCGGATGCTTCGTGTTTCGATTATTCAAATCGGGCCCCTCGGGGAATTATTCCGTTCATTTCCGGAGCTGTCTCCGTACATCTCGTCAGCTCGGTGAAAATCTGTCGAAGAGCTTCGCTGCTCATTACGTCATACGACCAAACCCTTCCGACAATTTCATTCACATTCCGCTCAGAAGGTTCTGCCGTTTTCGGATCTGCTTTGAGTGCTTTTCAGCGCACTCGAGAGAGGCAAGGAAACCTTTCCATTCAGTGCCCCGAGCAGTGTATTCGGTAGGTAACTTTTTTTCAGTAAGCTCAATGATCTTCGGTGCTTATCAGACTTCTCTTTGATAAGATCGTAAAATGGAGCTTTGGAGCTTCTCGGCTCCATCCATATGGTGTATACCAGGAAGAGGTCCCGTTGAAGATGATTGTCCGTAAGGATCATGATCGAAGTAGATGATGCTTTCCACCTATCGAATCCTGGATCGAGTGTGTGAGGCCTCTCGGTGCCTACTTCTTCAGTCCTTCGATGAAGCATGATGCTCTGCTGAATTCAAGGTGCACTGGCAAGTCCAAGAGAGTTCTTCTAGATTGTGCTGCCCGCTGGAACAACGGCTTGACCATACAGAAGCGCTCCCTCGAGATCAAGAAGACATGAGGCAATGACCTCGAGGAGACCAGATCCCTTTCGGGTGAGAAGAATCGATGAAGAGCATGTGGAAGGTAAGGATGGCGTGGATGGAGCTCCGTGCGCGGTCCCGGATGCCTTTACGGTTCTCTCAGCGGAGGACGCACATTTCTCTCAGGTTGAAATGATTTTCCCCTATCCTTTCCCCATACACGCTTCCCTACACCGATAATTTCTGTCGAGTGTATCGATTTCGTTTAAGATCTGATTTCTTCAGACTCTTTTGGAGGCGTTGAGTACGGAAGATCCTCAAGGGGGCAGGCCGCTCCGGTGTGCTACACATGTACGAATCATCGAGCGCCGGGCAATAACTTCGCCAGCTCGGGGATACCCCGAGGAGCACTTTATGACTTCTGATCTCGACAGTCTTTCGGCACGTACTAGCGAGTCATCGGTTAAACTTTCAGAGATGTCATCGGTACCCGTAGACACTGTGACACGATATCTTATGTCGGCCGAACCTTGAAACCCGCGTCGCCACCCGAGAGCCGGCTCATATACAGGAGATACACCGATCTCTCCGGGTGAAAAAGCTACTCCGTATGATACGTCCTGAGGTTTCTGGATCATTGCCAGGAAGTTCCCGAGTCTCGCGTTTCTTGGGAGCGCCTCATCTCAGGCTCGAAAAATCAAGATAGGCGGGGCCTGATCACGGACTCGTGGATGACTTGCAAGTTGCAATCTCATCCGATGAGGAAATTAGAACTTTGCTCTCAAACGCACCGAGAAGCCTCGCCTCTGAGGGGCGTTGAATACCTCATCGGCTCATTGTGGGGAGGAACAGGATTCTCGGAGGTACCGATGTAGAGGTCCGACATCTGATAAACCCTTCATACGTCGAGACGAAGATGTACATACATCTTTTTCTCGCAATTCGAAAGGAATGGCTCTGATGTGCATTTGATGGGAGCCGCGTGCTCACAAGAGACCAGGCTCCGGGACAATTAAAGACACTCAAATTTCAGCCTCATCGAGGATCAAACGTGTCTTTGCCGAAGTGAATCCTTCGCTTTTCCACCATTACCAGAAGAAACAACATAACGCTCAGAGACAGCAGATATTCGAATCCTTCGCTAATCTGTCACCGATTTGTCGCTACAGTCCTCCTTCAATCTGCCATCAACATCACTCAGAGCCTGAGATCGCGAAGTCAAAGTACTGACCAAAACTGACCCGATCGGCGACGCTAAGATAAGACCTAGAGACAAAAGAGACATAGGTCTCCGGCTAACAGGAGCGAAGTCCTGAGAAAAGTCCCTTGTGAGGCAGGAAAGGTTTATCGCGCACGATTGGAGTCACTCCACACAAGGCGCGCAAGAACAAGGCTCCCACGGAAAGGAGTTCACGCGAGGCCAGGCCTCCTGACCTTAATGTCGCTTTCATTTCTGAGACGTCCAGAAGACAGCACAAAACCACAGGGACTCATCTGGTATGTGATCGCGGCATGGGTGTCAATCAATCCGAGCAACATTTTCATTCCATCCGTGAATATTAGGTTCCTTCGAAGCGCTCGTTGGGCTCGTGACGATGTGCTGTGGGATCACGGAGAAAGAATCACACACAAGAGGGGACATACGAGAGACGGTCGCCTCCCGAATAGGAATATCGAGCAGGTAGCAGGACTCTTATCCCAATAGATGGACCGTGGACACTGCCTCCGGTCGGCGCGGTCGCGACCCGGGAATTCCATCGTCCCCCAGCCTTGACTCCCGCGCCCACACCTTCTGAGGTGCTGAGGATCTCCCGGTCACTTAAGAAAGCCTTGCTCTACATACCCCTCTTCAAATCCCCAGTCATTCCGAAGCTTCTCTACCGTCCCGCGATGTCTCAACTGATGAGACCTCACCGATTGCACAGCAGTTGCAATCAATCAATCATCACTAGGCTCTATGGAGGGCAAGCCTCCTCGCGGCGAAAAGAGGGCACGTGAAGACGATTCCTCATATTTTTCAGGCAGAGGACAAGCTCTGACATCTCAGAATGAGTCGGTTGCGAAGATGAAAGATTCCGATGTTTCCCCGCGGAGTGTTTGTCCACCGCATATGGTTCTGAGAAAACATCGACTCGATCACGATTCCCACGCCTTTTCAAGGAAGCACCGTCGTTCGGTGTCATCGGCGAGTGACCGATTCCACGGGCAGTATTATTCTTGCGGCTCCCCTACACGGAGGCATGGAGATGTAGCGGTCGCTTACTCGGTCGACCGCAGAGATTTCTCGCGGGAATCTGAGCTTCCATAAACCGAACCGCAACATCACTGGCAGAATTCGCCGACATGGCACATTTTTTTCACCTCCTCACAAAATCATCTTCCTGCAAAACTTCTGTCTGACTGATGTGAGTGAGTCGTGAGTATATAGCATAAGCTCTTCACGAATATATAAGCTCCGAAACTATCGCCCTCAGCACCGGACCTCAAATAAAATACATACCTATCCGTGATTATTGATTATACCACCCAGTCTCCGTGGGAGCGTACAGGATCTTGATCATATGAACATTTCCCGACGCCTTCGTTTTTCGAATACTGTCCGCACATGACTCCTCCTGGGACTTTAGGAATCGAATATGATACCCAAACCGAGAATACGCAAGTTCTGTGATCTACTTAAAAGCATTTATTTTACAGGTTCTCACGGAAAGAATTCCCTAAACATCATCGTCAACGCTTCTATCGAAGTTCGTTCGCGCAAATGGAGAAATTGACATAAGATCATCGAAAACCGCAGTCATTACCTTTATGTTTATTTATGAGGGTTTATTTAATGTATCAGAGATTGGAGAAGCTATCTATGGTGAAGATTTCCATACCTATGAGACCGAGTTGACTACAGATCTTCCCCGCCATAGACGTTCTCGTCAGAATAAGCCATGTAGAGGAAGAAATCCTCTTCGTGGTGTTCCTGTAATGTAAAGAAATCATCGTCACATATTTGTTGTGAATACTGAGACACTACTAGAGAGAGCGTTCGTGACGCCGCGCCGCCGTGTATGCGAGGCTCCTCTTCTCGATCAGATCGGGTTACAATTCTCGAATTGCATCTATCGAAACTCGGAAGATTTCCTCCTCCCCGGCATGAACCCCCGATCACTGAAGGCGTGTACATATTTTGTTGGGTAATCGACGAGAAGAGGTTCAGACAGAATGAAAGTGCGGTGAGCGCTGGCACGACAAGCGGAACGCCAGCCAAAAAAGCGACCTTGACAACGCACTGCGCGAGTCGAGTCTGTTCGAAGGAGAAGAACTTTTATTCTTGCCAGAATAAAATATAGGAACCGACTCCGAGCGGAAGGTTGCTTCGCGCAATTTACCCCGCATAACCAGCGCGTACGCCGATCGAGAGATTTTCACAATCGAGGATTACTCGCCTGATAGAGGGTTCCCATAGTTCCAGACGTATGGGGCATGGCATTGTTCACGAAAAAGAAGAGCGCGTCTTCGGGTTTCAACTGAATCCGCTTGCGGATCAGCTGATAGAACTGACCCACGCAGAGCTCCGACGGAACGAGGTACTTCTTCTTGTCGAGGTTCCCGATTCGACTCTTCGGGGCTTTCTCGACGATGACCTGGAAACAAGGCAATAAATCATGTACACGACGCTAGATTCGAAATGACGGGATTGTGCCGCTAAGTAAGCCCAGAACGAAACGGATCCAGAAGCTGAAATCCCCATCGTGTACGAACCAGAGCCGCCCCTGACGGAGATCGGTTGGCTCGAAAACTCGCGTCTTATGCTCGCTGCCCGACTCGACCAACTTACAGCTCACGCGCGCCCGATAGAACGTCGTCATAACACCGTAGAAGTAGAGGCAGATTTCGCGGATCATACGCAGAACTTCCCCTTCGAGTCTCCTCATCCGGTACTCATTTACGGGCGACGTGCCCTGGTCGATTTAAGTTCAGGAAGGTCGCCGCGCCGTCGCCCCCTCACAACAATGAACCTTCACACGATTCCGCTTCGTGGAACCCAGGGTCCTAGCGAGAACCTCAGTGATCTGGCACACAGGGGGTGCCCAGAGCGTTCCAAACAGCGAGCTCGGCTTCATCGGAACTCTAAGCCGAGGAGAAGGGCAATTCGAGGACGGATGGGGAATCCGCAGGCCCGGATCAGAATCAGAAAACCAATGACTCAGCTTGTTATGAGGCTGACCGCTGCCTCAGTCGCGATCAACAAGAATACCTGAGCTCGATAGCTTTAGGCGTCATCGCACATCCAACCGCTGCGCTGCAGTACCCTGGACGCGGCCCATAGCAACTGCATTAGCGTGAAATCGGTGAAATATCCGAGTAAATGGGAACCGTGGATATGAACATGGTCTTCGCAATCGAGACAAGCGTAAGGATCGGCTGACTTCAATCAAAGTGCGATGCCAATTGCGAGGTAGTGATGGTCGTACGCAGTAGCAGGGATCCCAGACGATGGGGCCTAACTGCGCAGCAATGGCCGAGCGCTTCAGAGACGAAGAAACACTCCAAAGAAACGCGCAACTCCGATGCGATGATGAGCTAACACAAGTGAACGTATGTTGGGCCCCGTATGAGGAATCATTTGAACGGACTCTGGCCTATTCAAGGATACTCACGGGGACGCGGTCGGGGTACTTCTTGCGGATTTTCTCGCCCTCGGCACGACGCTTCTCGAATCCGTGCTCCTGCTTGTACTCGAATTTCATGGTTCAAGTCGGTGATCCCTTCTGGTCGTGAGAAAAATTCACAAACTCCTAGTTCGCGGCGGGCAAACGGTTTATTCGATGGGACTGGACGCGGGCTGAACGCTTTGGTCGCTGTGTCTCTCCGCTGTGGCTTTTGCTTGCCTGGGGATGAATCAGCTGTTTCCCACTACGACCTCGCCGCTGGCTGCTCGACGCTTCGTGGGAGAGAGGGCGAGAGAAGGCGAGACGTCAAGTAGAGCCGAAATGAGCTGGTGTGAACGGAGTCATTCCGATGAAAAGTGTCCAATGGAGGCCGCCATTGTCCATCATCAGCGATCAGAAGTCTGTATCTCCCGCATTTCGAGTGTAATTTCCGATGCTTCTCCGATCGAAGTCCCACAGTTTTTCAGAGCCTGCTGCTGTCCTGACCAAAACTCTCTGCATCGGTTATCGCTCCGCGAGCGACGCGAGATGCAAGTGCAGCACCCTCTGGTGGCTAAGAAAGCTACCTGAAGAGCTTCGATGCCCGCTAATGATACCTGTTCGCAACTACGGAGGAAGGCACTGTGAGAGACCATGCATCACTGTTCGAGGAGGCAAAAATACTGTCCGAGCCGCGGAGCCTGATGCAGAGCTCAAAGCTGCTCGGGCTCGAGTCACATCTCGGATACCATGCGCTGAGTTATCACGCGCGTACTTGTCGATTCAGACCTCGTCGGCTGTCAAGAGGTCCGGAACTTCAAGCGAACTCTCGGCATCCCGAGCCGGAGCTTGGAAAGGACGGGCAGAAATTCCTCCCGTGCGCCTACGGATACGTTGCTCAGATGTCAGATCCCCGTCGCTTAAGAGCACTCTGCTCTCGGATGTACCTATTATTTTAATTCAGCTGGGATCCTGATTGTGAGTTCACGGTGAATGATCCCACCTCCCTACGGTAGCGCATGTTCCCCACGGGATTGATGCCAAGCATCGTCATAGGCCGATCCCGCCTCGGACAAGTCGCGACGAAGCGAATTCGCTCTTGTGGTTACTCATCGGGGAAGCCCATTGGGAGAGGGATCTCAATGGTTTCTAAAGATTTAACCCGCATAGCATTTGGGTCCGATTTTTTTCGGGGAGTATACCAGCTGATTATGAAATAACTGTCATCATCGGTTTCGTGTCATGGCTCTTTATGGTGTCTGAGTCACTGAAAGTATGATTCATCACTATTCGAAATCGCCTGAGTTCTGTCGATGACTCGCTCACGGTAGCCCCCAGTGAATCAATCGAGGCTTGCGAACAGTTGCTTGCAATAGCTTACGGATCACGGATCCATGTGTAGTCGACTTTGCTCAAGGATTCTTCTTCTGGTCTTCGCCTTAAATGATTCGCCCGCGTTCTGTTTACCGATCGACACAGTCATGACGTGCAGTCGCCTGCGACGTTTCTTCCGCGTGACGTCACTCGCTCCATGCTGCGGACAGCGCAGTATTGTGTTTCTTCGACGGCTGCATGAAACTCCGCTGCGTAAAAGCGAACACATGCTCGCAGTAGTATCAAACTAGGATAAATCTCGAGGGAGAAGTTCTGCGGATTTCCGGGCTTTTGAACATGCTCTCCCTCGGAGTATCGGGAACAATATGTGGCTCGTTTCTATCTAAGCGGCCGTGGTGGGGAGGGTGGAATAATTGAAATGCCCAGGCTTCCTTTGCAACAGAAAACAGCTTCGTTTATTAGACACAACGTTCTGCCTATAGCCATCGGTAACTACTCGAGAGCTTGTTTGGCCACAACACTGGGATTATTTATCTGTTCCCCAAGTTGCTCCAAGATCTCTCGTCGGTAATCGTCGAAGTCCCCATTGATTTCGTCGATGCCCCTGTGCTCGATGATCCACAGTTGGCAGTTTGTCTCTCGGATAAGGCGCTCGTCGTGGGAAACAATAATCACGCCCCCTGAAATTGGTGAAATGTTCTTTCATCGGAACATCATCGGGACACCGCGTGCCGGATTCTCGGAGGATGGACGGCGCAGTCTTACGACGGAATTCTGGAAATTCCGTGAAACTCCATAGACTCGATTCTGAACTTACCTTCGTACTCCGAGATAGCTTCCGCCAGGGCATCTATACTCTCGATGTCGAGATTATTTGTAGGTTCGTCAAGAATGAGAACATCGGGACTCTTCAGACAAAGCTCGGCCAGCGCTACTCGAGCTTTCTGCCCTCCCGACAGATCACTGTTCAAAATCGTGTGTGCATAGGACACCAGACCAAAAGTGCCTGCAAACGATCATCAAATTAATGCAAAAATTATGATCAGATAATTGAGCTATGGGCACAGGCCCCCGGGTAAGACAGAAGCACGCTTAGAATCAGTGCCAGACTCATTGACGAAATCATCTGCGTGAACTCACCCAGCTGTTTGCGAGCGTCTTGATAATTGAGATTGAACAACCGCTGCAGGTATTCAACGGGAGTCTCAGCAGGGTTGAGGTGCTCCCCTGAATGTTGATCGAACTTGCCGATTCTGAGGCGATGGTTCCTCCGAGCTTCACCAACAGTCGGGGTTAGATCTCCGACGAGGAGTTTGAGGAAAGTTGACTTGCCAACTCCATTCGGACCGACAATAGCTACGCGAGAAGTCATATCGATACCTGCGAGATCAGGAACAGAACCGTTGACCGGCATCCCGGAGAGTCACGAATAAATGAAAATTGTTCGATGGCAGCGAAGGTAAACTCATTCGGCTTTGTGCCTCCATGGCAGACCCGTATTCCCACAGAATGCAAACCCACCGAAATCTATGTTTTTGAATAAATAGGGTTGACCCGGGTAGGCAAAATCGACGTTGTACAATCCGAGGATCGGCGGCTGCAAGGGTGGAGGATTCGGGAAGCTGAACTTCACGATGTAGTCCCGGGGCTTCTCGATGAGCGAAGCTGGTCCGGCGTCTTCTTCTTTCTTGACGTTCACGCTGCGGCCTTTCTGTTGTTTCCGAGTGAGAGCTTCCACCTATAACAGATTGCGGGGGCAAAACAAAAACATGTTGAGTCCTTGTGTTCCTCCCCGCTGCGACTATCGTAAAAGGATGTAATTACCGTTTTCTTCGTTGCCTGCTTATTACTCTGTCCCCCCTGCTTGAGAGCCTTCAATTTTCGCTCCTGTTTCTCATACTCTTTGAGTATCTCCCGTTTCTTTTGCTCATGCATCTTCTTGAACTGGGTGTAATTCCCTTTGTAATAGAACAGCTTCTGATTGTCGAGATGCACGATATCCGTACAGACGTTGTCGAGGAAACTCTGGTCGTGAGACACAACCAGGAGTGTTTTCTTCCAGCCTGGAAGGAACAACGAGAAATGTGAATTCATTCCGATGGTCCGCCATTTCGTGGACGGCGTCTTCGCTGGCGGCCGGGATCGTCGAGGTATACACGGACGAAGACCATATCCACGTGTTCCTACCGACCTTGCAAATAATTATCAAGCCAAATGACGGCGTTCAGATCGAGATGGTTTGTGGGCTCATCGAGGAGTAGTAGAGTAGGCTCCATGAAAAGTGCTCGAGCCAGCGAAACTCTCATCCTCCAACCTCCAGAGAATTGGTTGGTCGCCCGGTCTTGCATTTCCTTGTCGAAGCCAAGACCAGCGAGGATCCTCCGAGCTCGGGGCTCAGCTGAATCGGCTCCGATAGCTTGGAGCTCTTCATATACTTCGTTAAGACGTTCTTGGTCTTTGGTTTTCCCTGCGGACACAATCAAAATATCAATTCGAGCTCGAGTTCGAGAATTCATCGATTTTTGGATAATAATTTGGCTTTTGTACGAGGACATTCACGGCACTCACCCGCCGCGACCGCTTTCTCAAGATCAGCCTGTTCGTCCAACAACCGGAGACGTCGAGTGTCGGCTTTTATGACCGCCTGCACCGCGGGTGTTTCGTCGGCCACAACTTCCTGCTCACAAAGGAGCACATCGATGCTAGATGGAATATTCAAGGATCGATTGGCTATGTGTTTCAGGAGGGTTGTCTTGCCATGTCCGTTCGGTCCGACCAGACCGTAACGGCGTCCTTTTGCGATGAGCAGCGAAGCGTTAACGAAGAGGTCTTTCCCCCGGGCTGAGATACTGAAGTTTTCCACTTTGACATCGACGGCATGTTCCATTTGAGCTTGCTGTGCCGCTGATTTATCGGCTTGCGAAACAGTAAATTGAGTCGTGTCCGTACTGCTCTTCGGAGCTCCCAGGGCGTCGAGAGCCTTCTGAAACTCTCGCTGCTTCTTGAGAGCTTTGCGTTCCTTTCTCGACAAGTTGGCGAAGGCTGGATCTTTTTCATCGTCGTCCTCTTGAGGCCTCTCCGTCTCCTCGTCTCGCATTTCGTCATCTCCAGCATCATCATCTACATCATTGAGTTCCATTTCTGCGAGATCCTCTTCGATTGTTCTCTTAGGTTTGGATTTCGACTCTTTGCCTTTCGTTTTCGCCCGCTCCGCTGGTTTCTCATCTCCTTCGACATCCTCGACGGGAGCTTTCTTCCTCCCAGATTTCTTGGTTTTGATGTCCTCTGTATCCTGGGGCTGTTGCTTCTTGGCGTTCGTGTCCTTTGACTTATCCTCATTCTTGTTGTTGTTGTCCTTGGCCTCAGCCATCATGGCAATTAGCTCCGCGGCTTTTTTCGACTTTTTCTTCTCTTTCTTCGCTGGAATTACGAATGGGAGTATTATTTTGCGCCGTCTGGTTCAAAGAACCAGCGTTTCCCCCCTTGGAAGATACTCTTTCCATGGATCAACAGTGTAATCGAAATAGGCTATTCATCCTAGCGAATGGTCACTTTCTGATCACTCATTCGGTGGCTTTCCAAGAAGATCCAGCCGATCGGACGGAGTCTCCTCGATCGCCCGGCTCTCAATTTTCCCGTCACCTATTTCCGCTCTAGTGAGAGACTAGCTTGGGTGGATGCTAAGTGAATAAGAGAAAACTGCCATTCCTACAGTTGTCTCTAATAATCTTGGGGAAAAAACTGCGACCGGGAGAGCTGCCATTCCGGAAAGAAACACTGCCAGCCAGAAGCAAGCCATCAGAAATCATGAATGATCTGGGTACTTGAAAGAGGATCTTACGCGAGAAACTGGGCACCAAGCCGAATCGTTCTAATTTCGAGATCGTGGATTCTTCTGAGATTCGAAGTCCCAACCCCGAGGTTTTGGGCAGGGCTAGCCGTTCCCGAAATAAATGCATATTTAGACATTCAATTCGACGCAGCGAAGGCCCCTCAGGGACTCGAACTCCTTCACGTAAGCCCTCCGATGCTGACTTTACGGAGGCTGAACTCGGACTGGACAGCGCAATCTGGCAAGCTCGAAAACCGTGCCCTGGGAGAAGCTCGGAAGCTTTACCAACCCATGCTTCTACCTCGAGGCAGCCGGGCGCACGAGGATGATTCTCCCGAGTCCTAGGGCGCCCCTGAATCGCGAATGTCTGAACAGCTGTTTGCCGAGAAGTTTTCCCCGCCAGAGTGGAGTGCAGCATCCAGGCTGATTGACAAAATCGATCACGGTGCTCTCCGAGGCCGCCTTCCCAAATCTAGAAACGACTCGATGACCCGAAGATAATTCTAAGAGAACGGCGGCGCGCTCGAATTATAAGTGGAATTGTAGGCACCTTTTTCACCGCTGTCCTGGACGTCACCAACATTATCCGGTTTCTTCACGACATCCTCGAAATCATCATCCCCACGTCGGGATTTCTTCTTATCACCCGCCTTCTTAGACATTGTGTTCTATTGGGGGGCAGCTCCTCACACGATACAGCGCGCTAACTGTGAAAAATCACCGGCGAAATCGAATTGGAATGCAGAAGTGCAATCAGCAGCCCTTCATTTACACGTGCAGCAGAAAGCTCGCGATTTCGAACGTTTGCCTGTCCGCTACTGCAATGTCTAACTCAATTCTCGGCTAGTCGTCTGGGAGTTGCTTCCTTCGCTTGCCCTTTCTCCGGCGGACCGAACACATGGCTCTCGCTGCGATGTAAACAGAGCGATGCTTTTGCGAAAATACGCTATCGGCTCTCATGAATCTGAATGTATATCTCTATAGCTTGGAAGCTACTCTGTGCATATCGACCGCGAGAGAATGAGCGGACTGAATCCTAAGGGTAAGTGGCAATGGAATCCTGTTACCTGGCAGGAATCGCTCCCTTGCATACCCGACAACCTCCCTTACCACTGATGCATCTTCGGCGAGCTTTGTGTTAACCTGTGGATTGTGAGGCCAGGTTAGCGCTTTCGTCGGATGTGAGGTCGACGAGAAGAGCTCAATCTTGCCTTCTACTCGTGGGTTTGAAGTCTGAGGAACATGGCGGGAGTCTAGTGTAGCAAAGAGTCACGGGGACTGAAACTTTTGGGAACTCCCGCAGTGAGGAGCACTTGAATTACTAGCTGTGGACGAACGTCAGGGGAATGAAGAATAAGCCTGAACTCGTTCGAATTCCAGCATCTTCATCAGCATCGAAGGATGCGCTGCAATTTTACAAAACAGCTGTTGAAGTCGGACTTAGCCCCGGAGATGCAGGGGGTACCCAGGCGGACTTTTTCGAGCGTTTCCTCCGGAAGCACTCAGACAACGTCAAAGACGATACAGTCGCATCTGTGAAACGAGGCTATGTATTTACGAAGAGACTACATTACTCCCGCAAGAAGCACAACAAGAAACCCCACAACCTGCTCACATCTCGAGAGAAGCGGACCCTCGGTCTCTTCACGATCACTCGGCATGGTCAATTGACGTATGAGAGTTTCCTGAGAATACACGACCTATGGAAAGGCTATTTCAAGGTTGGTCCGAAATCCTAGTCTGGGATAATTTTCACGGGCTCAAGAATGTATCCGGAACCACTCCCCCGCTTTTCCAGGAGGCGGTCGCCGACGAGAAGGTTTCGAAGTTGGAAAACCTCCAAATATCGTTGATGAAAGCCGACTACACCGGATGTCATTTCGTGGTGGCGGCCGGAAAATGCGTTAGCCATGTCGGCCAGAGAGGACTCGTCGTACAAGAAACCAAGAATACTTTCAAGTGAGTCCAACATAGAGTTCCCGCATGGCTCATCTTCGAGGGGCGAAGCGACGATCCTCGAACGACTGATGCGATTGTCTCTCTCTCTCAGGCTGCTGACGAAGGAGGACCGTATCCTTGAAATCCCGAAGAAAGGAACCCTTTTCGCTTTCATGCACGGAGACAAATTGTACAAAATCTATGGATCGCACTTCCGGAAACATGGTTTCGAACGAGCGAAATCGAAATTCAAGGTGACAGAAAATATCACTCTCTGAAATAAATTGTTGTTCATTCGCAATGCGAACATCAGAAGAGAAAATCTTTCGGTCCCTTCCGGACTCCCCCGTGCCTCAACGCCTTTGAATAATGCGGTGTTATCGAACCGAAGACGCAAGTAAATACATATCCGAAAGCAGGAAAATGCTCGTATGTTCCTCTCAGAACGTTCGCAAGCCCGTCGTCTTCCTTGAAAACGACCCTGATCCTCCGGCACAAAGTCAGTGCTCCATCATAAAAGTTAATTTGCGTGGCAAGTTGCAGGTTTAGGGAGTAAACTGTGATACTTTAGGATTAGCACGAAGGCGCACGACATCGAATCGCTATTTTATTGACACCATGGATCACGAAGCACAACTACGTTCTCACAACAGCGGGAACAATATTGGCTGACACATGACTGGTCGAAGGAATTTGGATGAATATCGACGATCGCGCATGGCGAGCTCCCGAGGAAGTCAGTGATCGTCTGTCATGATCCGGCAGGAGAAAAGCAGAGCGAGTACCCGCCAAGCTCAAATCCATGGAAGAAAGATGAGCGGGCTCTGATGAGCTTATACGCGGGACCATATACACGACACATCTACCAGTCACTTATTTTCCGATGATGAGCATTCGCTAATTATGAGGTCGCTCATGGAATTCAATTAACTCTAGCACCGCATACCAAATGTCAAAAGCCCTAAGAAGTTCAGATGAACTAGATTCTTTCGATAACAAACACGTATGCCGCCTTCGGAGCTCAATAGGGATCCATACATGCTCCGGACTCGCTCAAAACTTAACAGACATTCGAAAACTATGCGGAGTACGCATAGCTATAGTCATCAATCAACACTCATTGTTCTCAATGAAGACTCTGCCTGATATTTTCTTCGTAGATGAGTTCCCGCCTCCGGCCCCGAGTTTCCGGACACGGAGCCTGCTGCGACCTGACACAATCAGTATCAAAATGTATTGAAAAACAAGTCGGTAGTAAATCGGCTACGCTGCTTCGAGCTCGCAGTAGAGACGTATTGCCAAATTCACGCTTCATATTGCGCATCCTCTATCCCAATACAGGGAGCCCGCTTTTGATGACATTCTAGGACATCTTCCCTACCATCCGAGACATCAAAATTGCCAGCACGTTTTTTTCCCGGCCATACGTGAGACACGGGATGCTTCTGCGCTGAATACCTATGAGACTTCTATCATTCTCTATTTCAGACGAGCTTCGGCTAATTTCACTTGTTCGTAGATTCCGAGTCTTCCTCTAGACCTGAGTTGGGTTATTGACCGGCTCGATGGGCGTCAGGCAGGCCTCAATGCGTTGCTCGATCGTTCCGGGAGACTTGCAGAACATGTAGATCATGTACAGGGGAACCTTTTTGGAGGCGATTAAGGTTACTAAGAGATCTTCTGTCGAGTCATCCGTATCGAATATGACTGATTCGTCGAGCTTACCAAGCAAATAGAACTCAGCGCGGTCGCGACGCCCACCCTGACGGACCACCAAGGATATTTGGAAGGGTCCAGATCCGTCGTACGGGTTCGCTCGAAAGCGAATATGAGCACAGTCTGGGGAGGCGGAAAGCAAGTTATATTGGGTTCTCGAAGCGTTTCCCTCCGAAGAGCCAGGCCATCACTCGGCCGAGAGCCTCATCTCTCGACCGGGGGGTGGGGGGAAGGATGAGAGGGCGTAGGGAGAGTAGTTCGAGCGCTGAAATTCGAAGCCCGAAGCCCTGCCACCAAGGCCGGAATGCAACCGTCGTGAACCCCCTGCCCCTCTCTCCGAAGGCCGATTCGAGATCTTGTTGAGATGGTGCAACTCACCAAGAGGAAAACAGGGCTGATGTAAGTCCAGCAGAGTCGCCAGTATATGCCCGGGGTCGATCCAAGCATCTGATGGATCTGCGAGCAAACGTGATGCATTACTTTATATGATGCGCTTGTAAAGCCGCGAGACGAGCGACGAGAAAATCTCATTTTTACCTTTTGCGCGAAGCGCTCGGCTCCGAAAACCCAACAGATCACGACGCCTTCGATAAAGACCACAAACAAGACACTGACCGCGGTGGCGTACGTGTCCAAGAGCTCCACCTGGAAGAGCTGTGTTCTCTTCATATTCTCGAGCTAAAATTCATCCTCTGTCTCGGAAAACCAACTCACCAAATAGAAACCGCCGCAAGTTGTTGTTGGCAAGGCGCAGATATAGATGAAAACCAGCACCAGAGCAACGAATATTTCCCGGTGACGGCGAAGGACATTGGGATACTGATCACACATACCGGTCAGCATCGCCTCCAAACCGCCGAACTACAGGGAAGCAGCAATTGGCTCGATATCAGTTGGAATTCACTACAGATGCACTGAATCGTTCGAAAAAATCTCTCTCACAAGCTCACCGTGCTGTCGAGGCCGAGGGTGATGAGCATCGAGAAGAACATCACACTCCAAACTGGCGAATATTGCAATGTGGAGATGGCTTGAGGATAAACTATGAAGACCAGCCCCGGACCCGATGTTGCAACGCTGCTTATATCTCGATCGAGATTCTTCGCCATATAGCCCAGGAATGAGAAGATGACCAATCTGAAAAATAAGAAAATCCATAACTCTGACCGTTCGTCTTCCCGAGCGGATAGATGTCGGGCACAGCCTCCCTGGATAGGAGAGCTTACCCCGCCACAAAACTCGTGGCACAGTTGATGAACGATGTCAGAAGCGCATCTCTGTAACAATTGTTATGGAATCGGTTGTATGACGAGAGGGCTAGAAGTGTGCCGAATCCAGGTCCAAGAGAGAAGAAGATCTGAGTTGCCGCGTCGACCCAAACTTCACTCTCGGCTAGCTTCGCCCAATCCGGCGATAGATAGTAGGCGATTCCTGCGGGGAGGCATGAGTAGCCAAGATCACTACTGAGGTCGCTTGTGGAAACGGATACTTCCGACCGATAGAACTCCCTTCTGCGCATGGATTATCGGGAGAACGATTAAAAATTGCAAATACCGTCAGCGGCTCCATCCAAGGTCACTCCTTTCACCAGGAGAGCGAACAGGACCACATACGGGGCTATCGCGGTGATGTAAACAGCCTGGGAAAAATTTCACAATGTACACTATACGTGAATAATCTTCAATATGACCGCTCGATTGCGCGTCAGGAAGATCAACAACAGGAGTTCATATTCTCTGCGACCTTTCCCGTAGATTTGACTCCTTTCCAGAGCGCGAGGTAGACAAGAACGAACACCAACAGCAAACAGAAAGCTATCGGCAGCCTTATGGTTCCCATGTTACCCAGACCACCCGATTTATGAACTTCCAAGACGTGGCGCCTGAAAAGAGAGGACCGTCTCATCGGGACGCAAAATCGGCTCCGTCGGGAAAAGCTATCTTCTATAAAAAGTCATGTTTCGGGAGTCTATCCAGGAGACGTCATGTAGCGAGGGCTTTCGAATCAAGGATTATTCGGGATAGAAGTTTCCCACTCTGACAAGGAGATCTCCCATTAAGAATTCTAGGCATCCGCTAGATATGATGATGGCTATCGGATAATTCTGATTACATAAATTATTCGGAACTTCGATGAACCACTGGAAGCTCAAGTGGCTGGCTCGAGGATTCCCTGCGAGTCCCGAGAATCGAAGAACAGCCCTGTGGAATGGTGCCCGCTCAGGTCATTTGAGGTTTGAATAATAGTCGCGAAAATCTAAACTCACTCAAAATACTCCTGGGCAGGGCTAACTTTATGAGCTCCGATCGAGCTATTCCCGTGACTATCGGAGCCTTCAGAGCATTCAGGTGTGTTCCACGGGTTGTCGCAAGAAGACCAAGGGACAACGGAAGTGAAAGAGGCCTGAAAATGGCAACGTTGCACGGTATTCCGGAGGCGAGTCGGAAAGTATCGGAATAAATCGATGGATGCGAGCTCGACTCGACTCTCTTGAGGTAGAAACAGAGCGTAGGCATTCAAGATAGCACCATCCTCCCTAAATATTGCCCAGAATGAGTAGGTACCTGTAAATAGTAGACAGCCCAAGCGATTATGGTGTTGTAATACATTGCCATGTAGATGTCGATGATGCAGATGGCGAATCCAATGCCTATAAAAAGCTCTCCTTAGAGCAGCTCCGTCAGGCGATAGCTGGGCTCGATATTCAAGGGAGCCAATGCAGACACTGACCTTTGAAAGCAGGAGCGATGTACTGCCATACAGTGAGACACCCGGACCTGTAGTATTGACCGAGGGCCAATTCGAGATAGAAGAGAGGCAAACCTCCAAACAGCAGCATAATGAGATAGGGGACTAAGAACGCTCCTGTGGAAGCATTGATCCATTGAGTCCCACTCAGAGAAGGTGTTTTCGACGCTTCTCCAATATTCTCGTCAGGTTTCTAGGCTTCGAAGAGTGACGCGTGTGACAGGAATAATCCCCCGAACTCAATTTATGAACCTCTCCCGTCTATGTCTTCCCCATCGGCGCTCTCGCCGTCACGACATGTCGACAGTTCCATGCAGGCGGATGATCGGAGTCTCCTTTCTGAGTTTCCCCTGATCGCCACGAGCATCGGGGTAAACAACCTTCATCGAAGCGGAGTTCGGCTAAGACGGAGTTCAGCGAGTCGATAAACTCGCCGGGATCCAACACCTACATGATCCTCGCACGTGAGGATCGCAGCATTTTCCAATCGCTCGCGCACGCGGGGAGGATTGCTTAGCTTTGACTGATGTGGAAAACTACGAATGGGAAGCTGAGCTGGAACAATCATTCGATTTCTCCTATTGAAGCGCGCACATGAGACGAAAAATTACGCCGCTCGGAAGCGCTGGCAGAGCCGCCGAGGTATTTCAGCGGTGAACTCACACAGAACTCCACGTTCAGAGCCTACATCCGATATCCCCCATCCATCTAGGGGGTTTCACGACTTTCCGGCGGACTTCTCGATCGTGGAAAGGCAATCTCAGTCATAGCAGCCCCGTAGAATTCTTGTCCGAGGGCATCGCAGCGAAGTTCCCCGATGAGTCCGGCCAAAGCATCGTCAAGCCCCGTGAGGCCACTGCAGTCGATCAAAAACACGCGGGGCCCAACCTCGCGTACTTGACTCGAGGATAGAAGAACAATAGACTCGTTCGAAAACTCTCCCGTTTTAAAATGAGAATGGCTTTGAGCTAAAGTTAGATGTGACGCAATATGCAAATCGCGGCTAATGAATCCTATCAGACCCAAACCTGACGGCCTGACAATTGAGTTCTTCGCCGTTCGCGTCTCTGAAGCAGCAGAGAGCCCGCTTCCGGTCTCCCGCTGTCGGTATCAGTCTCGAAATTATACCTAAACATGATTTCCCATGCTACCCGGCGGACTTGGATTCAGATGCTCGATCTGCTTCTGTGTCTGGGAGTGAGGTGTCTGAGCGTCGCGCCAAATTTAGAACTCCTCACTGAGGAGTCTCTTGTAGGCTCCCGAGCCAGTTGTGCTTCTGGCGGTGAAGTAAATAGCTTGCAGAGAAGCCAGCTATTTAGAGGGACTGTGGATCCATCACAAACTTGGCCTTGTCTAAAGTTCGCTCCGCGAGCCTTTGGATTCGAAGACGACGCAAAAAAGCTCTCCATGACGAGAGAGTGCTTTGCCCTGCATAGGAATTTAGCCTGGCTTCCGGAACGCCTATTTCCAATTGTGTCGATGGGTGAACTCTGTGACTCGGATCCAGCGATGGGAGTTGACAGCGCTTTTTTGGAACGGACTCACAAGCAAACTAATCGAACGATCCGAAAACCTTACCTCCTCCGTTTTTGTAACAGATGTATGGGAATCTCCACACGTTCCCGAGATCTACGGCAAAACCAATGACGGCCAAGAGAAATTCCGTCTTCGAGTCCCAGCGCTCCCGCCCCACCTGCAATTTTTTATGTCATCGGCCTTAGTACCGGTGAGATGAGTGCATATTCGACACATAGACGCAACAAGCACAACTCCGTTCGCCACTTGCGAGGAGAATGCTACGCGCTCAAGGGACGCTAATGGCAGATAATTGAACCCAATGTAAGATGTGATAACGCGGAGATATTCGAACTGATAGAGAAATCATCGGCAGGCGAAGACCGTCTCTGTCGTCGACTCGGGGTGAGGGGGGGATAGATCGACGGTCGTCTCACAGCAGCGACGTGACGCGTAGAATCTGAACCTACTTTTGAATTAGTGTGCACACTTTTATCCACTTTACTCGTCATCCTGGCGGTGGTTTTCGCAGAACTTCACTCGCGTTCCGAGAACATTCTCGATGAGGCACAAGTTACACGAGATGAAGTCACTCCGAGGGAACTCGAGAAGCGCTCATATTCGGCGGGCATTCAATATGAAGTCAATCGAGTATAGATGAAGTTCCTCACAGAGCCAGGAACACGGCACTCGACTGTGCCTTCACAACACGAGACGCGTTAAAAAGGGTATTTTTTCCAGAGCTTCTCCCATAGCATCGGAATTGTTTTGCGCGCGCTTCTTCGCCAAAGACCAGTTGCTTTCAGGAGGAAGCCGTGCCGTTCAACACGAAGTTCCGCCAGGAGCGAGAGGATTCCTCTGAAGAGCGACGAGGTGGCTTTGCGCGAGGGGCGGACCTCGCGGACCGACAGAGCAATGCCGGGCTGTGATTTGGCCAATCTTCCCTCCTGACACCTCCTGCTTCTGAATCTTGAGCCAGCCCAGAAGACACTGCCGACCCGTTCGGAAGTTATCGATGTCATTGTCGGCCACAAGTATTCTTCTTCCGTACCGCGGTCAAATTGATTTTCGAGGACTCGGCGGGAATCCTACGAGTGATCAGAGCGAGCGTCTCTGTCATTATTGTATCACCATGTCGCAAGCCTCATATGTCAGAATTCCCTGAATCCTGCAATGGATGGGGAAGCGGCAGAGAAGCCTGGACTGATTATTATCGGATCTTCCTCTCGTATCGATCTCTCTGAGTGCCTCTCGTCATCACGATTGGGGCTGTCCCTCCTGACGCCTTTGGACGGAGTCGACGATGGAATCATCTAGAATGCTCCTGAGGGTCCAACATTTCCGCTTTGAGGATTTTTCGTTGGTGCCCGAGTCATGATACACATTCCTGGCCTCGCATATGGTGAGAATGGATAATATTCGCGGAGCCGTGATCCTATCTCAAGTCCCTCGCGGGAGTTTCCGATCCACAATCTGGAACTTCGCGACCCTCGTGTGATCACAGGGAGCGAACTTCAATATTTCAAGCGAGGAGTTGACTTCCGGAGGCTCGGAGCAGCGGACGATAGAGTTTCGCGATGAGCTTTCCTGCTTATTGGATTCTGTGGCAGAGGTATCTTTCCTCGAAGAGCTCTCTCTCGCAATACTTCTAATGAGAGCATTTCTTGGTCCGTCTTGCTCGTCCCCGCTCGAACGGTGCCTCTCCCAGCAACAGTAATTACGTGGAGATTCGCAGGTCAGGTATTGGACGAAGAGCAATTTTCCTGACGATAGGGAGAGCGAGAGAGCAGAGCTGCTTTTGCGGGAGCTCGTTTGCATCTCCCCAGTTATCCGGTTCGACTCCGCGCGACGCTTGACACTTGACAACTTCTTGTTTCAGAGAGTGAGAGAACTTCGAGTCCCAGTGTCTGCTTCTCGCTACGGCCTCGGCTCACGGTCCAAAGCCGCGACCTCGGAAACTTCTTCAAAATGCTCCGAAGCTTTGCGTCACCGGTGGGAGCAAGTTGCCCTCGTTGTAGCTTCGGATCCTCTACGGTCTGAAGGGAATCATAACGAGCTGAGCTCGGAGCTCGCTATCCGGACACCCGCTTCCCTCCGAAGTTCCCTGAGTTCGATTCTATGTAGCTCCGAACGTCTTCAAAAACTCGAGGAGTTCTTCGGAATTGAATACGACCGGGTATGGATAAGGAGAAATTGGAGCTCAAAGTCTCCCAAAACAGGGGCTTTGGCCCGCTATGGGATCGCCGTCGCCTTGATTGATGGTCGGCTCGTTAGCAGGATGCATTTTGTGCGGCGCGAAAACCGGTGATCTCGAAAAGATCGGAGCCTTCATTGTCATGACAGCTCGATCCTGTGGAAACTTTATTTTTAGACTCTGTCGACCCCTTGAAGGGCTCGAACATCTGATCGTTCCTCGAGCGACGGTCCCCAGGAACAATTGGAATGGAGCCACGCAATCTTAGATTCCGCAGCCGCAGCAAACTACCGTGGACATTCCAATAGACGAGCAACCACAATGTCGACCTCGAAGCCGTTCACTTTCACATCCTCGTGAGCTGGCGAGGTCGTTAGAATTCCGTTTTGAACTCCGAGCTTCGAAACGGAAATCCATTGACTCATGAGCAGTGGCAGATTCACCCAGGAGGCTTAGTAGGCGATAGACTGGGGCGGCAGTTCTCGGGGGGCGGCGAAATCCTGGTTGGAGCTTCTGTGATCCACGACAACTCACTCAGTGGAATCAGAATTCGGCGAGGCATAGTTTCTTGGATGCCCGATCATCTATTTTGAAAAGAAACTCTTCTTCTTCCTCTTCTGGGATCGACTGAATAAGCGGGGACAATTCCCTAGTCCACGGATATTCAGGCTTTTTCTGGCATCGGAAAGGAATCTTAAAAACCTGGTGCGAGCGCCAGGGAGAATCGGGATTCATTCCCAGATGGGTTGAATCAGGGCGGCGGTCCTGATTAAGCCGGGGGGCGTCAAACTCGTGAATCCGCCGCTGCTCATGAGGACGCGATTCTATAATAGAAGTTTTGAAAGTCGACATTGGGGGGTGCCCATCTATCCGAACAAGTACGGTGAGGTAGGAAAACTGGAGAAGAGCGGATCCCCTATCAGTCTACTTGCGGCGTTCGGCGGAAGGCTGGGGCGGTTTCTCATTCCTAAGGAAGCGACGGTAATTCATTGCCTGAAAGGTATAGGAGCGAGTCGCCATGTCGGAAATCAGCCGCATGCGAGGACCCGATCTAGCCCCTCCCCAAGAGAAATCCTGCGGACGCCACTACCCAAATGTATAGGGGTATCTACCCCGGCGAATTCCAAACATTTGTCTTCACCTTCGAGCCACAGGTTTCGGGTAGCGGAATCCGATGGGCCTTGTTTTACGGAGCTCGGGAGCGAAATCACGATCATTCTTTGTCTGTCTGCTCATATCGGCCCTCTAGTCCCTCTGGTCGGGTTGATTTTCTCCATGCATGCTCGTGAATACCTTCCGTAGACGCGAATCGCTATATTTCCTCAAGCTGTCCATCAGTTCCCACCTGTGACAGGAATCGGGAACCGGCGGCCGAGGTAACACTCTGGAGGCGGGTATGATATTTTCTCGGCCCAGGAATTGATACGAGTAGGAGCAACGAACCCACGTCTCCTCACTCTTCTTCTTATCGGATCCGAAGAAAAACGGCTACTAACGTCGTCATATCTCACCCACAACTATCCCTTCCTATGGGGCACTTGAATGTGGAGGGAGAGAACTTCCTCTGCCGACGGAGAGTGTTCCCCTTGGGGATATCTGCTCTATCTCTCCTCCTTCGTCTTCTTCCTCGAAAGAAGTCCCTCGTCGATTTGCATATCAGTTCGAGGAGCCTACTGAAGGCTGCACCCAGATGCCGCAATGCTGAGCGTTTGGTCATATAGACGACCGTCTGCTCAGGTTCTTCCGCCGTAGGCAACCTTGGCGAGACACAGCGTTCCCTTGGATGCTTCTTTGCCTATCCTGACCATTCCCGGGGTATCTCACCACTGAAGGGAACCGGACGATTCACCCTGCCGCCTCAGACATCGCACGTTTCGATGGAGGTTCCTAGCATCACTCTCATATGACGTCTCATTACTGAGCATCTCACAGCCCCTGCGAGGAGCGAGGCTCCGCCGGCCAATGGCCTTCCTAAATCGATGGTTGTCAAGCAGTAGTGGACTCAAGAAGGGGGAGGGGGCTACCGGACAATCGTGTCCTCTGCGCGGATTCTGACTGTCTACACATACATAAGTCTGAAAGTAAAACTCAGGTATGAATCCGCTTCCCCGAGCATTACCCACCCCCCAACGGGAGAATCCGCCGTTGAATGACGGTCACGTACCCCCGTCCTACAGAGCTATGTCCTCCCGCACGAACAATTTGAAAGAATCACGGCTCAAGAGTCGAGCCCTGAATGGTGAGCAACATGGAGAGATTTGAAACTATCCCGAACATTTTTCTAAACTCTTTCTATCTCAACGTCTGAAAATTGACGCCGGAAACTAAGATAATATTCAGTCGGAGCGGAGCTCTTCAAAAATATGAATTCCTCCGAACTGGCTCTTGCCCACCCCGAAGCCAACGGGAATTATTCTTCGCGGGCGGGAAGTCTGAAAAGAGAGCTGGGAGAGGACCCTCTTTCCGAGATGCTCTCAAAGTCTCTGATGAAGCCCCGAGAGAATCCTCCGTCAAAGATTCCGTCAGGATTGATTGACATACGATTATCAATGTCCCTTTACACCAGACCATGGGGATTATGAAATTCCGTGGAATACTCGCAGACTTTCGAGTGTCCGTTCAAAAGCCGATTCATTAGCTCCGCTAATTGAGTTCCTTCCTTGCGCAGCATCGGGGATATTTTAAGAAAAAGAGACTCTTCCGGTGCGAGTAAGTTTATTAAATACCTGAAACCCTGAGAAGGAGTGCGCATTCATCGAATCGGAGCTCCCTTGAGGCTTTCTGCGGTCACAGGGTTTCCGTTGACCAAGAAAGCATTACCGCCGTATTCAGCCGTTAGAGAGCTCGAAACTTTCATATCGACAGAGAGCTTTTCCCAATGCTTCTTTTTAGGATTCAATACGTCAGGAATTCCACCAGGAGGTAGAGTTTCGTAACCTTCAATGAGAACACGATCGCCAACCTTGGCGTCTGTCGGTGGGCGTAGCACCTCGACCTGCAAACAGATAGGTCCTCGTTGAGATTAATGGTCCCGGGAATTGCCCCCTCCGCCCGGTTCTTCAGCCTTCATCTCAGATTGATATGAAATCAACTATTATCAGACCCTTCAGATGATAGACATACCTTATCCGGGGTGCTTGCACAGAGCACCATCCCTTTGCTCTCTACACCGCGCATTTTCGCCGGTTTCAGATTGCAGAGAACGATAACGAGAGAGTTCAGCAGGACGTCACGTTCCACTTTCCCTCGCAGGCCCGACACAACTGTTCGAGGTTGCAGCTCTCCGAGGTCGATTTTCTCCACGAAAAGTCCATCGGCGTCGGGATGATTATCGATCTCGACGATTTTTCCGACGCGGATATCAAGCAAAGAGGGGCTCGTTTCCTCTGCGGCGGGTGCGTTCTTGCTTGGCGGTGGGTATGCGTCTTTGCAAATTTTCGCCATTTCAGGACAGGTCTCAAATTTCTGGAAGAGAAAACGAATGATTCTCCCATTCCGGAGTGGCTCCCCGAGAAGGGTTATTGCCTGCGGTAACTCCAAATCGACCCCGATCGATGTACTCGCGGACTGACCTTGCGGATAGGTTCTAAGAGCTTGTTGATTTCCCCCTCGACAAATCCTTTCAAATCTGCGGGATGCAACTTCAAGTCCGCGAAGTCTTTCTCAAGGGCGTCGTAATTTTCGTAAGTGATGTCACCTCCATTTTCTGGGTTTCTGTGCAGGACGACATTCTTTCCATCATAAATGGGGAAAAGCACATGTTTAACGAACGCAGTGAGACCATTGTCGTCTATGTTGCCCGGTTCGCAGAAGGCTTTCTTAAGTTTCTTCTTCACGTTAGCAGCCGAGTCGAGCAAGTCGATTTTGGAATCCTCTTCTGATGACGACATCTTGCCTCCGGCCAGACCGGGAACCATAGGATTCATGAGATGACTCCGTTTCACATAGCCTGAATTCACCGAAAGGGGGATCGTGAGTTTCGATGTCAATACATAGTGAGGCCGTAGATGAAGAAATACACGGCGCTTGCGCTTTCGAGAAGATCTCGATCCTCGCTCCGAGATAACCGTGATCGAGCAGGACCCGATTGTTCAAGAGAAAGACGTACCCAGAGCGGGGAGGTATTTTTCCGAAAATGTGAAAATTTTCCGTTGATCGACCCCTCCGAACTGAGCGTCAACTTTCAGATATTCTTCATCGAGTCCCTGAAGAAGTGGATAGAGCATTGCGGACAGGAGTGGGTGCTCCACCTGTTTGACTACTTCGGCCCCGGCTTTCTTCGCATCATGTTCTGTCACCTGTCAGGCGAAAATTTCGTCATCATTACTTCCCGATCTCGGAAATAGGGTGTCTGCAGATCGATTCTATGGTCTCCATTTCACCGACATTTTCGGTCAAATTTTTTCGTTATGCATGATGGCGAGATCCGATTATAATGCGAAAAGTTGCCCTTCCCTCGAGACAGCGAGGAGAATCTCACCATTGAAACAAGTCGATATACATCTAGGGAGAAGTCTCTCTGGAGCTGATAAGTACTGCCACGAACGAATTTCAGTTTGTCGAGAGGTACGCCGATAGATTCCAACATAGCCTTGATCACAGCCTCATAGTATTTCACTCGATGTTCTAACAACTCCCATGGAGCCTTCATGTTGTCCAGATAAGCATGGAGATCAGCGAAGAGCACAGTCACCTGTCGACGAACGCATCGTGAGCTCCCCAGTGGAATCCGAGAATGAAGACACACCTCATGATCAGTTTCGAAGAGGCACTCTTGAGTACCTCACACCCAGCTCTTAGGAAGTCGGCGATTTTGGTCATCGCGACGAAGTACGCCACATGAGGCTTTCCAGTCGTGGCGGTCCCCCAGTAAATCTTCAGGTCTCGCTCTTTCAGGATATCTTTTATGCGCTCCTCCCCTGCAATGTGAAATCAAAAAAATGATATATCATCGTTTCGAGCAACGGATCGGAACATTTCCTTTGCGCCATCAGGGAAACCGCTTACGGTACTTCGGGAAATTGTGAAGCACGGCGTATGTCATTATTGTTCTAACCCGACCCTTGATTGGTGAGAGAGCTCATCCATGTCGAAGATTTTCCTTCTCTGAATGGTACCCACGGTAGACATTATCCTTCGCTCTGGGACTCACCTAAGACTTCTTGGAGGTTGCGGGTGATCAGCGCGTATTTTTCATCGACCGACATCGCGACCCCCGAAGAGCCCATTGTCGATGGTGGATGATGAAACCGTGACCAGATGGAAACCCTAAACTACGCCGACTAATCGATGATCTTCGTCAGAGACCTTCTGTAACGAGCGAGGGAAGATTATTCATGCGTTTGACGCTCGAGAGCCGTATGCCAATCATGTGAGATACAAATACAAATGATAGAGCGCAGCCTACTTCGGGTTGGGTATCTTCGGGCCAGCACTAGTTATGGTGAAAGAGCAGTCGCCGCCGCCGGGACACGAATCGAACACGCGTTCGAAATGTTTGAAACCGGTGTTTACGTCTAAAGACCTCCTGCTCACGAAGAACCGGGATGGCTCCGCGTACGAGTGTCGTCGCGCGCTGAGAAACCGGAGCTCGTACACTTTTTTCCTTGGCGAGACGCGTCGCTCGGGCGCCGGAGGAGGATCGCCATCACTGCGCCGGATGCCCACAGTGAATATTTGGAGCCCCGAATCTGGACGCTTGGCTCGATCGGCACTCTTTCCTGTACTCAACTGGAGGATATTGGTCTCCCATCTATCGAGAAATATGTGGAAGGACTTCGCGGAACGACTCGCGGATTCGTTGGAAAGAGACCTCGGGTCACGATCATTATTTCTCTGCGTGCCTCTGCTTTCGAGATCGGATCCGTTCCGAGGATTCCAGCGTCTCCTCTCTGAGGAGTCTTATTCGGCTCGGTCCGGGTACAGCGCGCTGAAGCAGACCGATAAGGAGCATGTGAGGATGCTTGCAGGAAGGGAGACGGGTGAAAATTCAATCAGCGCGATTTTGGAATATGAAATAACCCAGTGCGGGAAGCAGGAGTCGAGAATCATGCGAGGTCCAGACATTTCATTGCGTCTAACGCGGGGACCGAGATTTTCTTCACGCGGTTCTCGCTCATCATCACTAATTTTGGTCTGGACCTTCCCATCGGTTTTTCGCAGATCTTCTGGTGCGGTTCGCGAAATGTAGCGATGTTCGTGGTAAAGGAAGAACCGTGTTCGAAAAGTCGTTTAGCCAGGAATGAATACATACTGAAATACCGAGTGCTACCAACGAATTCAGTCGACGGTGGTGGATTCATGTGCTCCATCCGGCTCAACAATCCGCGTTCATGGAATCTCCCATCATTCCATTCCTATTTTGCTCCTCTTGAAAGATGTCCATGTACCTATATACATAAAATGAAGTCTCTGGACTCTGGACATTCTCAGTCATCATCTCCGGCAAGCGGAGATCATCATCATCAGCGTCCCGCTACTAGTCGTCTGCAAGCCTTCATTAGTTGGAATTAGCGTCGATGTACCTACTTCGCTACAGGCCGTCGTTCCGGATTCCCCACCACGTCCAAGTGAGATGAGCTTGGTGCATATTGATCCTCCCTCTTACACTTAGGAATCGCGAGCCTGAAGGATGTCCACATTTGGGAGAGGGCACCGAAACTGTCAACAAACCTTCGAAGATTTCGTGTTGATGCTCTCTCTCTTTTTTCCTCTGACGGCCGATGTGACAAGTTTCCTGTGCCATTTGTAAACAAGGCCGACAAACACTGAGTATTTCTGGAATTGACCTCAGCGGCTCTACGAGAGTTACCCGCCGTTCGTTAAAGAGTCGCCGGAATCGTCGTCATCGTTCGTGGGACTGTGAGTGCCAACAGTTCGGGCTTGTGTCAGAGGCGGTTGAGTGAAACGAACCCATCTGATCAATGCAGTAATCTCGTATCAGAAGCCGTCTCGACCATGTCCGGCTATTACAACGTCGAGTGCAGCACAACGAACTCGAACGAAGATGACTACGACCCTTTCGGTTCGACGCCGAGTCAGCAGCCGAAGTCGCTTCCTAAGAAGGAACTCCTGCCACGCGCTCAGTTCTTCCACGGTAAGATCGACCGGCACGTAGCCGAGTGCCGGCTACAACAAGCGAATCAGAGGGGTGCGTATCTCGTGCGACAGTCGAAGAACGGATTTGTGTTGTCATTCCGAGGCCATTCCGGAATCCACCATTTCCGGATCGCTGCCGTGTGCGGCGACTTCTACATCGGTGGACGTCGATTCTCGACCCTGTCCGAGCTGGTCGGCTACTACACGCATGTGTCGGACATCCTGAAGAGTGAGAGGTTGCACTACCATGTCGTCCCACCGGAGCCTGCACCTCACAACCGCAAAGTCGTCGCCATACTCCCGTACAATAAGCTAGCGGATACCGACGAACTATCCTTCAAGAAAGGCGACGTGTTCGAAGTCGAGCAGGACATGGGGGACGGATGGCTATGGTGTAAGAAAGTTGAAGGCGAAGGGCTCAATCCCAACGAGGATTTACCTTCCGGTCTCGTGTACCACGAGCTCGTGGCCGACTTCACGGAAGAGTGCTATCCTTGGTATCATGGTAGCATCTCCGCTGTCGATGCGGCTGCGAAACTCGTCGAAGGGGGCGAAGGAAGTTTTCTCGTTCGTCCGTCGGATCGCTCTCCGGGAGACTACTCGATATTCCTCTTCATCAACAAATCAATCCAACGCTTCCGCATCGAGAAGAAGCAGAACACTTTCGTTATGGGCGGCAGATACTTCGATACTCTCGAGGCAATCATTACAAGGTATAAAACGGAACACATAGCCGAAGGTCATTGTTTAGGAGACCCTATCCTTAAAGCACCGCAGTTCGGGGTGCCGAACAGTCAGGCGAAAGTCGAAGAGATCTATTCGACTATCCAGCAGCTCCGGGAGCAGAACACGCGCACCTCGACCGCGATGAAAGGCTTCCTCCACAAGAAAACTGTCGATAACAAGAAATGGAAACAAGCCTGGTTCGTTTTGAACGCGGGAGAAGCGATGCTATATTTCTACGACAACCCTCACCGAACGAAACCCAGGGGTATTATCGATCTCGGTTGTTCGGGCCTGTACGCGGTCCACGACTCACTGTTCGACCAGCCTCATTGCTTCCAATTAGTGGAGCGAGCGTTGCCTTGCCTCAGCACGATCTACTATCTATCCGCACCGGACGGTGAGGCGGCTCAGGACTGGTACACGAGCCTCTCGAAAATCTGCAACCCACAATCCGGCCAGTTACGACATATCTGCTCGATGAAAGTGTGCCTCATCGAGGCCAAACGTCTTCCGCCGCTCCTGGTCCTGAATCCGTTCTGCGTGATGTCGTTGGATGATATAAAAATAGCGCGATCTCAGGTCAAATCAGCGCCGGATCCCGTCTGGGAGGAGGAATACTGCCTCGACGATATTCCCTCAAATATAAATAGCTTTACCGTGACCGTTTGCTCTAAAGGCAAGAAGGACAAAAACGCTGACATGGCTCAAGTCATTCTGGAGCTCAAAGACATGTGGACCATGGAGCCGATAGATAAATGGTACCCGCTGCAGGGAGTATCTCCTGTTTTAGAGAACTGGGGCTCACTACATCTGCGAGTCCATTTCTCCAAGGAAGTCATCCTCCCTATCAGCGAGTACGCAACGTTGCGTCAGCTCCTGCTTGAAGACGACTTCTCGCTGGTGATGGAAATTCAGGAAGTGTTCTCAAGAGAGACCTCGCTGCTCGCCAAGAATCTTCTGACTTTATTCATAGCCGAGAAGAAAGAAGCGAAACTTCTGAAAGCTCTGGGCCTGCGCGAGATCGAAAACGAAACGGATGCCAGTATTATGTTCCGTGGGAGCAGTCTTTTCACGAGCATGATTGATCTCTACATGAAGAACGGCGCCCTAGACTTTATTCGTAGCTCTATTTCGGCTCCGGTAGCCTCGATCGTCAACGGGAAACAGTCCTGCGAGCTCAATCCTGCGAAGCTGGACTCTTTGCACGACGCGTGCACGAATGCCGAACATCTGCTGGCGATGTTGGACGACTTCACGGAGAAAATCTTTGCATCCGTATACCAGTTACCTCTTTGCCTACGTTATTTGCTGGCTACATTCCAGAAAGCTATAATTAAACGATGGCCCAACGAGCATCTCCTTCGAACTCAGGTCATATCGTCGTTCATATTCCTCAGACTTTTGTGTCCGGCGATAATAAATCCTCATCAGTATAAAATTGTAACCTCGGCGCCGTCGCCGATGGCGAGTCGCAACCTGATGCTCGTTGCGAAATGTCTCCAAAACCTCTCGAACCTCGCCGAGTTCGGCCTCAAGGAGCAATGGATGGAAGTTGTGAATCCGTTCATTCTCAAGAATAAGTCTAAAGTGATAAGATTCATCGAAGAAATTTGCGCCGTCAATACAACCGATGTGCCCAGAGGGATGGGCGAGTGTGGAGCCCTCAAGGATACGGCGCGCGCTCTCGAATCTATTTTCAGTTTAACGATGTGTCATCTGTCAGAGGTCAAGAGCCAACCCCGACTCAAGAAACTTGCCATGGTGTGTGAGATGCTAGTCAAACATAAAGAAAAACTAGAAGCTCCTTCGACATGAGCTCGTGAGCGACATCTCAAACGTAAACGAAATTATATTGTCGGATAGGAGTTTCTCGTACTCAACGAACGATCTTTTAAACATGCCAAACGAACCGCTTTATCATTTCATCATAGCTTTTGTGTACACGGACCCCGCGTCCTTCAGGCTTAGGGTGTACTTGACATCTGTGTATTCGGCATGGGCTGAGAACGTTACAGCGGATGAGCGATCATCCAATGAATCGACACTGTGACCAGCCGTAGAGGCCAAACGCGGCCCATCGTGAATGTGAACGTGGTATTATTTTCGGGGAATGTAGTCTCATATCAATAGCAATTACCGTGCCATTGTGCCACACTCATGTGTTCTGATAGATAGAAGATACGGCTAAGGGGACTCTGGGATCGCACCCGAGGTCACAAATACATACGTAGAATCTCTATACATTCGAGCAGCTCTCGTGGATGTATACCAACATAGATCTAAATATATAAATTGATATACATAAATATACGAGATTGAATAAATGAAATTCTTTGAGCTATGCAATCCTCATCGCGGCGTTTCCTTTCCTCCGGGTGACAGTGATTTTCCCAAGGTTGCTCCGTTCCCGCCTTTCTTCGTCCAGGTTTCTCGAACGGCGCGATTCCCGAAACTCGTGATGGAAACGAGTATCCTCGATTCTATATTGGATCGAATTTCCCGGCGAATGTAGGGATCGCCTCGCTGAATACGATGGCTCTCTCCTCTGCGCAATCTTATCATTAGAATATTAGATCCTTCGGAGGCTTCGGAGAATCTAGTCCCGTCCTTGCTCCGGGATAGCTCCGGGGAGTTCGCGAAGCTGTGGCTCAACAATGTCCGTACCTTCCACGGAAAAAAAGAGCGGGTGAGGCCAAAGCTACGAGGGGCGCTTTCAGGGAGCGAGAGTACGTACCCCAAGATGGCGGCGAGATCCCTCAGCTGATCAGCCTTCGGCAGTCCACCCGAAGAAGCCCTCGTAAGGGCCTCTAATGGCAGATTCCGTTGGTCCTCTTTTTGTATTTTGAGGAAGGATCTGTCGACACCTAGCTAAATATGAGTTAGGATAGTTCGCATGCCAAGTGCGATGGTGGTCCCGGCCTCCGAAGGCCTTGGGACGATTTTTGCGACAGTACTCTGGCTGATATCTGCAGAAACTGGATTCGCTGCAAGGCCTCACCGATCACCACAATCGAGTTCCATATCACCATTGATTGAGTACTACGAGCCGTTGTTTTACGACTCCGCTCCGTTGAAGCTCCACGCCCGAACAAAGCGTGCTTCCGACGAGAAACGGGCTCATCAAGTTCCTCTGGAGCTATCGTTCAAGGCTCACAGAAGGTTTGTGCGCACAGTCCTCACTGAGTTTTGAGTTTCTTGCACGTCAGGTCGTTCTACAATGTATACGCCCGCAATTCGTCACTTCCCCACGCAGGGAACGGTTCTCATCGGCGGAGATCTGTCCGCGAGCGTATAATTCCTGCCCCCGTTCCTCTGACTGAAGCACCACAGCGCGGGAACCGAACCGTCGTCCCAAGTAATTTGTTACAAACAGCCGGACGTCGTTCTATAACAGAGGCCATTCACCGCGCTCCCCCGACGATCTTAGGTTCCTACATTCGACGTCAATCCACATCGCCATTCGCAAAGCTCGTGTAGGCGCAGGAGAAGGCACCGATTCCAGTTCTCACAATCAGCCGACGAGCTCGAAACGCTTGTGAATAGTATTCACTGAATACCCCCGTGGGCGATTCTCGGAGATACTCGACACGGCTCTGAGCCCAATCCGATGCGAAACGACCGGAAAAATCCAAAATAGTGAGGACGGTGGGGCGTTCACTTATATATCGATTCAAACTGTCGCCTTCGATATTTGCAGAAAGTTCAAATTATTGCTGCACCCTGACCCAGAAGACGTTTTCGCTGCCGACTTCAAGGTCTTTGAAGATGGGGAACAAATGGAATATGACACGCAGAAGGCTGTCCGAGGACGCATTGAAGGTGGGCCATTTCCGTGAACTGCTCGGGAGCATTCGGAGAAGCCCTCCGGGCGATCGATGACGCTCTCGTGCAGGTTTAAACATAATCGCGACTTTCGTCTCAGGCGTCCCAAGATCGATTGTACAGGGTGTGGTGACGTCGGACGGTCTCTTCGACGGTGTCATCGAGGAAATGGACGAAATATTCTTTATTGAGCCCGTCTCGCGGTATTTGACAGCAATGCAGCCGCGTCAATCAGGTGGAAATACCACCACTAACTTCCACAGCGTGATATACAAGGTGAGTGACATCCGCTTCGAGCTCGTGGTCTCAGTCCTACGAGTCTGCATCGGAATATATCCGTGACGATCTCCCTCCTTCTCGGAGGTGTTGCGTCCTCGAGAGAAGTTATCCCCGCATCGCTTGCGATGAACGCATCGGGTGTCGTGAAATCTCAGCTCAGTCGCTACAACTTTCGTTGATACTCTCGAGAGCGCGGAAGTAGGCGTTAATTTACTTACTTGCTTTTCCGTGAAAAAGCCTCCGTGCTCGAGGAACTCGAGCTCCCGAGAGAATATTCCCGTACGCTCCCTCCGTCGTTCTGCTCCCTTGACTCTTTTTCTCTGTCTTGCCGGCAAGCTGCGAAAGCCCACGCTCAGCATCACAGATGTGCAGCACTGCAGAGACCCATTAAGATAGTCTCCAGCCGCCGTTTCTCAGGCACTCCAGAATAGGAAACAAGCTCCCTCAGATCTCTTTCCGAGGCAAATGGCCCGAATTCAACTAGAGCAGGCGGATATGATATCTTGGATTGCGTGGCCTCGTTGCAGGGTTCAGACGTATTTTTCCCGAAAATGCAACGTGCGGTTCGGTTTCGTTGGACGGGAGTCTCGAAACCTATCCCATCTCGGCAGATCGACATCATCTCCTGAGACGCCGGAGAAATGTCTCGGGTATGTTTCCGACTCGATGCTTGTTCATCTCAATCGTAGGCCCGAGTTCTCGCGGGTATTCAGGGGAGCCACACCGAGGAATTTCATTGGCCGGCCCCATCGGTGAAGGAATTTCAATCAAATTCACTCTCCTAAGATTATCACGCTCCACCAAACAGGTACTTCAGGAAGCATTGTCCAGGAAGGTGATATGCTCAGCTACCGTCGAGATGATAAGCATTCGTATAAAGATTATCATACGGAATACAACGGCGGTCAAAAGACCATGCCGAGAGTCTCCCTTGAGCGCGGTGAGAAACCGAGGAATAACCGGACTACGTGCTCGCTGTATCTCCAAGCCGATCATTTGTTTTACGAAAAAATGGGCTCGCGGGAGGCGTGCATCGAAAGCATGACGAGACACGTTCAAAAGGTCAACTCCATTTACAAGGAGACCGGTAAGAGTCATGATACTCGCGAGAATACTCAGAACTACCCGCTAGGGGCGAGGCGCTAGGTAGGAATAGTTGCCAGGATACTCCGATGAGACGTGAAACGAGAGGAGGAACGTGCGTCGTTCGCTGAACTTTAGGATTAGCTCAAAGAGTGGATTATCAAGCCGGGCACCTCGTAAGCTCATCGAGGAAATTCCCGAGATATGCTGTTGTATAAATAATTGCTCTCGAGAGTGAAAGCTTGTCTTGTCCACTTCAGACTTCGATCAAGACAACATACCAGACAACATATCATTTCTAATCAAAAGGATAAAGGTGCACACCACGGCCAGCCTTAACAGCCCGGATTATCGGTATCCGGAAAATTACGGGGTCGAGAAATTCCTTGAGCTTTTTTCCGAAGAGGATTACGACAACTTCTGTCTCGCGTACATGTTCACGTACCGCGATTTTGAGGGTGGCACATTGGGATTAGCGTGGACAGGTGATATGAAGAACGCGGGAGGAGTTTGCGAGAAAAATGGAGTAAGTACGATGCTGGTGTCTCTTCTTGGCGGGCAGTCGACGAGTCGACCTCAGAGAAATGAAAAACAGATGGAAGGAGATTCGGAAGCAAGAAGTATGAGGGACTGAGCGTTCTCCCTTACGCTGCAGCATTATCGGGGATCTCTGAAGAGTCTGAACACCGGAATCGTCACGCTTCTCAATTACGGGAAACACGTTCCGCCAATCGTGTCGCACGTGACCCTGGCACACGAAATCGGACACTCTTTCGGATCGCCGGTGAGTGGGGGAATACGCTCGATTGAGTTCGGTCCCTCCTGGTCACCGGGATCAATCCGTCCAGGACGGGTTCTGGAGTCAAATCGGAGCCGTCTGAGAGGGAAAATCTTTGCGGCAAGATTCCACCTGATGGATTTTTCGATGTTTTCCAGCATGATCCTAAAGATGACACTCTTTGCACACCCGGAGGAGAGCAAGGGAATTTTATAATGTTTGCTCATGCCACCTCTGGTGACAAGGGCAACAACAACAGGTTTTCGCCATGTAGTTTGCGCTCGATTTATCAAGTTCTCAAACAGAAAGCGATCAACTCGAAAGGATGTTTCATGGGTGAGGCTTTAAACAGTTTCTCCTCCGATGCAGCTTCATATTTTTCCCACTTATCGTACAGTGGTTCAGCGAGGATCTTCTCGTTGCGGAGCTACGCGGTCTACTTATAAAGGAGATGGTCACAAATTGAGCTCCAGAACGTATTAGCCCCTCATGTTTCTCCTACAGAGCCACAATCATCGATTTGTGGAAATGGCGTTGTTGAGGACTCAGAAGAGTGCGACTGTGGTTGGGAGGATGAATGCAAGGAGACTTGTTGTGTGCCTCAGACGGGAAGGACCAACAGTGACGAAGTTCCTTGCACGTTGAGGAAAGGTGTTGTTTGCAGCCCGAGTCAGGTGAGCCAAGACGCCTCGGTATTCGGATCCGTGCTGCCCAGACGCGCCCGAGCTTTCCGGTTCAGAGGTTGCGAAACTTCCTTCCCACTCAATTCGGGGACGATTTCTAGGGACCATGTTGTACTGATGACTGCAATCTCAAAATCGGAGACAAATGTCGAGACGACAACGGCTGCAGGAGCTCCGCATTCTGCGATGGAGGAGGCCCGAAATGCCCCTCGTCAATCAGCAAACCAAACAAAACTATTTGCAATGACGAGTTTGTTTGTTATATGGGGGTAAGTATTATGTTGGAATTAGTAGCCGTGATTGTTGAGCCTTGAGCGCGTGCGACGCGATGATGTCATGATTGGGGAGGTCCGGGGGGTTCGACCTCCGCCGCTGCCGTGATGATTGCGAAGGAAAATCGTCAAGGAGAACAGTGACGACGACGACGGGAATCTCTCGCTCAAGTCCGAGTATCGAAAGGTATCCCAGGTCGATAATGGCCACGTCTTCCGTAGGAATGCACGGGATCTATCTGCACTGCGTACGGCCTGGAGTCCTGCCAGTGCGATCGGGGAGTACACGATGCTCCCACGAAAGCTTGTGAACTTTGTTGTCGGTTGCCAGGCGAAGGACAAGCCTGTCGATCTTCTTTTGAGTGGAACACGCCTCCGTATGACGTGCCCGACCTCTTCGCGAAGCCGGGAACGCCTTGCGATCAGTACAACGGATACTGCGATGTTTTTCAGCGCTGCAGAGAGGTCAGTTGGAGATTGCAATTCGAAACTGTCGACAGAAGACAGTGCTTTCTCAAGCACGAGTTTGCCAGACTATACAAGTAACGGTACAGTTGTTCATTGCGCTCAGCAGATCGATCCCTCGGGTCCGTTGGCTACGCTGCGGAAGCTGTTACTTTCGACAAGAACCATATCTTCATTAACTCAATTGCTGACTCAATATGCTCCGCTCATGGTTTTCTCGGCGCTGTGTGTGTTTGTGCTGTTCATTCTGGCACTGCGCGCTCTTTGTCTGCCCACCGATGAAACCAACACCCTCTACTACAAACAAGGACTCGGTCTCAATCAGACTAATGATCAGGTACGGCAGGAGCTAAGTTACGATTGCTATTTCTTTGTGCGAAGCATTCATCGCAATGAGTGTTTCTCGTGTGGGCGTGGTTCGCCGACGAAAATACCTCGGCCACTCAGCTCCTCATGATTATTCTCTGGACGGTGAGCGGAGATTACTTACGTCACTCAGGGAGCCCGATCGCGCGACCCTTCTTGGTGCTCTGAGCGCTCTATCGTCTCGTTCTGGGTTTGTTCTCGAATATGAGTGGAATGTTCTGTCTGCAAAGGAATGGGAGCGGAATCCTGCGGGGGAGGAATCGCTGGCTTTCCACGGAACAAGGGCTCCCGCACACTCCACCATTAGCCGACTGGAAGACTGAGGGTCATCTCGCCGGAGCTCATTGATTATCGTTTTCAGGGTTCTTTACGTGGTCCGATAGGGATCACAACTCCAACTGCATCGACGGTCAGACCTCCGCTACGCACCGGTAACACTGTGAGCAGAATACTACTGCCATCTAGAAACCGATCGGCCGGACAACATATCCCAAGCGAGCAGAGCTCGACTCAAGCCACAGTCAGCGCGCATCCCCAGAGCTGTCTCCTCTCGTTGGCGGCGTCTAAGAGCTCCACAACAACGACCAAAGTTATCCGCAAACCAGCTGAGGAAAACTTTGACTCGCAAGGAATCGAACCGTCCACTTCAGTGTCCATAGGTGAGTGCAGCCCTAGTCGAATTGGGCGGAGAATGCGTCTGAGCCAATGATTTCAAAGCGAAAGAGAAACTCCGGAGATTGCAGCGTATAATAGATCTTCCGATATAAATACTGGATCTTCCGTTCCGATTTTTCAGCTGGTGCTCTTCGATCACGACTGTCTGCGGCGTTGAACGGAAAAACGCCTAAACGTTGGGTGTGACCTAATTGTTGATACTTTTAGCATTTTGAAAGAGTGGATGGATGAACAAGGGTGTATGTGAGAATAGGAAGGAAGCGCAATCATGATGTCTCGCCTTCCCGTGCAATTGAATGATCAGTTTTCATGTATAGACTCTGAGACTATCCGTCTCGTCGGAACGGGGGAACATCGTCACCATGTACTCTAAGTCTGTCTGAGACAGCCTGCATGTAATTTCATCAGAGCTGAGAGCATAATCGATTGAGATCAGCTCCGATTGTGACCACCGTTTCCTAGACACTTGTATATACACGCTGTCGGAATAGGGAAGCGGCGAGAAGACAGAAAAACAGAGAAGTATTATTATCGACGGGAGTATTACCATGAAAGATATCAATAAAAATTTAATTCATGTTTGAGCTTTATCGGCCGCATTCCCTCTGCTGAACGGAATAGGTCGAGACGTCTAATTCATCTTGGGGGATCGAATGAAGTTAATCTCCGAGCAGCTCTCACAACCGATCAATAATTCATCTGGACCCTTTCTGATTTGGCTTTGGCCCCGCGAGCCGAGCCGTACCGAAACTCTAAGACATGAGAGGACAACGAACGAGTTTCCTGCCGCCCTGCCATCACGTTTCACCACCTTTCTCGCTTCGACCGCCGATCAGGCGGAAGATTCGGACTGCTCTCGGTCGCGGAAACTCTACAGAAGGAAGACAGCCGGATTCTGGCGTGGACTAGTTTTATTGTCAAATACGCGAAGTAATTGGAACTGTCATTCGAGTTCGGCTTCAGCCGGAGTTTGCGTGGAGGAAGGCTTGGTTTGTACCGTGGACAGCGGGACCGGCGAACGTCTTGTGCTTGGTGAATCCAGGAGCGTTGACGGTATATCCGTGGGAGGGGGCAAAGTTCCCGCGGGCTTGAGGAGGCTGACCGGGGGTAAGTATTTCTCACTTGAGAATAATCGTCACACACCAATTACAAAACTAGACTTACTGCTTGAAACTTCACTCACCGCGTATTGGAATCGAGGGGGTTCCCGCTGGATGGTCGGGTTGAAGGGGCTTCCCGAAAGGCCGGACGAGCCGACGATTCGGCCTGTGTTCCCACCGAAATAGTTCGAAAGAGGAGCAGGAGCAGAACCTCCTCGATTGGAAAGACTCACAACGGTGGTACCCAAGCTATTGCGGGGCACCCCAGCACCCACAGCTTGTCGCGGGAGCGCCGCATTCGAGCTCGTCAGAAGGCGACGCTCTCCGATCACAGAGCCGGTCGGACCGCCAACACTTCCGACATTCGATAAAGTGAACGCTTTTTCAGTGAGCGTGATCCTAGGCTGAGAGGTGTAAGTGTTCGACAGAGGAACGTAGTTCGATGTGGCAGCGAACGCGGGACGGGGAGCGGCCAAGGCGGGTCGAGAAGCAGCGGCGGAATTCGAGGAAAGTCCCGCTCCGTAGCCGAAGGTTGCCGTGTTGGTTAGTCCAGGGGCGTTGATAGTGAACCCATGAGAGGCAGGGTCAGAGTACTGAGCCACCGCTACGCCAGCCAACGCAGTCAACACGTACTGCAGGCGGAACTTAGATTACTCGAGTACCTCAAGGAATGCGCCGGGCTTCGTATGAGAAGGGAGGAAAATCGAATGCGCACAAGAGACGAATCGGCCGTTCACTTACCAAAGGCTTCATCTTTGAGAAATGTGACTTGATTTCAGTACCTAGCTCGTGTTATATAGTTCACTGACGAGTCTGGGAGAGGCGGAAGGTCGACGTTAGTTTATCAGAAGAATTCGTCGAATATTCTGCCGATTCACCGCCTCTCAGATTTTGTCGAGCGTCATCCTCTCCCTCGTCAGGGTTGCCCCTTCGGATACGTTAAGCGGGCACCGAACTATCAGTGCGCATCTTCTGATCTGTTGCGTCCAAATAGTTAGCGTCTGGATCCGAGACAGAAATTAGGGACAAGCTGGATCCCGCAGCTTCTTCTTGAATGACGTAATGAGGATTCGAATGGATCCAGGAACCTATGAATTATCGGGATTATCTCGCCTTCTCTCTCGATCATCCCTAATTTTCTGTCCCTCAGACATTGGGGTGGTCGCCCTTGCTTATGCCGTCTAATGCTCCCTAATCTAGCTATTGACACATCGCGGCCCAAGATGGCACGTGTGGACAATCTGGCGCCCGGATATTCCATGCGGGTGCTTGGCTGAATTTTTGAGTGAAGATCGCCGCAGATGTCAACACCTCAAGGTTTCCGCTGTGCCTACGCACCATCGGATACTCGAATACTCTGATACACTTTCGACGGCATCCGGGAGCAAATCAGGCTTCAATGCCAAACGTGCCATACTTATCATCGATTCGGTCTGAGATTCCGGATGAATCCCGAGAATTCCAGAAGAAAGTCTCGCATCAAACTCTTTGCGCGCTGAACTTTCCGGAGAAATACCACGACACAATCCCGCGGTATTTGCCGTCGTCATCAAGCTCCGATTCCATCAGAGATTCGTCACAAGAGGGAAACGAGTTTCCTTGTATGAAATTGGGGACTCTTCCCAACAGTCCCTGAGCTCCATCACTCCGGAGCTCACAGCGCTCGTTCGAATTGCGGCGGAGCGCTCAAGCGAGCTTCTTCAAGAGCTTATCGCTATAATGCCGTGTAGCTCGGTAATCAAAGGATCGGACGTGGCTCGACAAGTGAGCAGAGTGTTTAGTAGGACAGTAACTGACTACTGTTTCGCCTTTATTGCACTATTTGGTTCTCGAGAGAATTATTGCTGTAAGTTGTCGACTGATGTGAGCAGAATCTTAAATAGAAGATCGTCACGACGCTCCCCGCAATCATCTGATTCGACATTTGTCTTGTGACGCGATGTCTGACGCTGAATACCACGGAGTTTCCCCGGGCTCGATACTGTCGGAGACGGCTGACAATTTCCAGAGGCATACCCTCATGCCATGGAACGGACGGGGAACCAGAGTATCCTCGAAATATCCCGGGGAAAGGCTCTCGCCATTTTTCTCTCTTTACCTTTCTTTCTAACGAAGATAGCCTCAATTCCCTCTCAGGAATCGAGCTTACACATGAGCGATATCCGAGAGTTTTGGGCCTGCTGAGGGATAGAGCTAGTGAACGCTCGTTTTCTCTCGCTTCCCCGGTTGGCAATGTGATTCCCAATCTTTCAAACCCGCGGAGAAGTGACGGTATTCTGGAAACGCGGAGCCTGCGAATGAGAGAGGCACAGATAAAACACCATCCGAGGAGTATCTCCAAGAGCAGCTGAAACCCAGCACAGAAAACAGGATAGGTCCCCTACCTACGAAGGACTTTACCTTGTAATAGAATCTCTCTCCTCGCAAAGTTGGATTCTGAGCGTAGCTCACTGGGCTCCTTCTTCCCTGGTATAAATTCGGCATGTACACCGGAGCTTGGAAGGCGGCCACATTAGAGTACGACCGGAAGTTCTGCGGAGCCGATCCATCGAACTTTGCGTAGGGATTCACGTTCCTCATGCTCCTTGAAGGCTTGTAGCCTATAGCTGTGCGCCCGATGCTCACGACATTATGTGCAGGAACGCCGAAGCCTTCAAGAATATAGAATAGCCCTTATAACAGAACTTTCTTCCGCAAACTCTCTGATTCATTCGAAAGAATCACCAAACCTTGTATCGCGATCGCCATGCTCAATAGCAGGAACGACATCAACAGGATCTGTAAAACATCAGGACGAATCCATGAGATCCAGGGTTGAAGACTGAAGAGAGATGAGCGCCTAGAAGTTTTATGATGCTGATTTGGGCTACTGCGAGGAACAGTCGAGCTGGAGGGGATACCTCATTCATCGTCTTCATCGCGCGGAATTTCCACCGAACCAGTTAGACTTCAACACCTCTGACTGCTGCTCGATATATTTATATACTGTTTCTCCCGATCATTTGCGTCGGAGGGAGGGTGTTATCGGCTCTGGAGTACTTATCTCCTTTATTGGATTCATTATTTTGCGTGGAACGAACCTCCATATCGACGAATTCCAGAATCGCTGGGGACCGTCAACAGAGTGACTCATCCAGAGGACTACGGACAATACTTTGCGGCGTGGGCGTGGGAATATCATTTGTTCCTTATTATGAGCCATTTACCAATTTCTCTACAAAGAGAATCCTCTCCTTGCCTGTCACGATGTATCCGTGGCAGTTCGAGCCGGCCTGTCCATGAGAAGTGAAAGAGCTGAGGATCAGGTCCCGCAGGATTTCCCAAATGTTCTTCCTATTCCGAGCAGGAACTCTGCGAGACTTTTGTCAACGGGCTGATGGTTCCGGGGTCTGAGACGGGGTTGAATTGATGATTGATCGGAAAGGTTTGCGTTAAGGATAAGCCGCCGTCCCAGCAGATAGGGATCAGCGCCGAAGTATTTCGAAGGTACCTGCGCCGCTCCGTCTGCGATGCGAATGGTTTAAGCTTCATAACTGATCCGCCGATTCTGGATCGAAGTCTCATTCGTGAAACTCAATGACGTCCCACCGGAGATCACAAGGTGCCAACGTAGGCATGTTCGCGATCCGATGAACAGGCGCCGCGATGACGGGCCACTTTATTTTTCTTCAATGCCAGTCGGAATCTTGAGATCGAGCACGTAGACAGGAGTGAGCGAGAAAGAGACGTTCAGGGAAAATTCCTGGGCAAGCAAATCAACGGAACTCTGATTGCTATCGCATATCGCTCCCTAAGAATTCCGCTTTTGAAAGGGTCCGTACGGCGCGGTGTCCAGTCTTGCCGACGGAGGGCTTTCCCTCTATCGTTTCGGAAAATTCCAGATGCGAGGTTCTTCGTATTCGGAGCGATGGATCCGAGGGAAGAGATGAAAGATGCGAAAATGATGAGCCCGGAGAGCGATGGTCTCACCGTCATGCGCGATCAAGTCCCCATTTTATTATGAAATAATAATTATAATAAAAGATTTCCTGAATTAAACAAGTTCGCCGCAATTAACGATTTGTACAGTCGTCTTCGGTTGACCAGATGTTGTTCCACATGCCTCCATTTTTTTGAGAATTTCCAAACCAGCTGTGACCTGTCCGAAAACGACGTGCTTGTCGTCCAGCCATTCAGTACGAGCAGTCGTCATGAAAAACTGAGATCCTGCAGGGATGAATTGAGTAAGTTTCCCTCTCAGAGCCCAAAAGGAAGCGGAAAGAATCCTTCTGCCGCCCTCAAACCTACCATTGGTGTTCCGCCCAGAGTTCGCCATAGACAATATTCCGGGTCCCGTGTGCTTGAGGACGAAATTCTCGTCATTGAATTTACCGCCGTAAATTGATCGACCGCCGGTACCGTTCTTATTGGTGAAATCTCCGCCTTGACACATAAAACCTATGGATTGAGAGAGGGGCGGTATGAAAAAGGGAAAATGTCAGAGAAGTAAATTTTATGACCTCTTGGGTCTCCCGCCCGGCCCTCCTCGAGCCGCGAGGTACGTACCTGGTATGATACGGTGGAAAATAGAGTTTTTATATCCATATCCTTTCTCATGCGTGCACAAGGCCCGGAAATTCTCCACAGTCTTCGGGACGATATCCTTCCGTAAAGACATTCGGATGCGTCCGGCACTCTGACCGCCGATGGCAATGTCAAAGTACACCTGCAATGATTAGGCGTTTGTATCGATCAAGTGCGTCCCTCCCCCCCAACCTCCGGGTGTTCCTGACATGTTTCGTACTGGTCACAGAAAACTTCTCATCATCGTCGGGTACCTGAACGATTTCCGCGCTCTCTTTCTCCTGGGCGGCAGTTGCCTGTTCAATAGTGACTTCCTTACTGGATCCATTCTCGACGGACGCCGCTGTCTCCTGGCCGGCTTCGGCACTTCTAACGCTGCTACCCGCGTGTTTCGACAGCCACTGATCATCGCTCCAGACCGGTCTGAAAGAAGTCAAAGGTTGACACACATGGACCTGTTCTGGAACCTTTAATAAAGAGTTTCGTTGTCGCTGAAGGAGCCGAGCTGATGGAGCTGCCGATATTTCGCTCAGCGTTACTAGCAATCAAGTGAGAACCGGCCGGAAGCCAATTTTCCTCACACCGATACCTCGAGGAGCCGTCCTTGATCGCCATAGGTTTTGCCAGGTTGACGCGAATTGTTCTTCCGAAGAGTTCTCCGTCGTTCATGTTGTCCATCGCAGCCGCAGCGTCCTCGGCCAGCTCGAACTCGATGAACGCGAAACCTCGATGTTTTTCGGTTCATAGTCCAACGGAATCTGAATACCATTGATGTCACCTGCGATATGGAGAGGATAAATTCCTGAGCATAGGGCTGCTCCCGAGATGGATCTTATTCCGGGATGGATCTTATATGAGTGACATGGAATATGATTCAGACTTTGGTAACGGCAATCGAAACATTTGGCAACAGGGCTCAGGACATCGAATCGAGAGCGCATTAACTTACCAAAAGGGTTGAACGCGGCTCTGAGCACGTTCTCATCAACCTCCTCAGCCAAGCCTCCCACATAGATGAGCTTCTTGTTGTTCGACATGATATACAAATAGATCCAAATATATTCGCGAGCTCAGGACTCTTCCTCTAGGGGGAAATGCCGGCTTGCACTTTCAGTGTCGGGGCGCAATACGTATTTCCGAATCGTAAGGAACTCCGCGCCGATTCCTCGTCAACTCCGTGATGCCCGTCAATCTCACATCAGAGCGATATCATTCGGGAGAGCTCGCTTTGGTCTCACGAAATTTTCATGCTTGGGGCGAGGAAGAAATTTACGGACTTTCGAATTGTTGAACTTTCGAGCGGGGCTCTGGAATGTTTATTTACACACCGAATATGTTCTGCTACGCCGCGGCCTCTCCGCCTCTCCTCTCCACTGATGAGTCCTTGGTCACAGACAGCCGCCAGCGAGCTCGGCAGCTACGCGAATGCGGATTTTGATATATGTAGCCGATACCGCGTCTCTGTAATTTCAGAAACTGGTCGGAAGCGCCTAGTTGAGGCGCTTAGGGATAATAGTCAAAGATGCGGACTCCCTGCATGAGAAATAGAAGATACGAAGTCGGTGAATCGACGAAGTATCCTTAAGGGTGATGTAGCGCGAATACGCGTCGACTCCTTGTTCGTCATTTTTGCGCCTGGATGATTCGCTATCGTCGTAAGGTTGCTATGAACTAATTCGCCAGATATTCGTACGAATATTGTAGTTCGCGTCGAAAACAGATGGCCTGGGAAGAGAAACTCGTCGGAGGACACCAGATTTCCCGTATGAAGCATTGGTCACGCTAAATAAAGGCTTCGGGTTACCCTCTCCGATCTCGCGGTCAAAGTGTCACTCATTCCGCTAAGAGGGGCGAAATTGTTGAACTCTCTCCCTCATTGTTCCCCAGATGATGATACAGATTCCTGCTAGATGACCCAATGCTACACCAGCGACCCACGGTCTCCATCGCAGAAAAGGCTGAGTCGGGCGAAAAATCCCAGAACATCCCCTCCCATGAATTCTCGAAGACTAGGGGGCGAATTTATAAATCATTTATTCTCGATCGCACAATGAGCGCATCGAGGGCGCGCGAGGGGTGTACAGTCTAACGTTCTACCTGCCGAGAATCGGAGTCATCGCCCGGGCTACGCAGACCTCAGAACTGGGAGTGACTGTGGTACAGGACGGTATTCGAGGCTTTCGAGACGCTTCGGAGTCGACCCCCCTCAACCGACTGAATCATGATGTGTCTCTCGAGTCTACGGCCCGTGGAAGCCGTGTGCTGTGGGAGAAGGGGCGATGCAGTACGGCTCGTTTTTGAGATCCAGCGAATCGGACTCATGGAGAGAACGTTTCAATCGAAGCGGCGAAGAGCATATTTCGCCGACCTGCGCGAGGAGGTATCGATGGGGATCCTGGACTTTTGGGTTAATCAATGACGCTGACTGAACTCTCGGGGGGTTTCGGAAGGGAATTATCCGGAAACAGTTGGCCAGCCGGCCGCCGGACAGCCCCACCTCACGACAGCAAAAATCATCGATCCCGTGGCTCCATGAATATTCATTTTATTTGATTCGCTTCCCGCTTATGGCAGCGCAATGAATCGGAACAGGGCTCCGATGGTATACCATTGGATGCGTCTCTCAAACGGGTAGCCTCTTGGCTGCTGAAGAGTTCCTGCCTTTTGATTATATGTAGATCGCCCTGTCTCTCTCCTGTCGGTCTCTCATTCTTGAGGAGAGGCTTTGGAACGGCCGCTTAAAGACCTTCCCGCGGCGAGAGACCTACTGAGAACGGCCATCTTGGATTAACATTGCGTAGTCGGGATCGGACTGAACAGCTGAGTGAAATTATGTGAAAATCGTTTCCGCGAACAGTATTTGAGTGGAGCTCGTCGGCCCAGAGGAAAGCCGTGAGCTCTGCGGTTGTTGCGGAGTTTCGCGTAGTGATATCCTGCGTGTGCGATCGCTCGGTCGCTCGTATTTCTGTCCGAGGGACCTCGGAGGCCCTACCACCGAAAACAAATGGCTGACTCGGACCCTGAAACCCTCCTGGAATGGCTCTCCATGAGTCAAGGGGAGGAGCGCGAAATGCAACTCATCGCACTCGAACAGCTATGCATGTTGCTTCTGATGAGCGATAACGTCGACAGATGCTTCGAAAGGTACGGTAATACAGTGCTTGTTCGAAATAGATCACGGTGCCCATTTCTCAAGGCCTCCATTGAGAAAGTTTTCTTGCAACGATCGACTCGAATGACTTCATCACCCGCGGGAATCGCTAATTTAGGCAGAGATCGCCCCTACCATGAAGAGCAGCTCGGGTAACGACGGATATTCCATTACGAAGCTGCCTCTTGACTAACAGCAGTCAAGTCATGCATGGCCGAGAAAAAGAATAACCTATTCAATGACGGACTTTGCTCCGCGTTGCATCAGATCTCGATGAATGTCTAGGGAAGAATTTGCCGGGGCGAATTCGATCCGCGTTATTGTCCGTGCCCGACGGACCCTCCTTTTCGCCGAAATTAGAAACCAACATCGATTTGGAACGAGAATTTCTTCGAGCGTGAAATACGACTGGCTATGCTTCGTGACGAGTGGCGGTCGGAAGAAGACCTCGTCGTGACATTTCTCGTCTCCGATGTCGGAGGAAACAGCTCCATTTCCTCCATGGGAGAGATTTCTAGATGTTGTCTCCGAACCCGTACGACTACAACCCGATGAATAAGTCAATTTCAGCGGTCAATTGCTCACGATCCACGATCAGCCGGGTCTTCGAAACGAAGTCCACCTGTGCCCCTCTGACGAAGCGCATCTCGATAGAATGTGCCCTTTGTCCGTAAAATGAAACAATAGCAAGAATATCCAGACATCGGATGTCCTGGCCCCAGGGATAACCTCCTACGGTATTCCTTGATGAGGTTTTGTTCTGTTCTGTAGTGTAGAGCCGCAAAAACGGTGGATGACTGGGTCTCCCCGGTGGTCGTCTTATTTGTTTGATCTTTTTTCTGATTCCGTGTTCTAAAGTGAGCCTCGAACGTAGAATGACACCTCGGCCTGCGCGTTAGGTTGTCGGTGACGTCCGGTCGTTTGACGTTCACGATGAGAGGAAATTTCCCCTGAGACCAAGCCTAAAGAACAAACTTTGACTCCACACAGGCTATCTGATGTCACTAGCCCTAGCATTTGCGGAAGCCGGACGATGACTGATACCTCCGGTTGGTTCAAAATCGTCACTGATAAGAAGTGACGAGACCATATCGAGGTCTCCTAGTGTTGGAGATTCACTCTACGCGACGAGGCGTCGGACGCGCACTGCGATTGGTTCGCGCTCGAGATCCACGCCGCAAGTCCCGTGAGAATCGTCTAGGGGTCGCCAGTATCCATATGATTCCAGTATCCAGATATCACACGATTCGATCCTATTTCGACGGCCAAAGTTTCACCCAGAAGGGAACGCATCCTTCTTTCTTGTAACTCGCAAGACGTTTGTGGAAGTTACCGAGCGAGTCCTACTAAGCTGAGGTTACAATGTTGTCGAAGGCTTGAATCATATGAATTGGACTGGCTGCATCTTTTTCCGCGTTGACGACGATTTCCAAATCACGCGGATTTGGTCAGACGCGCAACGTTGCGTTTCGCTGCCTCGAGCAGTGTAGCTCAACGACGGATGAATCTTCGTTCTTCCGCCGTAGTCTACTCCCTCTTGCCGTGAATGTCGCCGCGATTCCTCCGTCTGCGGCGTCGTCGCCCAGAGCTCAAGGATGACGAATTCGTTGCCACATGCTGCGGGGTTGACGGAGATCCTGATCCTGAGTGAGCCTCCTCATCGAGCTGCCTATCGATTGGTTCGTCGATCGCTCTCATTCAGACGCTAGTCCATTTCGCTAATCAATAGGTGTGCGATGAACCGTGCTACAGAAAATGTATGAAGAGCCGTCGACGTTGCCAACGCGGGACGCCCACGCTTATCAGTAATCAGGACACACGACGCGATATAGCTGTTCACTCAAATCAGAACACTCCCCATGTATTCTCAATCCCGAGACGGGATGCGGTTTCCTATCTACGCCTTGAGGCATATCTACCGATGACGTCATGGGCTCGAATTCCGGAATTTCACAGAATTTTCTCGAAGCGGTCCCACGACTGTTCTGGAAGTTTCGAGTCGGTGTCTGGTGTTCTCGCTAAAGATGGGTTCGCCCTCAATCTTGAAATGGGTTCGAAGCCCTGATTCCCGAAGTGAGAAAAAGGTGACGAAACTGCGCGGCTTCTCGCGATGGTGACAGTAGTCTTGTTTCGTTCCGATCGGCACCGCCGCGCCGTCCCGTTGCCGAGAAAATGTTTATTTGTAGTTTTGTGGAGCAGTCGATTTTTACACAATGGACTTCTTGTCGTTTGACCGCCTTAACAGCAGTTGGACTGACGCTTTTGTTACAGTGCAAGCGCTTCAAGCACAGAGCCAATTGATGACGATAGGCGACATCTGTGAGGGGTGACTGCTCGCTCTCGTTGCTACCCAATACGCGTTGTTAGTGCGACTTATCGCGTTGGTACTTGATTGTCCCATCGCGAACAGTCGCGGCTGCTCATTCGCAAACAATTGGATAAACTTTCGTAGCTCCCTATGATAGTGGATACGTGCGGAGTCAGAGTTGGTCAGCTTGAAACGAGCCCACGGGAACCCCCGATCGGGGAAGTCTGGAAGAAAAGAGAATCCGTTGGTTTCTTCATGACTCATTACATCCGAAAGAGCTGGAGTCTTAGCCCTCCAGACGAGCTCGTATGTTCAATGATTTATGGTTGCCAATTGGTGCCGCAAGTCAATATCCTCTAGCAGTGAATTCTTCGAAGTAGTAGACTTAGTTTCCTGGGAACAGATCCTCGGGATGCTCCGCGCGGGAGTCACTGGCCGCCCGAACGACTCTGAAAGTCAGACGGGAGGCTTTCTGAATCGTTTCCACTTTGCTGATCGATAACTTTTGTCTATCTTCCTTCCAGCTGCCCCCCTCGAACTTTTCTACCAGCCTTATGTCGAATGTTCCTCGACGAGCAGGCGCCGGACAACGTGTTGGAGGTCACTGCGAGAGCTCTCACCTATTTTCTCGAGGTCAGTATCTACATTCGATTCCGCTGCAGGACGTATCGATCCGGAGAATTATGGTTGTCATTTAATGAACGATCCACTCTCGTCCTGATAGGGGATCCGTGGAGGATCCCCGGGATGTGACGGGGAAGATTCTTTGATTTCCTCTTACGCGGCGATCATTCTCCCCATCAGGTATCGGCTGAATGTACCAGGCGCATAGCGGCCGTGGACGGAGCCATCAAGGCGATCTGCTCGAAGTTGGTCAGCACAGATGTCAAAAATTCCAGAACATCCAAAGATCTTTCGGAACAATGCGTCAAAGTGTTGGAACACCTCTGCTCGCGAGAAGCCTCAGCCGTTTTCGAAGCCGGCGCTCTCGAATGTGTTCTACAATTCATTAAGGAAAACGGGTCCTTCGTCCATCGGGACACGTTGCTGAGCGGCATGTCTGTGGTCAGCCGGCTTTGCGCCAAAGTTGAGCCTGCCGACAATTCGAACCTCGCCGCCTGCGTCGAGAGCCTGAGCGCCCTTCTCGAGCACGACGACTCCTTCGTCAGTGACGAAGCCCTTCGTTGTTTCGCCTCGTTGGCTGATCGCTTCGCTCGACGAACCATCGACCCCGCGCCACTGGCCGAGAAGAACCTCATTGACCAACTGTTGACGAAAATGATCGCCGTTTCGAAGCAATCGCAGCCTGTCTCGATGGCCACCATCATATCGCTCCTATCGACGCTATGTAGGGGCTCCCCATCTGTCGCCCACGATTTGTTGAGGTCCCGACTACCCGAGGCGTTGGAAGCCGCCCTGAAATGCCCCGACGACCGGAGCGTTCTCGACGCGATGCGGCTCGTTGATCTTCTCTTGGTTCTGATTTTCGAGGGTCGCGTTGCCTTGCCGAAAGCAACCGGCTGCACTCAGAGTGCCGCGTCGAGAGGCTCCTGCACGGAAAGAACGCACAGACAATTGATCGACTGCATCCGATCGAAAGACACCGATGCTCTCATCGAAGCGATAGAGAACGGTTCCGTCGACGTCAACTTCATGGACGACGTAGGTCAGACGTTATTGAACTGGGCGTCGGCATTCGGAACCCAAGAAATGGTCGAGTTTCTCTGCGAGAGAGGCGGAGACGTGAACAAGGGACAGCGGTCCTCATCGTTACACTACGCCGCTTGCTTCGGTCGGCCCGAGATCGCCAAAGTGCTGTTGAGACATGGTGCTAATCCGGACTTACGGGATGAAGACGGAAAGACCCCCCTAGACAAAGCTCGAGAACGTAACGACCAAGGACACCGAGAGGTGTCGGCCATTCTGCAATCTCCCGGTGAATACATGTGCACGAACATGGGTGTCAATTCAGCGCTGGATAGTCTCGAGACGCCCGGACAGGACGAACCCCAAGAACCTCAAGGAGACTTGGCTGTTGCGCCGGTTTTCCTCAAAGCTTTGATACCGGTTCTTTGTCAGATCGAGCAGCATTCTCTTGTCAAATCCGTTCAGCGATCGGCGCTGAATCTATTGCGCAAGATGCTTCACTATATCGACTCGGCCCTCTTCACCGAAATGTCGTCAACTGATCTGGCGCCGATGCTCGCCGGCGTCATATCACAGGTCATCGACGCCGAAGAAGAAGATCAGGACACATTGCTCATCGCACTACAGATGGTCAAGGACATTCTTAGCAAGTCCCGAGGCACCTATATAGAGTATTTTTCACGTTTAGGTGTTATTTCAAAAATCGAGATTTTATCACTAAGTGCACAACATCCCGAGGCCGAATGCTCGATGCAGGACAACATCGATAGCTCGTCGAACGAATCGACCGATGCGACGGAAGTAGTGGCGGGGAAAATCTATCATTGGAAAGACTGGAGCATAGTCCGCGGCCGCGACTGTCTCTATCTGTGGAACGACTCCGCCGCTCTGGAACTCTCGAACGGTTCGAACGGCTGGTTCAGGTTCATTCTCGATAACAAACTACAAACAATGTACTCGAGTGGATCGCCCGAAGGGGGCGCGGACTCTTCGGAGAATCGCGGAGAATTCGTCGACAAGCTCCAGCGGGCTCGGAGCCAGTGCAAACTCAACCTACCGTCGCAGAGCATCCTCACCCACCCAAAAACGTCGAAGACTAAGCTTGTCGTTGGGAATTGGTCGCTGTCGAGCCGATCGAGTCAGGAGCTCGTCATTCACAATTCGGATGGTCAGCAACAAGCCACCGTACTTAAAGAAGATCTGCCCGGTTTCATTTTCGAATCGAATCGCGGCACCAAGCACACCTTCACGGCTGAGACTCTCTTAGGTGAGTTTTGATCCGCTTCCGCTTGGCAGCAGAGATTCTCAGCCGAATGCTCGGGACGGTCTGATATCGCTAATGGGGTGCAGTTGTAATTTCAGGATCCGATTTCGGCTGTGCCTCAAGGGTCGGAGGCAAATCGAAACGTCTTCAAACGAAACTGGAAGCCGTCAAACAAAAGGTTCACATGCTCGCCAAAGAAATCTGCGAAAAATTCCAATCGTGCGCCGAGAGCAAACCCCGCCCCGTGGTGCTGGAGCTCAAAGCCATGGTCGACGAGATGCGTCAGATGGAGAACGTCGAGGCTTCACTGAGAAAACTCAACCGGCTCCTGCTCAACGAGAAGGAGCTTGACGTGGCACAGCAAATATCTGCATTCGAGCTGCATAGCTCGGGTCTCGTTGCCGCTCTTCTTCAGGTTTGCCGAAGCGACCTCCACGCCTCGCATGTGAGCAAGCTGCTGGACAACGACGCAATCGAATTGTTAGCAATTAAACTAGTGGGAGTTCTCGAGTCGATCGAGAAGTTGGCCGTTTTTCACTACGACACACCATCGCACGGACTGCAAGTATTGAGCCGTCGTCTGCGTATGCGTTTGAGCAAGGATCCCAATGAGACCGCATTAATCGATAGGTCAGGACGGGCCATCAAGATGGAACCATTAACCACGGTTGGCCAACTGAACAAGTATCTCACCCGTATGGTGGCGAAGCAATGGTATGACTACGACCGGAACTCGTTCAATTTCGTTAAGCAGTTGGCGGCGATCAAGAAAAACCCGATCTCGCTCAAGTACTCCGGCGTCGATTTCGATACGAACGGTCTGTTTTATTGGATGGGTACCAACGGAGGACTTCCGGGACTTGATTGGGTGAATCCTGCTCAAGTGAACCTTGTTGTCGTATCTTGTTCGGAAGGACGCAACCTGCCGTACGGGCACCTCGAAGATATTCTCAGCCGAGAATCATCGGCGCTTAATTGTCATACCAATGACGACCGTAGAGCGTGGTTCTCTATTGATTTGGGCGTTTGGATTGTTCCGACTCACTATACCCTTCGCCATGCACGAGGTTATGGTCGTTCGGCGCTTCGCAATTGGGTCCTTCAGGGCTCGAGAGATGCTTTAAATTGGACTACGCTCTACACACACCAAGACGATTGTTCTCTCAACGAACCCGGTTCGACAGCGACGTGGAAGCTACCTGAAGTACAACAAAACCTCGAACCCGGTCAGCCCCGCGGATGGAGGTATCTGAAAATTCAGCAGAACGGCAAGAACGCATCGGGCCAGACCCACTACCTCTCTCTGTCCGGGATGGAAGTCTACGGAGCCTTATGGGGGGTTTGCGACGATTTGGGAAGAGCGGCTCGCGAGTACGATCAGGAGATGCGAAGACAAAGACGGGCTGTCAGGCAGCAACTCAAAGGTGAGTGAATTCAATCTCGATCCCGCTGATGAGAGCCTTCGCAACAGGCGCGCAACCGATCCATCTCGAGAATTCCGTGAGACTCAAGTGGTTCTCCCCCGCTCAGAGCCCCGACGTTCTCGGAGACTAGGAGGCTGAATTCTGACGGACTTCTAGTCCGTCGATCCACATTAAAGACAAAAAAAAGATTCCTTCCATTTGTGAGAGAAAAGTGCAATTACCCTCGTCCTGTCCTCCGTGGTTGCGCTCCTGCCGATCGTACTATTTCCCTCTCCCGAGAGGTCTCCCTCGAGGAGGCGCCTGAATTCCCCACGAGTGCTCATCTTTATGGTAACTTAGATTTTGATCATTTAGCTATGGTTCCTGGCGCCCGCGTGATGCGCGGTCCTGATTGGAAATGGAGGGATCAAGATGGTGGTTTGCCAGGAGCGGGAACCGTAACTGGAGATGTGCACAACGGCTGGATAGACGTCGCCTGGGATCACGGCGGATCGAATTCCTATCGAATGGGAGCAGAAGGCAAATATGATCTCAAACTGGCCACAGTGACGGTTGGCAACATTGACGCTCCTCCGGTTTCTCCCGCTGCGGTGGCGATGGCTGCGTTCAAGGCCAAGGTTCGCGGAGTCACGGTCGACTCGCTGAAGAGCCGGCGTTCGAAAACTGTCAGCAGCAGTTCACAGCAGAGTGCGGTCAATTCAACAAACGCATCGACATCGATGAGCGTCTCTGTTCCCAATCTGTCCACTCAACAGCCCAACAAACTCTCAACGAACAACTCATCGACTATAAGTAGCGGGCTCGCCTGTTCTGCAGAGTCTCAAAGTGAGTCGCGAGTCATTAGTCTGGTGCTCCGAGTTTCCCGGATACGGCGCATCATCGATCGAGAAGGAGCAGTCCATTGGTCTTCGCTCCGAAAATCAGCTCGAGGTTTCCCTGACGAAAAAAAAAGGGTCTCTCAACTCCAATCTACAGGAATCTCTCTTTCAATTTCAGGCTCAGTCTCGTCGACTGCCTCCTGCTCCGCCACGAGTGGTGCGCCGCAAAGGGAATCGAGGAATCGACTCAAGAGCGCCACAGCTGACGGAAGTCGAATCTCTCTCGGAGGCAGCGGAGGTGGAGGAAGTCATGTGTCGTCGCTCGTGAGACTTGCTCTCTCATCATCGAATTTCCCGGAAGTCCTCGCGGATATTCTAGGAAGCATGCCACTCGTCAGTGAGGTACATAACGTATACCTAGAAAATAAACGAATACGGAAATCATTTGTTCCCCGGTTAAATCAAAAGGAACATCCTGCCGCTTGCCCCGAAGTAGTTTTCTGATCGCTCCTCTATTCGCAGAGCAACGATGCCTCAACAGCCTCTGGTCTCCTGTCCACGGCCCAGTCGTACCCCTCTCTTACGAACGAAGCCATAACGGCCGCTGCGATTAGCCAGTCGGAGCTCTCGTCAGATTCGGATCAAGATCTCGTCGACTTGGCCACCGGCGGCATGTCGGGAGTTAGAGCTCTCGAAGTCATGATCGATGCTGACGAAGACAGCAAGCAGAGCGATCTCGATAACGACGATGATTACGAAGATGTCATGGTTCGTTTTGTACGATTCTCACCCTCGTTCCTCACGGTAGACGCAGATGAGATCAACATTTCGGTGGGATGAATGGAAAATGAACGCATTCATTCTTACAGCTTCTCCAAGAAGAAGATGTCTTCGAGGTTCGCAATTCGCATCATCCGGGACTATCGAAACGCGACGCCTGGGACGACGAGTTCATCCTCAAGAGGCAGTTCTCGGCTCTGATCCCAGCATTCGATCCCCGCCCCGGACGTACGAATGTCAACCAGACTTCGGACATTGAGGTACCACCTCCCGACGAGAATTGCGATCCGGCCTCATCGAGCCAACTGATCGTGAGCGATGGTCTCGTGGAAGTGCATCAACCACCAAAGATTCACCTCACATTGAAGGGTCCAAATCTACACGGTAATTTATTATCGCGATATGATGTGGCGATCCGACTAAGCGGAATCCGACGGAATATTTCATGGCCCGAAAACCGACGTGACGCTGAAGTTCTGTCTTCAATTCATGACAGGTATCCAAGATGTCCTCGTAGAATTGAACGATCCCTCTTGGACGATGTTCCGAGCCGTGCAACATCTGATGCAGAAATGCGATCTTCCTACTCAAGTCGACAAATTGAAGCGCATTTGGGAGCCGACCTATACGTGAGTTCCCCGTGGGGCAGCTTCGTCTTTGATCAGGGATTTCTCTCCCGCGGGAGCTTGACGGGAGCCTCTGCAACGACTCGGACCGTCATACATATCTTCCTTTCATTCCAGAATTGTATACCGTAGTGGAGAAACGAATGGGGATGAATGTAGAAGTGACTGTGAGTCTGTGATAATGAGTAGCGTAGGAACATCGCGCAGACGGCGCAGCAGCTGTGACCTGGAGCCCCTCGTGGGCCAAGTTGTTCAGCTGCTCAAGGCGTTGGCTCGCCAATACGATTTGACAGGTGAGCGTCCCTCAAGCAATCGATGGAACTTTTCGGGATCTCATCATCTTGGATTCTTCCTGGAGGCCCAGAGTATAATCTCTCATTGAATTTTCGGTCGACTAAAATTTCGCCTCATTTCTCCTCACAGGTGAGCTGTGCACCTCACCGAAGTTGTCGCACAAACTGTTGCAGCAAATGCAGTGCCCTCTGGTGATGAGTGCGGGTGCAGCGCCCCAATGGTGCGAAGCCTTGGTGTACAAATGCCCGATGCTGTTTCCTTTCGAAACGCGACACACCTTCTTCCGATCAACCGCTTTCGGGACATCGAGGTAAGAGCTTCGTCCACGTTGTAAGGGCCGAAAAAACAAGTGCCTTCCCGTATGTCTTCGCCGACGGTTCGGCTCGACTCGAGGAGAACTTGCGACCGGATCCACTGAGAGGACTCGTGAACCTTCCAGAGCCATCGTGTGGATTCAAAATCAAAGGGAGCAAAGATCGACGGTGCCTACAACGGCGGGCGTAAGAAGACCTGGAGACGATGACTTCATGGTTGGGAGATTGAAACATGAGCGAGTCCGTGTCGCTCGCGGCGAACGTATCCTTCAATGGGCGATGCAAGTCATGAACTTCCACGCCGAAAGGAAGGCGCTCCTGGAAATCGAGTTCCAGAACGAGGAAGGCACCGGCCTCGGGCCATCTCTCGAATTCTACTCGCTCGTGGCGGCCGAGCTTCAGGCTTCGAAACTCGCCATTTGGTGGGCCGATGAAGAAGAAGATAACTCGTACTACATCAGACCTTTGGCTGGGCTGTTCCCGGCCCCCTTGGATCAGAAATCGGCTGCGTGCGACCACGCGTGCCGCTATTTTGAATTCATCGGCATTTTCCTTGCCAAAGCTCTACAAGACAGTCGTCTTGTCGATTTGCCACTATCATCCTCTCTGCTTAAACTGCTCACGTGCGGTGCCAAGACCCGCAACTCTCAGGGCAAGCGGATACTCGACCTCAAATCAGACCTCTCCGCCATCAGCTCGTTCATGGCCTTCACAATGGAACAGCTTCAAGCCGTCGCTGAAGCAAAGAGCCGCATCGTTTACGATCCATTATACTCGGATCCCGTCGTCCGACGCGAGAAGCTCGAGCAACTCACGCTCGATGACAAAGTGACTCGAGTCGAAGACTTGACACTCACTTTCCAGTTTCTACCGCCCTCGAAAGCGTTCGAACCCGTCGAGCTCCGTGAGAACGGTGCGCAGATCGACGTGACTGTTGACAATGTGGATGAATATGTCAGTGCTGCGATCGATTTCGTGCTTTCCGAAGGAATCCAACGTCAAATGGAAGCTTTGCGTCGAGGCTTCAATCGAGTGTTCCCCATCAATAAATTATCAGGTTCGTACGAGGTTCAAGAGACTGGCACAGAGGAACGGATTCCCTGAGTATTCCGCCAGAGTATTGCTCAGCACCCAAATTCACTGATTGTACCTAATTCCTTCCTTTGAATCGCAGCTTTCAGCGGAACCGAACTACGATTACTCTTGTGTGGCGAACAATGTCCCCAGTGGACGCGTGAGGACCTCCTCACGTGCACGTTGCCCAAATTAGGTTTCACCAAAAATTCACCCGGGTTCCTGAAATTGGTACGTGGATTACAGCGACTCAAAATACGGGGGAAGATAGAGATATCATCCTGGGCCTCCTGCCTACTCCGCGAGAGTTCGGAGATTCATGTTCGGTAAAGAAATTCGACCTTCCGCAGGTGAATGTTCTCGTGGAGCTGAGTCCGCAAGAACGGAAGGACTTCCTTCAATTTGTCACCGGTTGCTCTTCACTCCCGCCCGGCGGTTTGGCAAATCTGCAGCCTCGTCTCACCATAGTCAAGAAAGTTGACGCAGGAGATGGCTCGTATCCTTCTGTGAATACTTGTGCGCATTACCTGAAACTCCCGGATTATTCTTCCGAGAAGATATTGCGAGACAGGCTGCTGGCCGCTACCCAGGAGAAGGGATTCCACCTAAATTAAGGAAACAGCGAAGGCCTAGCTCATCCGTAGTCTGACGGATGGGCTTTCTGGGGACGGCAGATGAAATATGGTTTTTAGGCAAACGGCTGTCGTGAAGATGGTCTTCAATAATGTGCATTTTGTGTACTTCTCCCTGTGTTTCAATAGGAGTCAAAGTTCGAGGAGATGGTGAAGCAATGCGAGGTTTCTGTTCTTTCACGCTTTATTAGTCATCAAATCTACCAATTAAGACAAGAGAACGAGAATCGAATCTAGGAAATGGCATTGCCCGTTTAAGCAGATGGCAGGTGTTTATGAACGATGAGTAAGATTATAGACTATTTGAATGGTGGAGATTTCGTTTTTGTTATTCGGAGAGTGTCGGGCCGTCAAATTGAAGAAGTGAAATATATGAGGGAGGCCACCCGAAACTGCTAGAGTGATAGACTCACCTTGTCGACATCTTATAGGGAAATATATACCTTTCTTTATGTATACCTAGACCAATGAAGGGAAAAAGGAGTAAGGCGGTGGGAGCTGAGTTAAGTAACGACGATCTATAAATGATGTTTACTTCGTGCAAGCTAGCGCGTTCTTATTGCAGTATCGATATCCTCCTTCCTCAACCCAGTGAGTGGCATAAAATCTCTTTTGTTCTCATCGATTTGCATGTATCTGCAGCGGACGACTCCAGGAGAATAATTGTGAGGGTGGAGGTGGCTCTCTGAGGCTTACATTGAGACTTCTGGCACGATGTGCTCCCCTGTGACGGAGGTTTGCTGAGCGGAACGGCGATCAGCAAACATCATGTGGGAGGCTGGCGCTGGCGGGCCTCTCAAGAATCAGCCAAATATTTTTTCCGGGGGCGCGACACCCAGCGCATCCCCTGTCACGCCCCAAGGATTGGAGAGAGTGTCGGAAATCCTTCGAGTGATCCTCAGGTTCCTCGGGGAAGAGAAAAGTCGGCGGTCGGTCAACTCCGCATACCAGCAGCGGACCGCTCGTCAGATCTCGCTTTCCTCTATACTTCATATCGAACGATGGAACGATCGCTCCGTTGAGAGAGCGGCGGTCAGCGAGCTCTTGCTGGAATAGCCGAGCCGAGAATTGTGAGAACCCGGCTACGTCACTAGGATGCCGGCACCGTCGGCCACACTCCGTTGGCGTCGCGTGATCGCGTTCCCCCCAGGACCTGCTTTTGATTGTTTTGTGAGGATGTCCGACCGTTTGTCTCGACGACATTCTTTCGAGGAAGGAGGTCCTGCGATCACTCGGCTGTCCTCGATGCATGCTTCAAGATCATTGTGTGTCTGATTTGGTTCAGGCTCTGAGCTTTGTCGAGCTCGCGTGCAGTCTGGAACCAATGAGCGAGAACTACCGACTTAATCGGTTCGGTTTCCGAGAGCCTGGCGAAACACTCCTCCTCGGGGAAAAGCCTCGACTGCTTTCGGGATCATTGCGGACTCGGTCACCCTTGAGATACCCTAGTTGCTTGGGCACATCTTCGATTCCGGAAGGAAAAACAGGGACGCCCATGAGCGGCAGTACGAGACGCGAAATGATTGAGCTTCCTCGGAGAGATGGTTCTTAAGTCGTGGATGCTGCGAAACTCTTGGTGAGTTTTCTCGCAAGAAAGTCTCAAGAAAGAGTGTCTTCGACAAAAGACTGGCTGTCCACATACGGTGGGCAGCTGGCAGATGTTCTCTTCGAGCGCGAGCGACCCACGATTCTGCTCTTGCGGAAGAGACTTGATTGTCCCCTACGTGGCTGATGGAGATTGCGCGCGTGGAAGTTTCGGCGATCTCATCTGTGGCTGTGCTTTCTAAAAACCGGTTGGATGAGCTTTGAAAAATATATTTATTCGAAGATTAAAGGGGGGAATAAACAAGCTATCAGATTCAGAGCAATGGCACCACAGGGTCGACTTCTCGTAGGGCGAGCCTGGAATGAGCCGGCTCAGACTGAATGACATGCGACGCTCGTTTGAGCCTAGGTTGAGGTTTTGTCTGTGACCCGAACCTCTCGAAAAGTCCCCGTGTCCGTAGCATTACTTCAGCGAATTTCCTCGCAATGGATGTCCCAATGTCTCCCGCGACTTTCCGGAGGACCTTGGGAGCGGCGATCAGCCTCGTTCTCGAAGCGCCCTTGAGCACGAAATATTCAGAAATTGAACCTCTGGACCTCTTCGAGCGCCTGGATCGGGATCGACGTGATTTGCGCTTAGTGGTACGAGACGCCCAGATGCTCCGTCGATGATCTCGTTCGTGAAATCTCACAATGAGCGCGGCTGGATTGGTGAACGGGCAGAATCTGCAGCCGAAGACGATGTCATCACTGGCATGCAGAAGTGGTATCAGACGGGATGCCGTCTTCGCTGTGATTCGAATTGCTAGTCCAGACATCTTCAGGTGGATCCTTGCTCAGCTTCTTCAGCTCGGGATGGAAGACTCACTGTTGACCTAAGTCTGATAATCAGCGCTTATATAGCTCGCTCGAAGTCTCGAAGCCCTCCACTGAACCCTCACCCACATCTGGCTTGGAATGCGGCCGCGGCACAGGTGGACCGGTGAGAGGATAATCATTATAATCTCGACTAACTGCATCGGGGGTCGAGATGGTGGGTCTCTGCGGGAAGGGGGAGTTCTTCATCACGGTGAACCATCCGAAGCGCCGAGCGATTCGAAATCGGTATTCCATTGGTCGATGGGGTGTATTTCGCAGAGTCACCCTCCGCTTAGAATGGAAATCGAAATCGAGACTGCTTAGCGATACGTTGGAAATTGCTATGCAGAAATCGCGGCCGGGTTCATGCCACTCGGGTGTAAGATTCGGAAATTCGCCCTGATTGAACCTCCAGAGTTTAGAAGTTCCCGTTCCTCACTCATACATCCGGAGTGTTTCAACTTCGGAGTAGACTTTGTCTGCACGAACAAGCAGAAGCCGGGACGGGCAGAGAATCCTT